TTATTATCACATGAAAAGGTATCAGAAATACCTGTAAGCAGCCCCTAATTTTGTGGTCGTTCCCTCTAGAGCATGGTGCTGACAATAAGCTCAGCCTTGTAGCTCCCCCACCTAACACCCCCTTAAAATTTGTAGTAAATAACATTGTCCAAGCTAGTGCAATGTACACTACTCTCCTCATGTCTCCCTAGCAAAGCCCTCTCTGCCACGGCCTCAGCTAGAATGTCTTTTGTTTACAATTTCACCAGCTGAAAGACTCTTTTGAGAACAAAAAAAAAAAAAAAAAAAAAAAAAGAGGGGAAAGAAAGAAAGCTGAAGAGGCCACTATGAGGATCTAATCTATGGCTAAGACCACCCCTTGACTGGCAGTCTGCATTGCCATCAGCTGTATGCATCATGAACACATTTGAGTTTAGATCAGCTGTCTGTGCCTTCTCCCTCATTAACATTGATAAAAGCGATGGCCTCTGCCAGGCGCACGGCATTCCTCAGCATACCAGCTGCAGCTCTATCTTAATGCATCCTATGGGCTTGGAGAATTAATTAGTTCTGATAGTCACCATGTTTCAAAATGATGGCTGTCATAACCCCGCAGATAAAATTACACACTCCTAGAATTTTCCACATTGCCCATTCAGACTCTCCGTAGGCCACCGTTGGCCTCCTCAGATGTATGGCACTGGAAAGATTTAACTTGCCATACCTTTTTTTTTAATCTCTTTGTTACGTTCCAATTAAGCCTGTGTTAATCAAAGGCAGTATTTCCCAAATATCTCCCCCCGCCCCAAGCCTCCTCCTAGGCAACATGATGTTTGTGCCCCCCTTCCTCCTATCTACAATTAGCATTCAGACGTTTCTCGGCAGAGTCAAAGCCTCCCTCCCCCTAGGAAGCTTTCTTCTTCCAAGTACAGTTTATCTTTTCCTACCCCTCTGCAAGGTGCTTTAGCCAGTTTCCAAACAAAGAGCAAAGTGACTTTCCTCAGACAAGCAAAGCCTCAAACTGTATTCAAACACCCCCAGGACAGTTTTCCTGCTGTGAAAGCTTCTAAAACAGGAGCCACATACAGTAAATACCAATAATTAATTTATTTTCTGCTGACCACTTTCAATTTACTAAGTAAGAATATTAAGTTTAGCTCAAGACTACTCTCACCCTTGACACTCTCTAAGGCCTCACTAACAAGGCTGTTCCCTTGGTAGAGGAGCTGGTAGGGTGGGACATACCAGAAAAGCAGTACCAGCTTTTATTATGCAGAGCTCCTGAATGTTCAGGCTGCAATGGCTATTCTTCAAAATGTTTATATTTCTTTTTATTTCTTCCTCTAAAATGGTGCTTTTGTCATATGATTGTTTCTGAAATGGCTGAGCTTTATATGAGTCTCTGAGAGCTCATCGTATGCCATTCGGCCATCTCTGGTTGAGAGCGCTTCACATTCAGAAAGTTCAGGGGAACAATATACAGTGTGAGTCATGTAGTCAAAAATCAATTTAAAAATTTTAAAAATGCAAGAAATTATGTTGTTATCAAAGCTATGTAGAGGAAGGTGAGTGTTGCAGCCACCATGTCTGTACCTCCACTGTTTTTTATTCTTTTAATCTGACTTATGCACCAGATGCCTGGCTCGGAGAAAGAACAGCTAGCTCATTGTAACATTGAAATAAGTTGCAGCACAAAACATCGTTTTCAGAAACACCTACCTAACAGAACCATCACATTTTCTCTGGTTGGTTAACATTTTCAGCACAGAAATAGGAGCAGGAACTTGGAGAGAGGCAGTAGGTGGATGAAGAAAGTAAAAAGGCAACCAGCTCACATCTACTTAAAGTAGGAGCATCCAGACCAGGAATGCAATAGCAGAGCAGAAGGCGGCTGTGACACATGCAAGTGTATGCCACAGCCCATGGTATTTGCAGTATTACAGCACACACAATGACTCTTACTAATCTTTTGCACCAGCCTGCTTTCAATCTGGAAGTTTACAGAGGTACAAGGGTGACTAGCAGCTGAGACATGAAGCATCCAAGTGGCCAGGCTATCCCCAGGGAGGCTTGGCAGGGCTCCTCCATGTCAAATTGATCCCAGCCTTCAGGTGTATCTGTGCCCACAGTCACTGTCACCCCCACATTCTTTGCTCCCACTTCCCTCACTTGTATTAACATTATTTTAAAAAAATCCAAGGGGACCAACCCCACAGACACATCTGTATTTGATATTTGTTATCTAAGGCTTCCTAAATTTTCACCTTCTTGTATGAACCAAAGAGATCCAAGACCTCTCCACCACTCCAGATGGACACAGAAAGAGGTATAGCACAAAGCTAAAATAAAATATCCCGCTAAAGCCAGGAAAAAATTAAGGGTAGGAAATGCAAGAGCACAAAGGTCTCAGCTGAGCTGTATAAGCAGCAAGATAACGAGAATGGGATAGCTTGCCACCACGACCCTGGAGGGGGGGGACAGCCCCAAAAATACATGGGCTGGACGGCCAGGTCAGGATACAAACATGTCAAGGGCAGGAGTTGGAGGATGGCCAAGACGAAAGTCGGCACAAGTGCAGCAATGAGCAGGATGACTGGTGAAGTCCCCCGGGGGATCCCAGAGGTGTGCAGGGCTCTCGGCGCTCTGTGGCCCAGGCACCAGCAGGGGAAGGGGAGGGAGGATGCGGGTCCCAGCCCGCAGACACCACTACTGTCACGTTTCTAAAAGCAAAGGGCAAAACCTGGCGGACAGGGCTTCCTGCCCATGCCAATGGCGTGCCAGCACCCAACACCAGCACAGACAACAGTGCTGGAGGCAGCGGCTGCCCAGTACCACCAAGGCAGCCTCGTCTCGAGCAAGGTGTCACGCCAGGTCCCCAGCTGGCTAGCGGGTATGCTGCCATACTGCACAGCCTGCTTTGACTGCTGGGTGCCACCTTCCCACTACCCAAGTTCCCAGGGAGCCCCATCCTGTGTGCCGGGTGACATACTGGCCTGTACTTCTGCCCAGAGTGGGGCAGGAGCCGGCCAGGCAGAGTTACAGTTAGAGCCTGGCACAGCCTGTAATTAACCCCCACGAACAAGGAAAATCTCTGTCACCAACACAAAGAAAGGGTGCCCAGTCCCTCCAGAGCAGGGAAAGCAGCGGTCATCAGGGTGCTTAGCGGGGGGCCCATGCTTCAACACAAAGGGAGAGGAAAGAAAGGGAAAAAGGGTTTACTTCACCCAAATGGCTATATGGGAGGTAAGAGCAGATAACAAGAGAGCTGATGTGTGTTGCTTTTTATCTCAATCTACAGGACAGGAAAGGGACATGCTTGATTTACAGCTCCTTTCATCACTGGGCTGAAATGGCAACAGGCAAGAAACACAGATGACCTCGAGCTGCTGCAGAAGCTGTTCGGCTCCTGCCATCACACACGCAGGGACCAGGCAGACGTGGTTTGCCTGGGTAGAGCAGACCCTGCACAGGCAGCCACCCTGCCCACATGCCAGCAAGGCACAGCTGCAGAAGAGGAGAACAGGGTGCAGCCATGGGCTGCCAGCACACAGGAGAGGAGAGGAGATCTGCCAGGATTCTGCTCTTTTGGAGAATATCCAAACCATTCCTTCAGCCAGGCCAGATTGTACATTGTATGCAAAACCAAAGTAACATGAAAGGCCTTGACCTCAGAAAAGAGAAATGGCACTTCTCAGGGCCATATATACCGTCAGCATGTACATCACAACCCCCGGCTGTTATCTTGTCTGCATAAACAAGATATGATTTACTTCCCTCATCGTATAGCAGAAAGGAACAGGATCTGATGAGTGCGCAGGAAACATCTTTCCCTACCATCTCCTACCAGCAATTTTGCAGTATTCAGAGTGTATAACAAAAGTAGATGAATTTGTGTATTATATGTGTATCTCCACTGAGTTCTTTAGGAAAAAATACAGAGTTCAGGATAATAGGTTACAACTGCATCAAACGTTACATTTGTGGTATAAAGGTGGATACAGCATCTAGATGTGACTAAAAATAGGAATATGGAAGAAAACACTATGTTTACTGTGGACTCTTCAAAAACTTAACCTAGCTTCAAAGCACAACTTTGTATTAAGACACTCTTATGGAGTGACTTCAAATGACTGAAAAATGATAACATCAGTGGCACAAAGCAAAGCTGACAAAATGTAGCCAGCACAATTATTCAGTATTTAACATGAGAGAAGCTGCCCTTACAAGGCTGACCAGAGCAGCAGCAAAGAGCAACACTAGAAAAGAGCTGAACAACTAAGAGAAACAGTCTTGCTTTTGGCAAATCAAAATGTCTACTCTTCCCTCCTAATCATATGCAAATAACATAGCTGAGCTACTTTTCCTCTGCTTAGCTCCAGGAAACCAGTCAAAATGATTTAACAAAAATAGCAAAAAGTAAAAAAAGAATCCCCCCTTTTTATCTGGCTGACCAAAGCTGTAAGATGTTCTTTTGGCCTCCTGAGATAAAGTCAATAGTATTTCTTCCAGAATCACACTCAGGGAACCACCCTTATATTATTAGGAATGATAAGCCAACTTCCAGAGATCCTTTGCTCTGCCTTAGTCAGTTGAACAAATGTTAATGATAACAAGCACAGCAATTACTCCAGTCCCCTATCCATGCCCACCTAAAAGAAGAAAACATCTTCTGTCATAACAGCTCAGTGTCCTTGGTTTTGTGCTGTCAACAGCTTTAGAGAGAGGGATAAATGAACAGAGCCCTGTCAGGATATCCTGTCATTCAGTTGGGAAGGGTTTATTCAGCTTTGCTGTGAAAACTTTTGGCAAATACCCTGCATTTTCAAATTTTTCTTGCCTGTAGGCAAGGTCCACATACTGTATCCTCCACTCATTTTCCTCCAGAAAGACAAGAATCCTGTTAAACTATTTCCCTAAGAATGCAGAAGAAATAGCACCTCTAACAAACATCACTTTACATCAGAATTTTAGTTTTTGTGTCTGGAGGGCTCTGAAGAAAAAAAAGAATCAAGTTCTTCACAATGGAAAAAAATCCAGTTGTTTTATTCTTTTTGGCTTTTTTAGCTGCAGTGAAACTGTGTTTGACATCACAAGTCCCAGATGAGGTAAGAAGTAGCTTTTTATTTAAGTAATGAATTATTATGTCTGTATTACACTATAGGGGTGGGGGTTGTTCCACTGTTATTGAGATAATTGTTATTAGATACCATATTTTATAGAAGAAAAACCCACTTTAATAGTCACTGATGCATATGACACTGAATTATAAACTAAGAGCTCTGTACATCAGTCCTCTGAAATAAGAGAAATGCATCTGTTTATTCCACATGGGAATTGGGCTCAAAGGATATGTCGTGAATACACTGAAAAAGTCTGTAGAAAATGGCAAATGTAGCAAAAGACTGTACCTGACACATTCATCAAAAGCAACAAAAGACAACATTAGAATTTCTGACAAGTCAGAAGATGAAAGCAGAAAGTTTTCCAAAGTGAAAATTATCCACTCTACTAACCACAAGAAGTAAAAGCTGTTTTGGGGATGGGGGGGGGGGGGGGCGGGAAATCTAAGGAATTCAGCTGTTCGAAGTAATTGTACAGAGTTATAAATTTAAGTAAAATATTTGTAGACTTTTGGGGTAGTAGTGCATTTATCACGTACAAATCCTGTGGATCTGTGGTATTTCACAAAATCTGTTTTCAGTACCCTTGTAGAGAGGCAGAAAGTGTTGGGTTACAAATCTGAGACAGGAGCTCAACAGCAAGACATTCACTCATCTAAAGTGTCTCACAACATGATGCTTTAAATTACTGCGTTCTGGAGGAAAAACACTTGTAGAAGAGGAAACAAAAGGACAGGGAGAAATTGGGGGGGGGGGGGGGGGGAGAGGGAAGTCACTCAGGTTATTTTTTTGTTGTTACTTGGTTGGTTGTTTTTTTTTACATGGAAGTATACTTTTAAAAGTACAAACAAATACTGGGAAATGTGTTAAACTTATTCTATCTCTAAAAAAAGAGCTTCCATTTTCCCTAACAGCAAAAAGGGAAAACAAGGAAATGGAAGAAATTGGAAATAGCCCAACCGTTCCAAAACAAATAGTGTTTTATATCTGGTGATAGGGAAAGGATATAACTTATTTTTATTTAGATTTTACCTTTTCAAAATCTCTTTGAATTTTCTTTTTCCAAAAATTAAATTTTGTGAGGTGTCTTTTTGATGGCAATTTCTGCAATGAGATAATTGCAGCCACTCCTACCAACAGCTTTTTCACTTCTGAACCTGAATATCCTACAAGCCCAGCAGTTTGTCCAGCCTCAAATTCTTAATGGCTTACACCGAGCACCTGCGAGGAGCAGGGCTTCAGCAGCACACTTGGCTAAAGACTCAGAAAAAACAGCCAACGCTCTAAGTTTATGATTCTTCAACACTAACAGTGCTGATTTGACTCAGTGGAAATGCTCATAGGAGTCAAGGTGCCTGGACTGGGCGTTTGTGCTGTGTTGGTTCTTGCTCTCATGCAATGAGTCATCTCTCATTAAGGATGGGCCATTAAGGTGGCTGCAGTGGTGCTGAGCACCAGGGTTTTGAAAGGCTTGAGGCATTCAAGCCCCCTTGTGTTGGTGCTCTGTGAGGTGGTTTTGGATGGGAAACGAAGTGCAGAGTCGCTCTGGTTTGAGTTTGTGGGAGCCACCTTAGACCTAAAGCCCTAAGAGCCAGGTCAGTCCAGTGCCCCACCAGCACCTGGTGCTGCCAAGAGGGCAGGGGTGCTGCTCAATCTTCCCAGCATGGCACTGCTTGCTGCTGCTTTGCTAAGTGCCTCGTTAAGCTGTATCCACGTTATGCCCACATCTGGAAAAAGGTCTCAATTTTATTTCAGATGCCTAAAATACATCTCTCTAACAGTAAGAGGTTTCACTACCCAAGTAGTCAATTGTTACCCAGATCAGATTTCAACAGCACATTTATAAAGACTAAAATTTGACAACTAAATAGATGTTGAAATGTACTTATAACTGGGCAACAACTACCACGTAGTGTCCCTCAGAGCTCATGAAACCTAATCTCCTTATCAGCGTCTGTGATACATCTACACAATCTTCATTACTGAAACATGCTGCTATCACAAACACTGAAGGAAGGATAACTAACAAGGGGAGAAACTGCTGGGGCGAGGGCTTCATCCAGGACTACCAGGCTGTGGCACATGTAGAAATCCTGCCCAAGGGACCAGTACACTCACCCAGACCAACCGTGAGGTTCTGCAAAGAAGTTGCAGCATCCCATATATTCCCAGAATGTCCAGTACTATCTGGACAGCACAGGGTTGCATTTGCACATATGTTGTTTGAGGATCCCTGGACAGAAATACTGGAGGATATCCAATGAGCAACACATAAAAGCACTGCGATGAGCTCCATCCTTGGAACTTATGGTCTGGAATACACCCTGCATAGCAAATGACCTGAAACTCCTGCTGTGCTGCTGCTGGACAAAGGGTTAACGGTTGATTTGCCAAGGCAGGGGACAGACACCTCTGAAGGGGGAGTATGCAGATCCCATTCGTGTGCACAGGAACTACCCAGACAGGCTGGGTCTGACACTCCCCGTCCAGGTGGACTATTGGCAAACTGGGCAGGCTCTGGCGGAGAGCTGGGGCATGACTCAAGAATTGGGAAAAAGGAACCATGGCAGGGAATTCGAGAAATGTTATTTATTTAGGTGCACAAAGAAAATGTATTTTGATCTCAGACTGTAAGTATTCATAGGAAGGGAGTAGTAAACATTGTAACAGAACAGATTCCTACATGTCATGCAAGTTACAGAAGAGCAATGTCTGGAGACCGAAGCAAAACCATCACTAACAAATTACAACAGAAGCAGCATGCCATGGTTTGTTTTTCCACAACTGACCATTTCAAAATCAAATTAATGCTTTCTAAAAATTCTTCTTGTTCAAACTAAATTTCATGCAAGAAACTCCATTATCCTGTATCACGCTCCTCTGGTATAATTGTCCTGGCTTTGTAAGTTGGGAAGCTACTTAAAAAGTCCACAGACAACTATTGACATATATAAATATTTTCAAGTGGATGATGCTTCTAGAACCGGCCCCTACACACATATACACATGCATGCACGCACACACACAGTGGGCAGGCATGGTTTTTCAAGACCAGCATTAAGCATTTCCTCACATTGGCCCGATAATGATTCAGACATTGCCTTAATTGACTACTTGACTGCTTAATTGAAATCCCATTCAGAGAGTTAATTTCAATTCTATTGTGTCAGATAGGAAGTCTCTCATGGTCAATATTGCTTGAGTGAGTTAAGACCACCTAAACGGGTCCATACTTAGAGAACGGTGGATAAAAGATTATCTTGGAACAGAAAATTAAGCGCTTCACAGTACTTCCTCTCCAAGAATGATGATGTAATTTATTACTTTTTTTTGTTTTTTAAAGATCATATTTTGCATTAGATCATTTCTCATCATTTGTGAATTATGAACTTCTACAGATACTCACCAGGAAGAAAGAAGATGAAGCCAACTTTAGATGGAGTTCAGCAAAGACTTTTTACCTTAACATAAGCTGACTGTTTTAGTATTGGGAAACACAGTTTTTGGTATATAGACATTTTCAAATCTGTGATTTCTACAACCACAAAGTACAATGCCACCACTGTGACAATACCTTAAGCTTTTTCTCCTTTTTGCCAACTTCTCGAGTCATTTGTCAGATTTGCATTCTTGAAACTGGGACCTCCACAGCAAGGGACGTAAACCCTTGGCATTTGAGCTAGAGGACTACAGACAGGTTTCCCAAGCTGGGCCAGTTCCTTCTGTGGCTTTCTCAGGTCAAAAAAGAAGAGTCTGCTCTCCTCAGTGTGCTCTAGTGGAGTCAGGCCTATAACTTCTGCCAGACTTGAATGCAAAGCTACACATCATTCTTTTACACCAATTTGAAAATACCAGCCATAGTTCTTTAGTTCGATAGGCTGGTGCTGATAATATGAAACTTGCTTCTGAGATGAACAAAGGCTTCTGCTGTGCTCTGTGTGCACGGAGACACAAGCAACTTCCTCCACACCTTATGTTTAGTTTTGCCATTGAATGGAGAAGGCACTTGATGGCACTTCTCTTTCTCCATCTGCTTTGGGTTTGCGAAGCAACTTCAGAACTAACACTTTGTAGGCTGATGCTGTTTCAGTAATTTGGCTTTTAAGTCTGCTGAACTTAGCATTTGTTGATAAAGTATTCTTAGGAGAAACATGACACTTAGAAGGGTTTACCCTGCAGTGGTTGGACCTATTTTGTGCAGACAAGACTACTGCAGAGCCCTAATATGTGGTCTGTTACCTAGTTTAAATCCAGAGCAGGGAACCCCTGCTGAACAGGGTAGAGCTTGGGACTGTGAGTGAGAACAAAGCTGAGTTAAATTTGTCATTTTTCAGCAATGCCACTGGGGGCAGTGTTAAACCAGCTCAGAGAACTTTTTCTGTCTTTTTAATTAATCTTCTCTTATTGCAGGTGAAGAAGCAATGTGATCAAAAGCTGCTCATTCGAATGAAAACTGACTGTGTACCTTGCTCTTTAAACTTCAAAACCCAGTGCCCTGCTGGTTATACCAAAATCACCAATGGCACTGGGATACCAGATTGCAGGTATCTATCTCTTCTGTTAGAGCTTTTCTTCATGAATATTGTTCTCCATGAATTAGAAAATGTTAATTCATATTACAAATGCTCTAGCCTATGCAATTTTTTTAAGGAACATTTACCATTGGCTTCACCAACTCCAGAACTCAAGCTACACTCAGAGTACTTTAAACGTAAAGTTAATCAACAATTGTATAAGAGGAAAGTAAACATTGTTATCGATAGTCTATCAGATTTTTTGAGTGATATCATAAAATCATTTCCTTGTTTACTCTGCATACTTGATATGAATTATATATGATAATATATATTTATCATATGGTATTTACATAAATTACATATCACTCATATCATGTATTATCACATAAATAACAGCATTTTCAAACTGCCAGACTGGGAAGGTGTTGGGGGTGAAGGGCAGGAAAAAATATCTCAAAACAAATTTGAAATCTTCTCTTTCAGATTGAAAAAAAAAAAAAAAAAAAACAAAGCAATATTTTAGGGAAAATGTAACTCTTTTGAGCTTAGTTAGTATTTTAAGAATCTTGATATTAAATAATTTTTAAAATACTTTTGCAAATCAAAACTTAGAGAAAGCTGCAGTGGTTTAGGTTGCAGAAATGAAAAAAATAAATAGATAGATAGATAGATAGATAGATAGATAGATAGATAGATAGATAGATAGATAGATAGATAGATAGATAGATAAATATACTACACAAAAGAAACAGCTCCAAGGATCTTTTTAGACCTTGGTGTGTAATGTATGTTTTAATGAAGAAAAAATGGGCAGATCAACAGAACTAAGCTTAAAGTGCTGTTGTCTGACACTAAAAGGAGAAAAAGAGGTTAAGAATTTAATTTTTCCCCACAAGAGGCTTTTAAGTACTTTAAAACAGCTCCAACTTCTTTTCCTCAGGTATTACCTAGAAATTAAAACACACATACTGTCTTTTCCGGGATGTCGGCATCATTGTATGAAAGAGTTTGAACAACCTGAGTGCTGCCAGGGACACTGGGGCCCAGATTGCATGGGTAAGCTCTTTTCTTTTTGGTAGAATTTGAGAAGTAAAGCAGTGATTTTTCTTCTTTTCAGAAACTACTGCCATGAGAGGTTTTCTCCTCAGAGCTTATTATAAGAGTAGAAGAAAACAGCAGCTTTAAGCCAAAATTTAGAGGATTTGGAGAAAAACACATATTCGTAGCTTCATTTAAAAATAAAAAAATCATAAAGAAGTACAAAAAACTCACAGATCCCCTTTGGTTTTGAGATTTTGAGATTTTTCCAAACAAATAATTTCAGTTGATGCCTGCAAAATGACTTTTCATTTGGGAGGATCCCCACAACAAATTTAAAAATTAAAGTTTTCAAACTGCAAGATTAAGCGTTTCATTTGAGGTCAAAAACATGCTCATCTGAGTCTGAAATATTTCCAAATCTCTTTAATTATTTAATTTTTGATGCAGGGAGGGTCTTTTCTTTCAGTTCAACTTGAAACAGTTTTTTCCTTCCAAGACTTTTGAACTTCCATCGAATGCTGAAGGACATTATTGAAGCAGAGGTTATCAGTAGTGCCTCTCCTCCCGCTGCCCCTTCCTCAGGAAAAGCCTTTCAGCACCTCCACAAGTGCATCAAATCTCAGACGACTGACATGGGCATCAAGACCCTCAGAGGAAGTTTCCCTGCCCAGACAGAGCATTTCCTCCTTTAGTTAAGGGGGTCAAGGTCTGGTTCAATGTCTTCGAAGTCCTTTTGTCCACAAAATAGATAAAAAAGTTATTTTAGCATGGCCCAATCTATGATTTAAATACCAATCATTTATCTACTTGGGCAAAATAGTCAAAATCCAATTTACAGCTATTTCTACAGAAAAGGTAGGCAAATAACTGAGTATGTAGTGTGTGGTCCCGTCTTCTTCTGGAGATAACCACTCGTGTGGCGATTTACCATTTTTCCACCAAATGCACCCTAAGTGCCTGGTAGGAAGGCAACGCTGCGTGTGATTGTCATGCCATACTTCAGGGTGCTCTGGGAGGCAACACGAGAGGCATGGGTGCTTCTAGAGAGGGGCAGATCTCACTGCCCCTGAGCTGGAGCCCAGCCTGCACCGCCGTGGGCAGGAGGCTGCAGAGGCAAGGAAGCCCTCTCTTCCTTTGGACAAGATTCCTGGACCCAAAAAGTAAAGAATCAAGGTCTCAGCATTGTTTCTGCTGACATTTGGAGGAAGAAAATAGCTCTTTGCATTATCTCAATATCAAGAGCATACGGCATTCCTTGAAATATTTGGAGGAAAGCCTGTCCTTCGTGAGGCCAGAGAAAAATCTCTGACTAGGGGTGTACTCCACATTTAGCATCTGATGGCAATGACAAAATAGGTCTTAAATAGCACTCTGACTTCCATAAATGATAGCACATGCTGAAATACAGTGTGCATGAAAGTTGCTTTGTCCCCTTCTCTCCCCACAAATCGCCTCAAGCCAACCAATCGTACACCCATCCCTTCATAAAAAGTTGTCAAGGGAAAAGAAAAGTACCAGGGGGAAAAGGTCCAGGAGAAAAGAGCACAACCTTTTATCATTGCTGGTATCATCTAACCACAGATACTACAGCTGATGGAGCTCAGATATCCCACATGTGTAACTGATGGGCTTCAGCAGGAGCTATTCCCCACCCCAGCTCAGGTTCTCACTCTGGACAAATATTTGCATGGCTCCAAAGAAAAGCCTGGGTACCAACTGAAAGGTGTATGGTATGAGCAACTGAGTAGAAAGCACTGTAAGAATAAACAAAACAAAACAAAAAAGAAATAAAAGGAAAAATATAAAAGGCCAAGAGGAAAGATAATAAACCTAATTCTATCAAATTATATGGTCCAAAATACACCTTCACAAGTTCTACCTTCAGCCTTCAGGGAGTCGGGTGAAGAGAAGTAATCCAAGAGGCTGCATTTGAAAACACTTGGGAAGTTCTGAATTAAACTCTATGATGCAAAAAAGCTAATAGGTTTAAGATCTTTTGGCCTAGATATAAGGATTTGGCCTTCATATTCTGACAGCTGTAAGACCTAAGTAGAAGCATCTCTTTCTTACTGCTTTTCAAAAAACTTCCTCAACAAAAGCAGAGGCCTCGCTTCTCTGCCAGCACCGCGCCAGCATCCCGGCCACCGGTGGCCAGGCCAGGCCGCTCACCCGCAGCCCTACCGGCCAGGCCTCGCACTTCACCTGCTTGACCAAACCCAGGCAGCGACCTGGCACCCCGCTAAACCCCCGACAAAGCTGCCCCTCGGCGGTGGCATCAAAGCAAGAGACAAGGGGCAGTGAAGACAGGGGGAAGTGCAATGAAGGCCAACTGCAAAAAAAAACTGTTTTGTCAGCAATTTTAATGTATTCTTTCCTAGAAATTATACCATAAAGTTTACTCTGTCTTCGCGCATTCAATAAAAGCATCAGTGCAGGTAACACCATTTCCATTCAGAGCAAAAATTAAACAGCTTCTGCCTGTGTCAGTCTTAAAGATGGGATTTAGCTATCACATGGTAGCCAGAAAACAAGATTCACTGAAAGCCACTTTAGAGATTAAAGTATATCTATCTATTACTTTACCTCCTTTCTGGTTATTTCATCTCAATTCTTAATAAATCTTTTTATTTCAGCACGGGTTAAATAAACTGCATTAGAATTTTCATCTTCAAATTTATTGGGTTTTCACAAGAAGCTTACTCAGATCCAACAGACTTCACAGACTCATCATTAAGGAACAAATTAAGAAATATTAATAGATTGGTATAAAGACAAAGCCTTCACTAAAATTAGGTGTATACATATACTCATACATTTATTTGCTCATCACTCCGTCCAGATCAAGTTCAATTTCATTAAAATTTCCACATCACATAAACAATCTAAATCAGGATTAAATTACTCAGTGGAAACATAAATCCAGTGCTGCCCATCTCCACCCACACAGAACAAACTGAGACTCATTATAAGCAATAAATCTAACTGTAAAGTACAGCAGAGAACCTGTGAGAGTAGTAGGTGTTTGATCTATTTAGATACCACCTGCATCAGGAGTATAGTACCTAATGGGAGCTCCATTTATGGAAGGGATAAGCTTATGGAAGGGAATCAATAAATCATTTCCATGGAGAGGCTGCACAACTATAAAAAAATAAGGATATTCCTACAGGGGGAAAAGCCTGACAGAACAATCTGACTAAAAATTATTGTAATATGCATGTCCTATAGGCAACATTTCAGTAAAATTTTGAATACTGAAAACGTTCAGCCAAAAGTTAAACTATTTCGATTTGGAAATAGTCATTGTTTCTTATCGCCTCCTCCTAGATGAGGTTTTCAGTCAGGCTGTCTCACCTAGTGTACCACTGCCTGTAATCATGGTTTTAGCATCAGAGGATCTGAAGAGCATAACACATTTTTGGCACAAAAGTTTTACTAGTGACCACAGCACATTGGACAGAAGTAGGTTATGTGATACCCAAATCTCAGTTTCCAAGATCATTTTAATCAAATATCACATTCTTATGGGAGGTAGCGGGGAAAAGGAAATCTTTCCACATAAAGAAAATTCAGTTTGTGCGGAAAAGAAAAAGGTTTATTTAAACACTAACTTGGAATCAAATATAAATCTGACAACAAATTTTCAGAGTTGTATTATCGTACAGAAGACATGGTCAGGCAAACTCCACTTGTATCAAAAAAGCTAACAGTTTAGTGTTTGCAGATGAAGGTGGATCAGCAGGGACAAAACTACTTTTTGTGCTATCCTTTGATTACAGTCACTAGCTTCAGTTCCCAGACTAGAGAGGGTGATGGTCTCCACTGAAGCTGAGATGCTAGTGAAGAGATTCAGGCAGCTGCAAAACAGCAGCCATCACTTGAGGTCCCTGTCTGGCCCAAAACTCTGTAGCTTCCAAGGTTGTCACCCCTAATGTGCAAAGGGAGCATAAGGGTCAGAACGAGTCAAATAATGGCTTCAATATTATCATTTCTAGCATGTCCGGGAGGAGCTGCATCACCATGCAACGGGAGAGGACGCTGCTCTCAAGGTATAAATGGGGATGGAACATGCATTTGTCAGGTATGTCTTTTCTTTCAAACAAAAATATATAACAATAGCATGTAAGCTCGTTAAGAAATAATGCATTGCATAAATACATTAAAGGAAAGCATTTCAGAAACAGCAGAGATGATCTGCTTGCAATTCATTTTTTGCTTGGATTGCACTAATCTTCACACTATTATTTCTACAGATTTGAGCATGTTCAGGTGAAATGATTAAAAAGTTCTTCCATCTTGCCTTCTTTAAACAGGTGTTTTGAGTTCCTCTGTTTTTTAAGTCTGTTGTTACTTATGATGTTTTGCCCTAATTAGAAAGTACCTATACTTAGGACTATACTCTCAATCCAGTGTTCTTTTACTGAGAGTGCAATGTGCAGTGCTTAATAACTTCAGCCAAAAAGATTAAAAAAAAACAAAAACCAAAAAACAAACAAAAAAAACAAAAAACAAAAAAAAAAAACAAAAAAACAAAAAAAAAAAAAAAAAAAAAAACAACCCACAACAAATCTTTTCTACCTCCCCCTCTACTGGATAATCTTTCCATTACATCAAAAGCACATCTGGGGACATGTAAAAAAGAGGCAGTGTGAGAAATAGTCAGACAATACAACCTGACAATCATAAGAATTATTTAGGCATTAGGCTTGATTACTATTATTTAATGATAACTTGATATTTGGAATATCTGATTTGAAGTGTAAGATCTAAAAACTATTTTTAAAAAAGGCGGGGAGAAATTCATTAAAAAGACAATGTTTTCTGGATTGCAGTAGTCATTTCTGATTTGCTGATTGAGCCTTTCATGTTATTTTCTTTTGGCAGCTAAAGATGCTGTTTTCAGTCTGATAAGTGTATATCTATCTGTATATAGACAGATGAGAAATTTATGCTTTTATTTCCATTCTGTAATTCACAGAAAGGGTTTGGTGGGACAGCCTGTGAAAACTGTGATGAAGATAATTTGTTTGGTCCTCACTGCACATCAGGTAAGTTTGAACTTTCTTTATTGAGGTGGGGAAAAGAAGGTGCATGAAAGCTGTATTCATACACTCAGAACACACAGAGAAATGGGTAGAGGATCTAAGGGTTTCCCAGCAAGAGTTGCTGTCTGCTTCAGGGAACACAATAGGAAAAAAAAGAGTATTCTGTGCCAGGGAACTCTGTAATTTGGTTAAAAGGATGGGCTTGGTTTAGGTTTGGGTTTTGTCTGGTGGATTATTTCACTGGTTGGCCATACTTCTATTAGGAAAAACAGGACACAGAGAGGGATCAGAGGTATGTGCACTATTTAAAATGTATACTTATCACAAGTGTATATTTTTGCATAATATTTTCCAGGTTTGCCTGTTTGCTAATGATTTTTAGTATTTTATTTACCTTCCTGACCCCTGCTGAACATTAAGCCAGTAAACCAGAAAACTGCCTGAAAAAAAAAAAAAAAAAAAACACACTAACAAATTCCACTTTAAGTGGTAATAGTTGTTTATCTCCAGGTAAAACTCTTTTTGTCCCCTCAAGATCTACATAAATTTACTTCCACAGAGAGTTACAAATGGCCTCAATTTAAATAATCTGTTGGCTCTTCTACACTAACCCTACAGCACTGCTGAATCAAATGCCCTTTTTCCACCAGCCGTCCACTGGATGCCAGTGTTGATACACAGAAATGTGACTGAGCCAACATATTCATTAAAAGAGGGTACTTGAATTAATTCAATATTGTAAATGTAATTATTTTCCAAGAAGCTACTGGAGGACTCGACTGCATATAAATTTAAGCAACATTTTACCCTTCATGTGTCAGATATTTGAGCTCCTCCAAGTTTTCTAAGCACCTATAAATACTGTGCATCTGAAACTAACCGCTTTTCAGCAATACCCTAGACATTCCTGGCTTTTATATTAGGACTACTAACATAGATAGAATGTTACTAATTATTTACTGTGGGTGATTTGCATGAACACAATAAATGTTGGTAAAGGGAAGAGGATATGCTACATCACTGCAGCTTCAAGTCACCAATACAACCCTAGCTCTTAGAGGCTTTTCCAAGTGTAACTGGAAAGGATCTTTTCAAAAAACATCATTAACCATAATTGAAACCATTATAACTATAAAGCTTTTTAAGTATACTTAGGGCTTCAAAAACCACTTATAAAAGGGCCTCATAGTTGCCTGGACTCTGAATACAGCATCTTGTTCACATATTGTTACAAGGTATGTAATGAGAAAAGACAGAATATAGGAACAGGACCAGAAAAAAGCCTGAGACCTACAGAGTGAATAATTATTCTTTTAACTAAATATATTCGGGGGGAGGGAGGAGGAAAGTCAGAAAACTCATCTATTTTGGAGATGTTTGAAAGACAAACAGAATTGAAGCAAAAATGAGCAATTTAACAGTTATAGAAATTGTCTAAATTATACTATATATTCAATTTTGGCTCAGGATTGTTTATCAAATTTTACAAGTTTTATGGTATTACCAACTAGTCAGTTTGGGTGTTTATAGTGTGTGTCCTGAAGATTTTCAGGCCCAAGGCTATTAACAGCCTGCAAAAATCAATATGTTATTTACTGATGTATGCAACTGTGGGTATTGATCTTCTCATTAATGGAAGCCTATGAAATCAGGAACTCAGGCCAAAGCTTGATTTGGCCAAAGTTGTTGACCAGGACACTATTTGCTATGGGTAACCACTAACAATGTCTTTGTGAACACCACTGTTATTCAGTAAAGCCAATCCATTTCTCCATATAGTCTGTGACTGCGTTCATGGAGTATGCAACAGTGGAATTTCAGGGGATGGAAAATGCACTTGCTTGTCTGGCTACAAAGGGCTCAGATGTGATCAGCGTAAGTAGATTGTTTTCTGTATAAGATATACTCAGTAGCTCTGAAACCATTAGAATTGGTAAGGACAAGTACAAGATTCATCTCAAATTAGTCACTCTAGAGCAACCAAACATACACTTGTGTGTGAGCTCCCATAACCATCATCACCATTTCAATAGCCAGGAAAATTATAATATCAATGGGATTGATGGTCTCTAGATCAGGCATACTTTGAACTAGTATACTGCACAACACAATGCCTCCTGGCACAGCTTGCAGACACGGATTAACCTGTTGCACTCTGTTCCTCAGCAATAGCTGAATGCGAGGCCTTGCGGTGCCCTTCAAACTCCAGATGCACTGCCTCGGGCAAGGATGGAATACAACTGCAATGCATGTGTCTGCCCAGCTACCACAGGGATGGTACACAATGTGAACGTGAGTAATTTTCATGTCCACCAAGTTCTTTGTATACAACATCATTGGTGTTATAGTTCAGATATTGAGTGCACTTTTGTACCAAATTTCATCATCTAATTGTTCTTTGATTCATAACCCAAAGCAGTCTCATGTGCACAAAACGTTTCCTTCATGATGAAACTACACCCTAAAATGTGCTTCAGAAGCACATCAGTCCAACTGGTAACAAGTTGCAGTCCATGCAACCAGACTAAAGCTAGTAAAGCCCCTTGAAATACAGCGTGGACACTGAGTCATCAGCGCTTACAAATCCATTCCTATTACCTCCCTCTACTTGCTGAAGTTCAACCTCATTGTTTGCTTCCATAAAAATCAACAGTAACCAAGGTCTTATGTTTACTGAATATCCATCATGTGGCAGCTCAGCTTCATCACTAAGATAAACTCTACAGGCAAGTAAAGCTCATTTTAGCTTTCATATTTTTTATGAAACAAAGCTAATAGTATCTCAGCTGGAGGTAAAAGTCTATCTTAAAGTTGTCTTTATAGACTCCTCAACTTGCCATTGAATGCTCAAATTAACTACATTACAAGAGTCCAGATTTTCTTTCCTCTACTTAGATTACCTTGCAACACCAGCTCTTCCTTCTAGACCAACTGCAATGAAGAAAATTGTTGTATCTGGTACTGGAAGCACTATTTAGTAAATGTTGGATTGGATCAGGACACAGGTACAATACTTCTTATCCTGTCTAGGACTATCTACATTCAATCCTCTTGGTCCTAACTATGATGTCATCCCCTCCAAGTAGGCTTGAACACCATCCAAGAGCAAGACATCAGAAAGTCACTCCTCAGGGAATGTGATGTTCTTCTAGTAGGCAACATAGACAAGCAACAGACAAAGAAATTTCAGCAACCAGTAGAGAAGGATGCTAATATCACTACCTCTCTTGGGTTTTATATTGATGCAGTCTGTGTGGATATTGCTCCTCTGTCCCAGTGCCTTTAACTACTGAGGTCATTTGTGGCTTAAGCCAGTGTCTTTTACACTTGAATGGCTGAGAAGCAGGGGACAAGCTGCTGCAGCTCAGCTAAGGTCATGAGTGAGGACAGCAGCAACTGCCCCAGACTCTTCTTGTAGGTGGAATTTCTTATGGTCAATTTGAGCATGTGAATATGTGTGTACATGCGTGATTTCATACCAGAACAGAATAGAAGTCTTTAAAGAGTGAAATTGAGCATTGCCAACTCTCTCAGTCCCAGCTGAGGGGGAAGAAAGGGAGGAGGAGAGGGGAAGACAGTGAGCAGCACCACCTTTAAGGTGAGTCCAGGACCTGCCACCTTCCAGCTGCAATGCATCCTTGACCATACCCTAAAATGGGCACAAGGGTATTAGAGGGTGTTCTCCAAGCACTGCTGGACTATGAACAAGGACAAACAACGTCACTGTCTTGAAAAAAAGGGCTCATGGAGCTTCAATGAGCTTCAATCCCAGTCCAGTCCTGAAACTACAGCAGTGTGGAAGACTCGACTGAAGCACTTGTTGGCCGGTTTTCCATATAGCTGAATGGGTGACATTACATTGTTTAATTACCAGAAAGAAATCAGCAAAGGCTTATTGTATTGAGAAATATTTTCCAACTGATCTACCATGCGCTTAAAGCTTGTACAGACTTTGTATCACCTACCTGACCTTCTCTGGTTAAAATCCACCAGAGAACAGGAAAATAGTTGTGATATTTTAATGAGCACATTACACATTTTAATCTGTTTATAACTCAATTTGCCATGTTAAGAGATCATTTCTGTTTAAAAGTAAGCAGTTGGTTGCTACGTTTGTATAAATACATTCCTCCCTTCTGTCTTTGTGCCACCATAATACTTCAGACTTGGCTGTTATGAGAAGTTTAGTCTACCCGGGCTTTGTTTGGCATGCAGGTGCTCTGGAAAATCCTTGCCTTCAATTTCAAAACTGTGGGCAATAATTCATTTACTTCACTTCTTTTTTTTCTCAAGCTATCAACCCATGCTCCAAAAAGATCTGTGATCCTAATGCCGACTGCATTTACCTTGGACCAAATCAGCACAAATGTACCTGTCAAGAAGGTTACAGAGGGGACGGTCAAGTCTGCTTACCCATAGACCCCTGTCAAGCAACATATGGGAATTGCCCTGCACAGTCTACCATTTGCATATATGATGGTCCAGGAAAGGTTAGTATTGAACAGGTGCCCCAGACATTTCCTGTGTCAACTCCCTAGAAAGCAATAACTCTTTCTCTCCAAAAAGAAGCAATGAGGATACAGGAACAGGCCTCAAGGAGGCCAAGCTCTACTCCTAGCTTTGGTATAAGCCCTGTCAGTGACCAGGAGTGAGTCCCTTAACCTCCTTCTCTATGCACCTATGTGGTACTTTCCCCTCCAAAAATGGGAAAGGCATTAGTGTTCTTTTTCCTAGAATATTTTGGCTCAGATTTGCCTCCCCAAAATGAAGGCACTGAAATTAAGCTTCTCCCAGTTAATTTTTCTCTCTTTGACCACAGCGGGATTGTAGGACCAGTAGGCTACTTACACTGGTACCACAGATAAACGCCTACAGTGAACGTATTTAGGAAAGGAGTAATCTGGGTCTTTGAGGACTGCCAATGAAAGGTACCATATAAACGCTGCATACTATTCACACCATCAGGAAGTAGCTCAGGTTTCTGAGTGCAAAACTCCTGACACTGAGAAAAGAAGACTTTAGAAGACTGCTTGTTTTGCCTGCACACCCTGAAGAGCTGAAAAAGGAGTCAGTTACCCAGGGTCATCCTGCAGTTCATGTTCATATAAGTGCTGATACGCCTTGCTCATTAATATGTAATGGCACTTGTTTTGAAAGGCAGAGCACTGTGGGAACGGAGGTAAAAAGTCTGGCCTACCCACACTGATTTTAAATGTTCTCTGGTCACATAAGTGAATCTAAAGGGCTTTATCTGAAAGAAATTTATCTGAGAGACAGTAGATTTCTGGAGCAGATAAAATCTAGAAGGCAGTTGTATAAATCTGGATAATCTGAACTCACCGGGTGATTTAACTAAGGCCCTGGAAGCTCACTGTCTTTAGACCCAATTTCCAGAAACTATGCTGACATCCACAGTTCATGCATGTCTAATTTTTATCTCCACTATCCTATCCTTCTGATTTAGTCCCACTGTGAATGCAAGGAGTATTACACAAACTTTGTACCTGGGAAAGGATGCAGCATGATGGACATCTGTGAAACAAACAACACCTGCCATAAAAAAGCTAAATGCTCAATGGTTGCACCAGGACAGATTACGTGAGTCTTTTTGCTTATTAAAGCTTTCACCCAGTTTCTCCCTCCTCCCCCTAGTAAACAGTCTGTTAAAACAAATACAATGGATGAACACTTCCTGAATTTATCACTAATGTTTTTTTTATCAAGGACAAATTACAAGATTTAATGGGATTAGTGTCAACCAATTAGCATAGTGTTTGATTTCTTCAGTCCAATTGCTAATACCTACTAAGTTTAATTTTTATAGCACCCAGAGGTCATTTCTACACTAGTAAATAAAAAGGACCAAGACCTCTTTTCTGTTCCTCAGAGTGAGCAGAATAGTCTGGCTCACAGCTAAAGTCTCCTCTTCTTCCAAAACAGAGTAACTGCCTGTTGGCAGAGATCCCTGGCACACTCTATCCCTTCAGCTGTGCCTGGGCACTGCCTGGGAAAATGTTACTTCATGTGGGCCAGAAACATGCCAGGCAGCATGCTAAAAATTAATCAGCATTAATTATCATGGCACAGCACTGGACCCCTGGCTCTTTTTGGTGTACTAATACTAGGGAACCTGATCCCCATGGTATGAAAGCATCACCAACCTTGACAGATTCCTCAAAAGCTCGAGACAAGCACATGGGAAACTGTGAAAACTCTGGCAGAGTTTGTTTTCCTCTACAGAAATTTTCTACACAGATATTAGGAGGAAAGTCAGTTTTAACACTAAATTTAACAAAGCTATCTTAAACCAAACAATTCAGATTACATGTTTCTATAGCCCAGTGATGGCTAGTAGTAGGTTTAAAGAGGTGTTCCTCAAGTGTTAGCTTTCAAGATCTGAGAGCTTGAGTAAGAAAGACAAGACAATTCATTGTAAATTGGGAACAAATTATTTATCATATAGATCTATATAGACAGAAAGCATTCACTCAGTAGAGTATTCTTATTGTCAGTTCTTGCTTCATCATTCAGCTTTCTCTTATAGTGTAATATCAACATCACTTTTGTGTAAGCTATTGTGCATTTCAAATAAGTTTATCTAGAATACCCCCTGGTTCATTTCTAGAGCATAGTATGCTACTCAAACCGCACTTTATATATACTTACACTATACTTTACATAGTATACTATTATACTGCACAACATGAGTTGAAAATTATAATAAAATTTCACATCACATACATCAGGACCCTTCTTTCCTAATTTGTCATTGTTTCACAGTTGCAACTCAATTTTCAAAAGCTGAGAAAGTTTTGAGAATTTTAAAATGGGAAAATTAAAATTTTTTTTCAATCTAAATGCTTTGCTCATTGTTCATTCAGTGACCTTGAATAGCAAAAACAAAAACTGAAGAAAGGAATGGAAATCAAATCAAACTAAAACTACCTATTTGGCAAAAGATTGGAACTATACTGAACAGTTTCCAACTCAGGAAAATCCATTTATGAAAGAGGAACTTTGCAAAGAAAAACATCTAATGGTAAATGCACAGCAAATACTTTCTGATAAGTGGCAGACACTGTATTTTGGCTGCATCCCAGATTTTAAATTTTTTTTGGAGGGCTTGTTTTGGTGGAGTTTTTTTTGATTCTTCTAAAACACAAAGCTGTAACAGAGGCCACAAACTTGCATTGCTTCCTTTCCTTCGTTTCAGGTTTTGTTTTTATTAAAGACATATTTGTGCTGTTAGCTTCCCCCATATAGAGTCACTTCTACTTTCTCCAGAATCAAATTATTTGTACAGGAATAAATCTCTTATACAGACAAAGATGTAGAAAATACAAACATTTAGTCTGTGAACATAACCTCCTGTAAAATCAAGATTGTCTCTGTTTTCTATTCCCACATATATCTTTCCTGAATGATTGATGACACTTTCTATGGCATTGCTTCAGCACAGTAACTATGTTCAGCCTTGCCCAGAAGCTACAAAGCTTCAACTGGTACAGAATTACACTGCATATTACACCATAACCTCTCTGGTTTCCGAGCAGAACTAGCCTTGCCTTAGATAAACTCAGGTATTTTCTTTTTTATCTCACTCTTACTTTCACTCTGACTATGTCTTCAATGTAGAAATGAGTAGCTTCATAAACCAAAATTCTATTATACAAGTTTCAGGTAAAATGGAGATGGAAAGTTGGGATCCCCTTTTTCCAGAGAAATACAATTCTCTTCTCCCTCCTGGGTAAACTGAAGTAGTGACAGTTCCCATCTCTTTCAGTCCTGCCTATACAGCCCATGCAGCATATCATGAAAACATCAAACAATTAAGTTTAAATAGTTCAGCAGTTATAAAACTGTTCCTCTTTAGAGGCACCCAGGCTGTACGGAACGCAGTGCATTCAAAGCAAAACCTATAAAGCCATATGCAGTATGAGTTGCAAACCAGATCCTCCAGACAAAGCTGAGAGAAAAGAGATCGAAGTCAGTCACCCATCTGGTCCTTCCCTTGCCTAGGCACACAGAGTAAATTACTCCATTAGAAGGGGTGAGAGGACATGTTGAAGGGTTCAATCCTACGCAATAGGTTCTAATCTGCAATTACTAAATGCTTTCCTTTGGCAGTCAAATCCAAAGCATGTTATAGGACACCCACCCAGTTATAAGCAATATTGTCCTCAAGAAAGAAGTTTCAGACTACATAGGTATTTCTGCAGTTCACTGTGCCCCTGGAAACTATAACCAAAAAAATTATTATGTTTAACCACCTGCTTCTTTATGACCATTTGCTGAAAGGGAGCAGAGAAGATTATTTTGAAACCTTGATCTGATTTGTGCAATATTTCAAGGGTACTTTATTTTTCTACTAAACCTTCTCGGCTCCTTTGAAGACTGTTTTTTTCTTCTCTGCTCAGAAGTTAAGAGGGCTACATACATCAATACAGCAATATTTACCCTATCAGAAGGAAAGTGTCAGTTCCCAAGGGGGAGCTGCTCCTCTCCCCCAGCCCTAAAGCCTTCATCTGGGCTCCACAGGCATACCCTCTGCCCAAGAGATCCCCTTAAAAAGAAGAGCGCTCATCATCAGAATCACATCCTAAAAAATTAAGATGTGTTTAGGCTGCTATTTTTACCCAGGATCAGAAGAAGTCAAAGTTTGAGCCTTCTGTCCAAAATCCCAGCACCCCTCTGATCCTACATGCAGCCCCCAGACTGCAGGGACTGTGAGGATTTTCAAATATTGCAATCACCAGAGAAACAGCTACAGCAGAGATGGTACATAGGAAACAGGAGATGATTTGGCACCAGGTTGATACTGGTGTGGGGTGTGAGTGGCAGATGTGTGTATGTAACAACCAGCACATGCAAATGTTAGGTCATTAGTTATATAAAGAACATCTTTTGCTTGCGTGGAGTAATGTTCCTTCTCTAATGATGCCTTTAGAAAAAAATACCCAGAGAGATGAATCATTATGGATAGGGCTTGTACGAATACTGAACATGATGGAGACTTAATTAGGAAAGGGACTATTAAGAGCTAATGTTTGGCAATGCATACCATGTAGTTGTTTAGCCTCCTAAATATGGTTAGTGTTTCTTTCTGTGTGCAGTACATGTTGACAAGAACCTGCTTTAATTTTATCACTGAAGATGAGTAAATGGCTGATCTGACAGCCCCAGCCAGTCTCCCAGGAGCAGCCAAGAAGGGGCTGGTTTTCTGAAGACTGCAACAGAAAAAGTTGAGATTGGCAAAACCAGCAGGCATCATCAGCCCCTCACTTTGAGGCAGGCTTAAAGAGTTCAGATTTTTTAGAAAATACTAACCACCTCTCCCAGTGAATAGTCAGGCTGACAAAAGGTCAAGGTATACTCATATCCTAGTTGTTCCTAGAAATTCACAACCATTGTGCCCATCAACACCTAATAGCAAGCATGTGTCAATCACGATGACAACCAACAATATTTTCCCCACCTCTCTTGCATTGTTGAGGTCTTTCACAGCCATAAGATTAAGTTTTCATGAGGCATATTCCCTCCCACATAGGATAGAAAGTGTCAGACTGATACCTGGTGTTGTTCTTCCATAAATTTCCTTTATATTTTGCCTTGGCTGCAACACACTACCTCAAATGCAGCTCATCTGAAGGCAGCAAGAACATTGAGCCCATCTCAAGGCATTGCCTGTCACTCTCATGAGTACCATGACCTAAGCCTGCTTTGGACATACATAGGACTGGGTCAGCCATACATCACTGACACCTCTCACAGTCTGGAGTCCCCTGGGGACAGCCAGGGTGTCCCAGATGAGATGGTATTTCCAGTACAGACACAGCAGCAGCATAAAACACACACCTAAAAAAAGCATAAGATTTCATGCTTCAGCAGCTTCAGAAAAAACATAAAGTACCATTGCCTAAAATAGTTGTGTTACATAAAGGGCAGGGTAACAACCAATCACTTTACTTTGTTGAAAGGACTGACACCCCTGCCTACCTTTTCCTACTAGTCCTATAAAGCTATCACAAGGATTGATGAGCTGCCGTCACTCCCTTCATACATAACTACCATTAATCCTGCTGAGTCCTGCATAGTAAGTGGGAGCTTCACACAACCACGTCCCCACTGTGAGGGTGGCAGCCCACATATTTATGCCCTAGCCCCTCATTGCCCACAGGCAGGAATGATCAGTGGCTTTCTGGGCTCCAGCAACCACAGTATTTGGGGACCAGAGGCTGCACCACAGTCAGGGGCATCACATAGCCCCCATTCAAAGAGCTCCTACAAGACAGATTCACTGCCTCCTGGCCCAGCTGGCAGAAGGACATCGCATCAGGCAAGCAGCCACCCAGATGACCTACACACAGACGTACATCACAACATGCAAAAGCAGAGATTAGATTAAAATGCATTGATGCTACTTGAAAATGCCTTCAGAGAAACAATAGGTAACACCTGGAGCAGGCTTAACAAGAGCTGCAATGACACCACGAGGCATCAGCCCACAGCTAAGATGACAATCCCTTCACAGGTGTACGTGCCAGGAGGGCTCCGTGGGGAACGGGTTTGTGTGCTACGGAAACATCATGGAGCGCCTCCAAGACCTGAACGCAGAAGTGGGAGGATGGTGGCAAGGCCAGCTGACAGCCGCCCTATCGCTCATGGGTCAGTGACCACACACAGGCAGAGTCAGCTCCTGCTGGGTGGGTTCATCTTGCCCTGTCCTCCCCCAGCACTCCCTGCTGCAGGGAGGTGCCGCTAACAGTCTGACACAGCACACACGCTACTCACCACAGACCCCGCCTGACCACCTAAAGCTGCCTTTGCTCACCATGCTGTGCAATCTGAAAGAATTTCCAAGCAAAAGTGCTAAGCACATTCCCATACCCCTCACACATCATTTGGTATCACCGGTGGGTTTTGCCTCTTAGTGGGATCATCCCACTTCCTCTCCCTCCCTGCCCCCATTGATTTGGATAACTGAGATTTGATCTGGAAAAGCACAAAGAAGTCCATCAAAAACATTAGGATTCCCCAGTCATCAGCATTGGAATTGCTTTCACCTGGAAAGAGGAGAGAGGCAAGCTGAAGAGACTAATCCCATCCATGGTCTCCATCAAGCTCAGGATCCCCCACTAGATCACCTTGGCTACAGCCGGGGCGTCTCCAGGTTTCCAAATTGCCTGCAGAGATGAAGTGAAGATCCTGCCAGAGCTCACAGCTTCCAGCCTGTCACAGTTATTGCAGCCACCTCATGAAGAGAACAGTGTAACTGTCTTCATCATTTTCTGTTGCATGGCCACAAATGTGAGCTATGAACAAACCTTGCTAGAATCAAGCTGGATCTTCAAGATAAATTTGTACATATGAAAAAATTTTCCCCTGTTTAATATAATTTGCTCAGACCTTTTCACTGAGCCCAACAATTAAAATAAAGATCCTGAATTCCTGACCAGAACAGAATAAGAATCCCCCATAGCGGGCCAAAGGCAAAGTCTGGCAGTGACCTTCACATTCAGCTTTGAAGATCAAAATCCATTGCCTTAGCACTGAGAGATCAGTTGCAGTTTCTCTGTGTTTTTCCTTACATGTCTAAAGTGCCTGATATGCTGGGCGCCACCATTTGTTAACAACAATCCAGATTTTATGTTAAGTTTTGGACATAAATGTGCCATTTGATTTACTAGCCAGAAGCTACAAAGACATATTAACCGCACAGGTTATTTTACAATACATTCACTCCATGTAAACGTCTTTCAAAAACTAAGAAAATACAGCAGAATAGTCCCCACTGTTTTGTAAGACAGCATATTAATTTTGATGTATATTCTCTGGTACAACATACCTATATGATGACTGTAAAGGTTGTTTTAGTTCTGATTTTAAACCTCTGGAAAAAGAGAAAAATATTAGAAATATTTAATCCCTTCAGCTACAGAATCACTGGTCTCCTACTGCTGTCTTGGAAACAAGACCCATCTGGGTCGCAAATTAACTTTAATTAGCTTTCAGTGCATCAACTTTTATTACCAGCTATGCGTTGCTGACATTCGTACTACCAGCAGGTTATCAGTAGCATACACCTCACCCCAAGAAGACTGAAATGATTTAAAAAAGGAGACAGTCTTCCTGTAAAGACACATCTCCAAAGAAACGCTGGTTTCATGTCCATCACCTTGGTCTGCATGATGCAGAATCTGGGGTTTCAGAAGCATTCTGAATGTTTTGCCTCATCCTGTGTCAAATATGCAGCAGCAGCTGAATTTCACATCCCATTTGCCTGTCATCTTTCAACAACCTGGATTTTAGAATCTTAAATTAACATTTAACAATCACAGATTATGTTCTTTCTTACTCTGCCCTTGCATACCTGACTCAGATAATATAGTCCCTTCCACCTATGAGCTTTTTAAACTTTTAAAATTTTTTGTTTCCCCCCCTCTCTCTTTATAAGAAAATGTCTATGAATGGCCGCTGAGTACTCTGGGACCATTTACTGTGTTTGTACCGACAAACAAGGGGCTCAAAGGTACAAATGTAAGTAAGTAACAGAGAGGGGTTTAAATTTGGTGGGTGGAGGGGAAGGGGCGGATTTAGGTCCTTCAGAAATCCCATCTGTGTTAAAAGTGTTTTGATGCAACATTTTGCTCTAGTACACTTCTGGATACATTTAAATCTTGGGTCCAGAGACTGTCTTTTTCCTATTTAAAAGAAAAACAAAATAATTTGGTGAGTCAGGGTAGAATGCAGTCATACTTCAAGTAAGTTTTGGATTGTCTTATGTGGCTGTGCTCAAGGTTTTTTCACCTGGTTAAGACAGGGGCTGAGTTAAGGTCTGAATTTTCAGCAGGGAAGCTTATGGGTCACCTTTATATAAGGGCAATTAAAAAAAAATAATAGTTTTAGTTTAAAAAAATAAGTGGCCTGATATTGACGACTTGTATACCTTCCCCTGAAGTCAACTCTGGAGGCACTGCTCATGCAAGGACATAAGGGTGCAAAGTGACCTGAACTGAAACCAAGAGAGACCTCCATTTGGTTGACCCTATCACCTCACTTCAGGAAAAAAAAAATAAAATATATATATATATATATATATATATATATTATTTCAGAATATAACAGCTAGAGGAAAAAGATCATTTACCTTGAGATTATTTTTAGATTAAGTCTGTACTGAAATAAATCTCTGTTCTTCTGCCCTTCCAGATAAAGGATCTTCTGAATAATAAACAGAAAGCACAGTACTTTGTGAAACTCCATGTAATTGCTGGTCAGTTGAATACCAGTAGCTTGAATACTACTAATGTAATATATACTTTGACTGGCAAGTCAGGAGAGATATCAAAGGGAGAAGAGGTAAGTGGCCTTCCAACCTACCTCAGCAAGAATACTACTCTCTGTTCACTCAACAAGGAAGGAAAGGTCTTTCTGCAGTCAGACATCAGGTTGCAGATAGCTGCTGGATTATGAAAAACCACAGCTGTGGCCATGCATTGAAAGGGAGTTCAAGTGAAACCTGAAACCTCACCAGCAAAGTTCCCACTAAAAAGCAGTGAAAACAAAAGTTACCTTTAGAGATGCATCACCACTGAGTGACATAGCAGTCTAACACAGCTCTAAAAAAGTTTGCTAGGATTAAGTCATCTTAAATCCTCAGGTGTGACCAATAGAGCTGGTGGGGGGCATTAAGAGAGCCTACGTGAAGTAAAAGGAGGGGGCTGGAAATCCAGACCTTACGCTGGAAACCTGCATGTACTGCTGAGACAGAGCAATCACCGACTGCACTGCAAATCCCACCTACACCTGATCATCAACATCATTTGAATAATGCAGCAAATAGAAGTCTTCAGCATAAATAAATTGCATATGGAAATTTATCATGAAAAATATGGAGTAAAGTTCATCACTAGCCCAGTTTACTTGATGTCAGTAAACATTAGGGCAGTCTGATCCCACTGTTTAAAAAATGTGTTCCCTATAGCTGATATACCAGATTCTATAATCTCAAATTATGGTTCCTGGTCCATTAAATGTTTCTTAATGACCCGGGTCTATGTGAAGGCTTAAATCAAGTACTTCTCATATTTTGCAGTAGATCAGTGGCATCTGAGAGATCTATTTCATTTCTTTAATGAGTACACACTCCATTTCTAACAGGAAAATATCATTGCTGTCTTAGGCCTTTTAGTTTCCTCCAGGTTTAAGTACAGTGCAAAATCAGCAACATTTTGTTGTTTTAAATATACATATAATATAAGGAAATGCGTTATAGTCCCTGAATATTATGGGAGTTGACCTTTTCAGTACAATCATATTTTAAATCATTTCCTGTCAGACTTTCATTACTAGCAGTCATCAGAGCCCTTTTAGGTTCACTGCTCTCCCCACAGGGCCTGTCCCTGCTTCTCTTCTGAACTTTGCTGCCCTGGAACAAAGTAACACAATACTGATCCAAAGTCAAAGGAATTTTTTCCATTTCCTTGATAAGCATTAGAAGCAACCTTTAGCCTCCCCAGATTTAAATGGCCCAGGTATTGGCAATGAAAGGGGGTGTTAAACTTTATTCAATATGCATCCTCGCTATGTTGTCATTCCATAATAAAGAGCTCACTATCCATTGCCTGCCTTCTTTCAGGATAATCAATTAAGAATTAGAATCCAAGGAGGAAGGAGGAAAGGGAAACTTTTGCAGGGAAATATTATTGCTTCCAATGGGATTTTGCACATTCTTGACAAAGCCATGGACAACGTGGAGCCAACCTTTGAAAGCAGCAAAGAGGTGAGTTGTAAGCTATATACATGCAATGTCAGACTTTCTTTTAAAATAATTTCACATTAATTGAATGCAAAGGAGGATGACTGACGGCAGCAAGACAAACTCTGCTGAGCCATTGTGCATCAACTCAGAGAAGCAACATTCAAAGTGAAAGGTAATGACACAATTTCCACAGCAAACAGGCATTCAATCTTCTGCTAAGCTGGTCCGTGGAGGATTGATTTGGTTGTACTCACTGCGTCTGAATGGTTCCTTGGGAAACTGGCAGTCACAGTCAGTGCATGTCACCAAATTTTAAAACAACATATTCAAAGGAGGGACATCTTGACAGATACCAGGCATGACTTCTATTCAGAGCAGCAATCCCACCCCGCAAAAGGCTAGCATTATACAAACTGGTAATTTTGGGCGCTTAGGGGTTTTTAGTACCCTGCTTAGCATACTTCCTTGAGAGTTCACTTCTTTAGATGATGTTCTTGTAAATATTTTATTTCTCTGCCCTTTCTTATTGAGGATGAAGAGACAATCTGTGACTACACAGTATTTCAGGACAATGACAAACTCTAACTATAAGCCAGTATAGCACCAGGACAAGAGTGCTACCATCTCAGCCATTTCCAGACACCACCAGCCACCCAAACAATAAAGAAACCCAAATGTATTTAATTGGTAATAACTGAGGCTCATAGGGTAATTCAAAAACTGTGTCATAAGAATTGGTATTTATTCCATGTTCTCAACTAAAATAAATCTTACTTTCATCTTATTTCAGGAAACCATAATGTCAGTACTTCAAGATAACAGAAGATACAGCCAATTTACATCTTTGATAGAGGTAAGGATCCAAAAAAGCAATTTCAGAAAGCTATTTCCAGATGTTCTTCAAGATTAATATGTAATTTCACTTTTATTTTTAAATCAAAACAGAAAACTGGCCTGGGAATGGATTTACAGCAGGACAACAGGCCTTACACAGTCTTTGTTCCAAGTGATGAGGCTTTGAGTAATATGAAAGCTGAGGTTCTGGATTACCTGCTTTCTGCAGAGGTATAGTCTTTCTATAACTCAAATCTTTCTCAGATAGTAAATATATATGAAGATATATAGCAGATGCATATATACATTGTCCGGTGTTCATCTAAACTGAGCTGCTAGGATCAAGGCTTAAGCCAGCTGTAACAATTAAAGATCAAGACGACACCCAGAGAGGAACAGGATTTGGGGTCTCCCATCATATAAAGTAATGACAATCCTCCACACCAGACCCCCACTGCCCTGCTCTTGCCTGGATGGCACAGTCCATACAGCCACAAGGCAAAACCTCAAACCCTCTCCTGGAAAGTGTCACCCTGGCTGGGAACAGTCAAGGGGACCAGATGCCACAAGGGCCCCGTTGGCTGGAAGACACTGCTGGTGGGGACCCAGGAGACAGATATTGGTGTCCTGTCCCCTGGACACCTCCTGTCTTTCCCAACACACCTGCAAGTTGTGAGAGGCCCGTGCCAAAATAAAAAGTGATGTAGGGCAGGGCGCATGCCACAAGCTGAGCACTACCACTCACACGAAGGTTTCTGGTGCACCAGCCAGTGATGCTATTGTCATCCCCATGTCCTCTCAACAGGCCAGGTTGGGTTTGTGTGAATCATTTTGGACTAAAACGGCCTCTTTTCTACTTCGGCAGGGTTCTTGGAAGTTGCTGGAGCTGGTCCGATACCACATTGTCTCCAATATAGAGGTGAGCATAGCTGCTTTACTGACCCGGAGCGTAAGAGCATTTTCAAACCCTTTGCCACTCTGAAGGCAAAGGATTTCCAAGAACGACCTCTGCTCAGTGCTGAACAGCAAGGCTGCAAAGGACAGCTGTGCCTCTGCCTTTGCTAAGGGTGGTCACATAAAGGTCATTAACCAAGAACACTGACCTTTCACCTCATTGTCACTAATCAAAATAAAACCCCACTAGGGGGCATGGAGTAGTCCTCAAATTATGGCAGATTAAAACTGTGTTGTGCCACACTAGTGTGTTACATGCGAGTGACTATTTCCACTTTAAAATATACCTTTTGGTGATGGGGACTTAGCCCAAGTGGGAAAAAAACATGTATATATACATGTATGTATATATAGTCATCCTGAACCTGAGACCTGATACCTTAGCCTGCTGTGGAGCAAGAACCACTGTAGCAGGAAAAGTATTTGTTGCTATTGAAGTCAAGCTCTCTCTGAGCCTATTTTGCTAGGATTAGTCTTCTGTTTATCAGAGAGGTGGTTTTGTCATCCTATAAATAAGCCCCTTGTTTTTCTCCTCCTTTTTCTACTGGAAACAAAGAACAGAACACAACACCACCACCAGCAAATAAGGCTAGAGGAGACTGATGTTCATCCCCACCGCAGCCCCTGCTGTGGGGAAGGAAGGAAGGGCTCGTATCCTTAGGGAAAGGCCCTGCTCGCAGCATCCAACGTGAAGGTCACTTCCAACACAGAATGTGGTCACAGGGAGCAGAGGCATGAGATCCACGTGTCCCTTTACAGGATATCAGCACCATCATCCTCACAATGGTCTAAGGATACAAACAGGGCTATTTTTAGGGAGAGGTGATAACTTTACTTAGACTGGCTGCTATAATTAGGAGAAAAATTAATATTCTTTTGGGCTATAAGCTCTTCACACGCAGCAACAAGCAAGCTCAAAACTTAATCACTCTAACTTTGTTACACAAGCAGATTAGTCAATGTGAGGCTGACCACATAGCTAATAGGGTCATTTGCTCACCCTAAGGAGAAAGGCGGTATTTCTTGTGAAATCCATCTGGATTTGAAAAGAGTAATGATATTACATTTCTTTCAATCAATTTATATTCATTTCAGCTAGAGGTTGCCAGCCTCATGTCTATAGAGCACATCAGCAGCATGGCGAAGCAGTTCATTTACTTTAACAGGACCAGCAATGTAAGTCAAAGGCAGCTTTCACCTGTGAGCCGCTCTCTCTGATCTAGACAATTGTTTGCATGCAGGGGGAGTAAAACAGGGAGGAGGGGGGACATTAGCAGAGGAATTTCTTGCTATAATGAGGCAGAAATTTTTGACTTGCCATTCCCACCTACTGTTAGAAATTAGTATTATAAAGGATACAGAACAAATGGCTGGCATATAAGGACAGCCAGCAGTTTCTTTTTTCTTATGAGTAGCCCCAGTCCAGGAATGATCCTCATTTAGTTAAAAAAAAAAAAAAAACAAAACAAAACAAAAAAAAAACTATTTAAAATATTTTAAATCATTATTTTGCATATTTTGGCTATTTTAAGCATCTCTCAGTTCACACATATATATTCTTTCATTGTCTTTAATATTGTGGTCTCTGATCCTGATGAACGTAGTGAACACCTTTTTAAAGGTGTTAATTTTTCAGTACTTTTGGAGAAGGGATGCACCTATGAAAAACCTTGTAAAGGCAGAGCAGTTGCATGAGTAAATGCAGAAAGAATGTTCTTTCTTTTTCTTTTTTTTTTTTTGTCCTGTGAATTTAAATAGATGCCAGATTCTTTCTTTTCCCCCTCTTTGTCAGAGAGAGGACCAAAACATGCCTATGCCCCCTGAAATCAGTGTCTGAAGTCATCAGTAGTCTTCTCATTTTGTCCAGTCTTTTACTCACCAGTTCTACAGACTAACAGTGCAGATTAAGAGGAAAACTTTAGATACCACTGTAGACCAGTATTCAAGAAAATGCACAAGATTTGCATGCTTCTTGCATAAAACAAGCATAATAAAAATAGATAGAAAATTAAAAGTAAGTATAACTAGAAATTCTTGAAATTAAATCATCAGAAATTGAGAAGCTATGAAAATTTTATAAATAATAATAATGTATGTTTTCATAGGGAAAAATCCTGGTGAATGGAGAAGAAATGGAAGAAACAGATATAGTTGCAAAAAATGGTCGCATTTATACTCTTGCAGGAGTTCTTATCCCACCTACAATTGTTCCAATTCTACCACATCGGTGTGACGAGACAAGAAGTCAAGTTGCAATGGTAAGAGAGTCGCAACAAATCAATAGCTCTTAATTGCTCCATACAAGGCACTCTAGCTTCCTCTCTACTACTTTCTCATTTAAAAAATGGGGCATTTTTTGGCAATTAATATATCAATGACATACAGCCACCTGGCTAGCAGTACTACACAGATACAAATAATTTGCAAACAGGGAACTCAGATAAGCACAACCTATACCACTTCAACATATTTAGTTCTTGCAGTAGTCCTTTTAAATATTTTTGTCTCTCCAAACGTTTTCCTTCAGTTCCTGAATCACATCTGTGCATAAAAGTACATGTTAAGCAGTGTCAATTTCCCAGGGAAACTACTCTAAATCAGTATTTTCATTTCTACTAAATATGCAGGGAAAGGAGCCAGCAAGTTAAAATATTAATGCAAAATTAGTTTTTGTGTTATTACATTAGAAATATGTTATTTTCAGAAGCCACAAATTCCCCTGGCCCTGCTTTCTTAGTTTTATTCAAATTAGGAAATACAAAACCGTTTCATATTTCAAAGGGTGGATTTCAACATAGCTTGTTCAGTTTGGTAACACAGTACAGGCCTTTACACTTGTTAATGTTCAAGTACTATTTCTGGTAAGAAGACCAAGTATTAGACCGAGTTTTTAATTTGCAGTAAGCATGGCTCCAATACGCTCTTACTGGGCCATGTTCAAGCACATATCTGGGCCAGTAACAGTTCTGGTACAGTAATGCAAAACATTTACTATCTTAACTTATGAGAGTCCAGAACCAGAGCCTTGAAAGAGGTGCTCAGCAGAGCTGGACAGCATCAAAATCTAATGAAGAAAAACACAAAAGCTGGCAGTAAAGAGCTATCACCTCTGGCAGTAACTACAAAGTGCCGTATGTGCAATATAATCATAGACCAGGCAGAGTGCCAAACAGCAATCTCCAATACAAAAAGTAATCAACACCCAGAACACTTCAGTAATTTGAGTTCCTTACCAGGAACTGACCTACAATCCGTGTCTGCCATCGATCAATCCTAACGCAACACTGAGGAAAATGATTTAAAGACAAAACAAACAGCATCTGTCACAAAAATTATTCCCCAAACTGAAGTTAGGCACTTTTGTCAGCTTTGAAAGCTTCATGCAGAGTTTAAAATATAGTTTAATACCCAAGGTGTAAGCAGAGCACTGCTACCAAAGAGAACACCAGAAGAAAACAATGACTTTACTGTTTTTACTGTTCACTGCATCTTCATCACTCTTAGAAAACAGAAATAAAACCATCTCGTAAATACTACATGTGGTACCGGTTAAAAGAACGGACCTTGTAGGAATTGGTAGGTGTACACACCTACAAAATCTTTATATCCATAAAGATGAAAACACTATGCTAACACACACATATTCATGTAACCATACTTGAATGCTGAAAGCCATACCTGAGCCTAACTGAACAGCAATGATTATTCATAATGTCACAAACAGCACAAGAGGGACAACACGTCCTCACTACCTGCCTGATACGTGGACTGTGGCCAGTTTTGATGGTCTCTGAGCACTGAAGCTGTCCCCAGCTATCTGCTCTACCTCCTCCCCCAAGGCCATCATTCCCATGGCAGTCTTGACATATGGGAACATAGATGTTTATGCTTCAGTTACTTCGATGCAAAGACAGTATCTTAAGCCACTGCTGAAAATGGGCAGATCTGACCTTGAGTGGAAGTGCAGATGCTTTTCTCTGTCCCTGCCTGCAGCATGACAGAGGGGAGAGACAGGACTCCCACCCTCAGAAAAAGGAAGGAGCAGGTACATGTCAATGGCCGAAATCATGACAGGTGGAAAAAGGGAGAGAGTAGGTGACACTGAGCAGCAGTGAGCAGCAATGAGAGCAATGCCAACAGAGGGAAATTTCCCACAACAGTTGGCCAGATTTTTAAGTTCTAAAGGAGCAAAGAGGTACTTGAAGGGATTTTCAGAAACACAAAGAAAGGTAAGAGCCTAAATCAGCTTCAGCGATGGCTCCGCAGCTTATCAAAGAGCTTTTATTATGCCCAAATGTATTTGGCAAAATACATTTCACTGATAGGCCTTTAAAACATAGTGTCATTGATATCTCAACTATTTGATGCCCAAATGCTTTTTTAAGTCTGGTCCTTTATTCCTTTAAGTGCTGTACAACATGAAGGACTATTAAATCCAAACCCATACTTGTTTCTTTCCCCACAGAGCTCCAGTGATATCTGCGGGAAAAAAAAATCCTGTAATTCACACTCGTCCACAGTCACTTGTCCAATGACTATGAAACACAGTGAACACATCAGATGCCAGCTGTAGGATTTATTCTAACTTGAGTGAAACACAAGACATTAGCAGTCACAAGCAACATGATTTGACAGACTGCATATCCACGCTCTGAAAGACTCAACCTCTTTGAAGTTATTGCAGGTTGAGCTTGTCAGAGGGCTCACCTTTAAAACTACCACAGGAGTTTATATGTCCTCACTGCTGTAATTGCCAGTCTCTGTCACCACCACATGGTTATAAATTAGCTAGTGGAGAAAGGCAACCAAAAGGTGAAGACATAAAAATAGCTATATACCACTGGATCATAGTGGAGTACAGGATCTATGACACAGTATCAAAGAATATTTTTCTCTTCACTGCTTATACCCAAGACAAATTTCTGTTCACACTGTCTGTATACAAGACTCAACTAATTTGAAGTCTTCCTTGGAAGAAATAAAAAATTCTCACAGAAGTGTGCAGACTGCACTAGGCCCTCAGACAATATTAGTTAATATATTACACTGGATTGAGCAAAGGAGGCCAGTGAAATCATGCCCATGTTTATCTTCTGTTTAGGAAGCTTCCAGTTCTTTAAAAGAGGAGAGTGGGGGAAGGACAAGTAAAGATAAAAAGGGGAAGGTAGAAATGAACAACCACTCCGCAAAAATCATAGTCAGCACATACAGCCCTGGCACTGCTGTTCAGTTCCAGATCCATGTTGTAACAGTTAAAAGTCATAAAACAGATGTACTTAAAATGTACAGGGTATACCATTCATAAATATGCATCTCAGTAGTTGGTATAATGCTTTTTCAATTGACGATCCTTATTGTTTTCATCTAGGGCATCTGTGCAAGTTGTTTATCATATACATTGGCTACCTGTCCACAAGATTCAAAGCCCATCGTAAGTGACATCTCCTGACAGATTCCCCAGTTGTGCAAAATGCATAGAGGGAGAAGGGGTTGAATACTGTTGATTACTGCTCTCCCAATATAGTGAGCAAAAGAGCCAGATAAAAATACAGGAAAGTGCATAAAAATACAAATATAGGCACTACTCTAGTCTTTTTTTGTCAATGATTAAAGCATCAGGTAATTTCAGCATTATTTTTTTTGTGGTTTCAAGATCCCGTATAGACTTCACAGAAGCTCTGACTCTTTTCTCAGGTAAAGTAAGATCTATTTCAGACAGGCTTTGGCAGAAGAGAGAGGTGAAGAATGACAATTGCAATTATTATGTTTTGAGAGTTAGTAGATAAAAAATAGAGAAGAGATACACTTAAAACAGACCTCACATCTGCTAAAAATTTCCTTTTGATTAAGCATTCCCCCAGAAGCAACTGTCTGCAGAAGCAGCTTCAGAAAGGATTGAAACTTGTCCATCTGCTTTGCATTTGAGAGATACAAATCTCCATGTTTCTCCACATACAGAACTCAAGTCTAGCTACCACAGGAATTTTATTCCCCATGTTATAAAAATTTACTGGTAGTTATTCCTATATGCCATATTCAGTAATAACCTATATCCCATTATTCAGTAATAATGAAAAGAAAGTTGGTATTATGAAAAAATCAATAATATTCTGATTTTTTTTAACCCAACACTATAGCAAGGTTCCTTCTGTTCTCCAGTTAAATTACGTTGCAATATCAAGACTGTATCACAGAACCATAATGTTGCTTAGAAATACTAATGCTTCTATTTTGTGCATGTTCTAGCCTTTCTCAAAACGGAGATGCATTATTGAAGGCCCAACCTTCCAAAAAACTGGCTGTGCTAGAGCCTGCAATATAACAATAAAGGTATAGACTTATGGTTCCTTCAGGTGAAACATATATAAAATTTTTCCAAAATATTGTCTTTTGCATTGTGACCTTCCCTTTTGGAGTCAAAAGATGTTTGCAGATGTCCACGTAGTTTCCATACTCTTCTACAGGGGGCTGAGAGGAACTACTGTAAATCTTAGAGCAAAATACCAGGCAAACTCCGTGAGGTTTCTTAGCTGCCATGTTATTGACAACAACGCTCTCGTACTCTGTAATGCAGAAGTTTTCATGTAAGGCTCCAAGCCCAGATGTTGTTATTGCCCCATATAGCCTCACCCATGAAGAACAGGTCAGCTTGGTCCCCAGCTCCTCCTGTCCCAGGACTTCACATGATATTGGAGAATAATAAATGGAAAATGGTCCCAAGAACCACGCTCCGCTTGCTCTGCTTGGCAAGTCTAGTCCTCACAGAAGTCATTAGCCCCTGAGAGGTACTCCTACCTTTCTGGCTCCTGGGACTCCTAAATAGGCTTCTGCATTTCATGACCACCATTAAGTAACAAGCAGAGAAGTCTACAAATCTGTAAGCTTTGAGTGCCTTTTGCTAATTCCTATTTCCCTTGAATCATACATGTAAATGAGGGGTTTTTTTCAAATACAATTTCTGTGCTCTTGATAAACAAATGAATCAGGCAGCCAATTCATAAATAAAACAAAAAATGCAGCTGAGAAAAACATTTAGGGCTCTGTAGCAGTTAAATCTCACATTGGTGCAGAGGGGAAGGAGGAAGATCAAAGCAGCACGTTTAGCTTTCACAGAACCTCCCTGGGATAAAATACATCTTTGAGTTCCTGATCTCGGATGCAAAGGAGACTGCCTGCCTCTGAATTGCACTGCACTCCCTCTGGCAAATACAAGAGCACACACAGTATGGAGCAGGCACACACAGGCACAATCGTAACTGGTGACAGGACAGGGATTTCTAACACTGAGGAGTATGATAAGAACAAGAGAAGGATCTGGTGGTTTGTGCATCCCCTTCTTGGGCTGCCATACCCCCCCCCCCCCGCCCCTCCCAGTTTTAATAAGGCCATTGCAAAGGTGGTTCTGGTTCAACACAAGCCTTTTAAGAACCATCTAGCCTTACAGGCCTTTGCCAGAGGGCCAAAACACAACGGAGAGTTGTCTTTTGTGCACTGCCTCCACACTAAGGCATTGGAAAAAAGGATATTTACTTTATTTCACAGGAACCAAAGTGTTGCAAAGGCTTCTTTGGCTCTGACTGCAGTCCATGTCCAGGAGGTTTCACCAAACCCTGCTCAGGAAACGGGCAAGTAAGCAGAGCATCCGGCAGCACCTTGCACTCCCATGGCAGGGAGGACAGGCTGTGTCCCAAAAGTCCCTGAAGCACTTCTGCACAACAGGGATGTTAGAGTCCACAAGAGCTGCACCCTCCATTTATGTCCAGTGATGGCCATGAATTCCAAGTTCAGTTATACAGAGGAGGGAAAATGAATCAGTCTCCTCTCAGGTGTCCAAATTGCAGGTTTCTGTGTTTCCAACACCAGCACACAGGAAAGTCTGGGGCTGGGTGACCCACTCTGATACTTTTACTTTGCACAGCACAGGAGAATGACACAGCTCACTATTCTCACTTTAAAATTACAAAGAGAAGTAGAATACACAGCAGCAAAGTACAAGTACAGGGAAAGCTCTTGCTTTGAAACACCTTTTTCATCAAAGCTGAGGTTCTTCATAGTAGTCTAGCACAGTCATAATACAGACAAGCATATAGTCTCTTTTCTGGGGGAAGGATAGACTTATTTCAATTTACACCTAGAAATCAACTCTCTTCTATATCACAGTGCATGGATGGCCTGGGTGGAAATGGGACCTGTGTTTGTGCTGAGGCATTTCAAGGCTCGAGCTGTCAGTTCTGCTCAGACCCTGGCAAATATGGACCTCAGTGCGACAAAGGTCAGTAAAGCCATATATCCTCAGCTCAAGAGCATGGGCTATTTCTTTTGGACCCTAGTAACATTAGGGTAGGAGTTAACTGCTCACTAAACAGTACCTATAGAGGATAAACAAGATCTCTCTGGGGTACTTTCATTTGTTATTTCAAAGGGAGACATCATAAACCCAGAGTCAATGAAAATATTCTCACCGACTTAATTGGGCTTTCTGCAGGGGCCATGGTTTGCTTTATATTAATTTATTGTTCTTTTCACTTCTGTCTCCCTCACATAAGTAACTGAAAAAGAAAATCTTTGTTATTCTATTCCCATCTGGTATTGCCCATAACAGAAGAGATTCTGCCTGCAATGAGAAATACATATAATCTAAGAACATCTAGATCTATAAACAGACTGTGTTTAGGGCCACTTCATAACCATCTTTACTGAATAATTTCTGATCTATTGAATAGCTTATAGTTCCAGCAGTCATCTTCTATATACTGACAGTTTTAATCCTGCTATGTCAAACTATACTACATTTGAAAGTCTACAGAACATACAACATCAAATACAGATATATTCCCCATCTGCAAAATCATTTTTAGTCTTCTTTGCTATGAAACAGCCTGTCATTTATGAAGTAAAGCTCACTTGAAGGTTCAGAGGTATATGGACAAAAAACAAAAGATAAATTCCATAAGAAAGAGTGGTATTGCCTAAGCTCTGGTCCTGCCAAAGCAGTACATGTTGGCTTAACTAGTCACCACTGGCACTACTTCGGATTGCAGAAGGCTTACCTACTATGTCCTTTGGGCACATTGCTGTGCCTCCTAGCAATACTAATCAGCCCAGCCCCAGCAAAGCTCTGGTAGGTCTGTGCTGCTGCTCTGTGCACTAGCCCAGCACTGTGCAATTTGTAGGATTGTGGACTCAATATTAAAAGGCTTCCCATGTCACTGATAGTATGTCAGAAGTTGAGCAATGAAATAACTTTAGCCTTAAAAGGACATAGTATTTTGCTCCGCCTTCTCTGAAGTACTTTGAAATTCATTGATAGATAAGGGCACTGAAGACACAATAAATTTTAAATAGATACCCATAAAAGACACCTGAAAAGACATAGCTCTGATACATAAACAGTAAGTCTCCCAACAACGTGCACCTTTAAAAATACAAAAGTTTAGATTCTAGAAAAAGAAGGAGGACTCAGTTCATAAGAAGTGCTACGTAAAGATAGATGCCTTTTACCATGAGGGAACTGCACATTGTCATTTATCTCTGGTAGAGTGCCTCTGCATTTATGGGAAGTGCAATAACCGAATAGACAGTGATGGGATCTGTCTTCCTGGATCATGCAGAAGTGGATACACGGGGAAACTCTGTGATAAGCAGGTTGTTCCCTGTGAGCCCTCCCTACAGCTCTGCCATGCACATGCAGACTGTCATCTTAGCAATGGTGCAGTGAGGTAAGTCAGCAACTTGCATGTAATTAATATTAACTATGCTGCAGCTTTGTCCTATTTTCTTGATCCAAACAGTGCCTTGTAGCAGCACACAAACATCAGCTACTGAAATACTGTTATGCAGCAAATAAGCTTAAACATGCACCACATCAACCTTGAGTTGCAAGATAATAATTAAGATTTCTCAATGCCCTATCCTGTACCTTATATTTAACACTGGTAAGATAGATGCGTACGGATATGACCCCTGTTCAGAAGGCTGCCTTCCCACCAACATCTCAAGGCTCTTGGGAACCTCTTATGAATTAGGAGTTTGAGCCTTCCTGAAAAACAAACTCTCAAGCAGTTTGGGGATAGATATCTCATTCTGGACCACTCAGGTAAGATTTGCATGCCGTAACACCGCAGACTTCAACAAGGTTCTCCAGTCCTGACAGGACTGGTCACAAACCCCTGTTACTGCTACAGCTGCCTTGTGCTTGCCTCACACTCAACCTCACACAGCAAGTTTGCCTCTTGCCAGTGTCTTCATAACGAGTCACCACAGAAAGCAGAAGAGGGGATGCTGCCTGTGTTACTTATGTGCTTAAAATATTCTCTCCAAATGGGTTAGTCTGGGGGGGATGGGACATAACCCAGAGAAACAGGGGGACTCATTCTCATACATTTCAAGGAGAGAGCTATCTTCTGTGTCACTGAAAGAAGGAGCAACCCCAACTCATAATTAATTTAGAGCTATTAGCTCACCTTTACAAAGATCACATTAGCACAGAATTAACTTCACTCCCCATCTTATACACAGAGAATGGATCCCTGATTTGATTTAAATAACCCAGCCAATATTTTGTGGAAAAAAAAAAAATAATGTACATACTTAAACTATTTACATCATGAACCCAAGGTTACCAATTTTAAGCTGCCTATAAACAAAAGGTTACAGTGGAAAACAATCACTTCACTTTACAGCTGTCCTACCACATTTAATGCCTCTCTCCTCCTGTTGTCTCTACAGCTGTGTTTGCAAACCTGGTTATGAGGGAGATGGCATGAGCTGCAGCAAAGCTGATCCTTGTGCTGCTTTAAACCCAGGTGGCTGCAATATCAATGTAAGTATGTGCTTTTCCCACAGAGCCTGACACCACAGAAAAGTGGGCAATAAGAAAGGTTTGACCAGAAACACCTGCAGTCACAATTTTCACTGCAGTTTCAAGCTCTTTCCCCAGATAGAAGCATCACTATTGCTTAGACAAGCCTTACAACTAAAGCCAGATGCCACCTAACTGTCCTGAACGGGTGCCTCTGCATGTCCCCCCAGGCCGAGTGTGTTCGGACGGGCCCAGGAGAGCACACATGTGTTTGCCAGGCAGGATGGACAGGCGATGGAAGGGACTGCTCAGCTATCAACAACTGCCTGCTGCCCACCGTGGCAGGGTGTCACGAAAATGCCACCTGCATATACGTTGGGCCGGGTCAGGTACGTCCTCCCACATTCATTGCCACCCTCTGCACTACTCCTCACCCATTTTGCTGTCAGCACTTCCTACCCTGTTTTCTTCCCCAAATTTTCCTCTCCCTCCTAGATACAAGGTTATTTCCAGGTGGCACATTCTATCCAAAGCAGTCTCCTTTAGTTCCTATCCCAGTGCTTCCTCCCTCCTATGCGGTGGCATTGTGGCAGCAAACACTTCTTAGTAAGTACATTAGTATATGTCAGGCATAAAGGTGGTCTTGAGATATTAATCAGTGTCATTCCACTGCAGTCAGTGGAGCTACGCAAAAAACACAGAGAGACTAATTCACCACGTCTAGAATATACATACTATTTTAATCATTGTAATAAATTGCTGTGTTTTATTGAAATGACAGAATGACTGCAAGTGTAAGGACGGATTTCAGGGGAATGGAATTGAATGCACACCCATAAACTCGTGCCTCAAACAAAATGGAAAATGTCATCATCTGGTGAGTAATCAAACATTCCCTGAACAAAGTGTTCAGATACATATCACACCTCGCCTCCTGCACACACCATAGAATTTCCTTGCCATTTCAAGCCTGCAGTTTCTGTTTGAGTTGGAACAAAGCTTTCCAAGCAGCACTGCAAACACCAAAAATGCTACGAAAACCATGTCAGTATGGTATGTGCGCTGAGGACAGACTGCAAGGGCTGCTCCTAATTCTGCCTGTACAGAAGGACTATCTCAAGTCTGGAGTAAATAAATGCTGCTTCTCTGCCAGAAATTACAATTGGGATGCACTAGCCTGTTGGGATATTTACCCACGTCACGCAACTCTGCGTAGTCTCTGCTGTGCTCTGTAGCTCCTGCAAGAGCCACACCAGCCCCAGGCAGGACACAGGGACAGAGTTAAAACAAAGCACATTGGGGAGCAAAGGATGGATCTGCTACTGTCGGGTGAAGGAACAGGGCCCATTTTATGTAGGGAAGAAGCAAGAAAGGGGGGAGTAAGATTGCTGTAGACTCAGTGCATGGTGGGCAGGTGAGGGAGTTAGTGCCCTCAGCTGGTGGCGTTTGTTCTGTAGGAGGGTGAGGACATCCATGGAAGATGGTATGAAAAACCTTTGTTAGGTTCATGTTTGTATATGAATGAGTTTCAGTAAGAGGCTTTACAGGCCATCCTTGCTCTCAAGTTGTTTCCTGAGTACTTGACGAAGTTTCTCTCTTTCTGGTTCAAAGGCAATTTGTCAGTTTGAGTCTTCGCATGGCTGGGAGTGTGTGTGCCCGAAGGGCTATGAAGGAGATGGCAGAATATGCTATGGAAATGTTGCAGATGTAAGTAAGATGGTCATCTTCTCTGAGCACAGAACCTACAGCACTGTTCTCACACTGGATCTTAGCCAGAGAGATAGCAAAGCCATCATAAACAGTTTGAAAAATATGACGCCCACCAGTGCTATCTGCAGCATTCCTGCTGGAGACTCTTGCCTGATACAAAAATGATCTGTTGTGTTTAAAAAACAGAATTTGGAAAAGAGCCTAAGAGATTCAAGCATATTTCTTTAAGACAAATTGAAAAATGCCATCCCCAGAGGCCTAGCATGGAGAAGTGCTAAGCACTCGACTTCCCAGCTGGAAGCAGCAAGCAACCAGCTCTTCTGAAGTTCTGCCTTGAGGTCTATCTCAGTGGAAATGGTCAATTTATCATGTTAAAACAAACCATGTTGACTGGCAGGTAAATAAAATCAAAACAAAAAAATTGGTGAAATAAATATGCATTTAACAGCATAGGAAAAATGAAAGTGTCAGCTCTCCCAGCCATTGGCAATAATCTTACATGGCTCTTAGCACTATCTACCTTCCCTGCTCATACCATCATCTGTCTCTGTTTGAAGTATCATGGCAGAATAAAAGGCTCTCCACTTGCAGTATGATATGTAAGAAGCAAAACAACATACCTTTTTTTTCAATTAATTTTGCATTGAATAAAAGATTTAGGTTTACATTCCCAGAAAATTAACACTTAGCCTGAGGTCAGTACATATCAGGTTTCAAGGTCAGGAACACCTAATACACATAAGCAATAGATGGCCTGATTTTCAAAGAGTTGGTAACTCACTCTATTCCCACTACCAGAAAGTATTAGTACTAGAAAAACACAAATGTCCTCCTTTATTCACACACACTGAAAACGTCCTCCATGTCACATCAGCCAGGCCATACACCTGGCAAGTTACACTACAGGCTACAGCAAGAGTACTTTGGTACAGCTAATTATAGCTTACCTACTCATTGTTCTCTCTTTCTATTTCTAATTAGGAGTTATCTACTCTATCAGAAGCAGCTGTATTTAACCAGTGGATTAATGTAAGTACACTTCATGGCTGTTTTTTTAGTATGTTTGCAGAAAAACGTGAACCTTTCAGCTTTTAAAAATGGGAACCTCACAGCAATATTCCCATCACACATCATAGGCCTAAACTCTGGAGAGGTATCAGAGTGCCTCTCCCACCAGTCACAGCAGGACTGATCATCTGATTCCCTATTTCTGCCTGGTCGCAAATTCAGGCAAGGAAGGAAGCTCCACAAGCAAAAGAGCAAGTTACAAGCCCACTCGCTGAGTCAGGGGGCTACATAAGCCATGACTAGCTGGGTACATAAATACTCTTTAGTCCAGATGACAACCAGTGGGTTACAAGCAAAGCCTGAATATGCCAAGGGGCTCCTTCCAACTTCTCTCATGCAACAAAACCACAAGCAAGTGGAAAGGGAAGGAAAGGCCTTACCCTTCCTATTTTCACTGAATCCCACGCCAGGAAAATGCAACCGTATATCTGGTCAGTCCACTGCTGCCACAGCAAGCAACAAGGAAAAAACTCAGTCTGTGCAGGCTTCACAGAGGTGCAGGACACAAAGAAACAGATTAGCTTGTTTGGCTTCAGATTAGGGAAGAAACAACAATTTAGATGGAAAAAAAGTTCTAGATAGATTGACTGTCACTGTCTACTTTTTATTTTCACATATTATCATTTATTACTAGGGCAGCAGTAACATTAGAGGTCCTACACCACTCTGATAAAGATGAAAACCAGTTTCTCCCACAAAGAACTTAGGACCTAAATATAAGAAGCATATAGTAAATACATGGCAAACAGGAAGGAACAGGGATATGTTAATGAATAACATCAGGAGCAGAAGTCACTGCGTATAGCTGTTTTCAAGCTTTCCAAAGTTAAATGGCTCAGGGATCATTAAGGCATGTAATTGCAACAGGGACCTCAGGGAGCTGCTTAAAAGAGAGGCCACTGTGGCTAATTTAAATTAGCTATCTGCCTGGCCCAGGGCTCAAGCTGCAGCACTGGACACAGTATAGAGAAACTAGTGAAGTTAAAGAAATGAGCACAATAGGAAAGGCTGTTCACCTGCTAATGTGCTCTTTAGATAATGAAGAGGGGCAGGGGTGAGGGGGGTGGAATCAGGGAGCAGATTATGTAAAAACTATTGAAACAAGAATGTGGAAATTTCTGCTACACTTCAGAAATATGGCATCCTTTAAACAGTGATAGCTACAGTCATGAGCAAAATAGGGAGGTATATCTATCTGTGGAGTTTTTAACTTCATAACTGAGCAGGAATGTGATGTTTACCAGTTTTCATAACTAAGTATTTTTCTTGCTGGTCAGGAAGGATGAGAAAGGGAAGTCTGTTGCTATTTCTGTATTTAAATATTTGGAAGGTGACAGTGATGATAGCTAGAAAGAAAGATGATCTTAACATAGACAAAATTCCCAGCTATTTAAGGGAACTGATTCCCTTCTTGATTTAAAAGCCAGTATGGGTATTAAAGGACTATCCAAAACAAGCCAGTTTCCCGGCAGCATACCAGCTGCAAAAAGGTAGAACCCAAGCTCGTATTGCTCCCCCAAGTTTTGCAGTATCAAAAATACCAAGTTGTGGAGCCTGTGAAAAGTTTGGAGAACCACACCTTCAGCAAAATCACATTAAAATCTTTAGTTGTCCCTTTTATACCCCACAAAAAAATCCACACAACTGCAAAAATCCTCTCTAGTGGGGGCTCTCTCCATCCTTAAGCCAGGTACAAATATATGGAGGATGAAGCAGTCCATGCACAGGACAGAGCTCACATCCTCCATCTAAAATTAGAGCTGTCAGCAGCAAGCTCCATTGCAGTTCTGGTGGGCACAGATATCCCTTGGACATCTTGAAAAATCCCAGCCATGTTAAATAGTCTTATTCCAAATGGGAACAACGTGTTACGTGGGTTTCTTATTTCATGGTTCATAATCCTCTATTATATAGCATGGAGTGCTCTGTAAGAGCTGGTTAATTGAGGTTATCAGTAACCACTAACATTTATCACCATGACTTTTTTTTTTTTTTTAACATTCAAATAGATAAAATCAAATCCATGAGACAGATGAATTTTTGTGGGAAGTAATTTATGTGTTCCATAGTAAAAAACAATTCTGACCTAAACATTGCTTCTGCTCTTTAAATGTTGGCAAACTACTCTGTAAAAAATAGACACCCATTTACCATTTTTGTATAGCTCTAAGTACTTTTGATCAAGTCATTGCTCAGTATAATAGCTTTTCCACTCCAGGCTGGTCACAAAGCATGTCACATACTCCACCTTGCTAAAAAGTCACCTGCTGCTATTTATAGATCATCCTTAGAACTAATTATTTTACCCTCTTTACTTTCATGCAGGAGGCTGAGATAAACTCGGTGTTGTCCACCACCTCAAACCTAACTGTCCTTGTGCCTTCCCTCCAAGCGATTGAAAACATGGATGAAGATGAGAAAGCCTTTTGGATGTCAAAGAGTAACTTCCCAACTCTACTGAAGTATGTTAATGGTTTGCAGTTTTGCTTTTTTTTTTTTAAATTAATTGCTTTTTTATGCCAAACAAGCATTGCTTTGAAGACACTAGAGCAAGACAGCTATTATTATAAGAGAGGGACATAGAATTCCCATTCTAGTCACAGTGATATAAATCTCAATAGCAACTCCACTAAAAACAAAGGCATTAATTATATTATGTCAGAAATGTTTAAAGGCCTAGCTAAGATCGGAACATAGCTGAACTAGATATTGTATAAACAATTCCTGCTTTACACCAGTTTTAGACACACTAAGCATATTTATCTGAAAAAAAAAAAAAAAGATAAAATACAAAACCTTCAAATCCATTTAATTTCCTTTAGGTATCATGTATTGACAGGAGCTTACAGCTTTGCTGATTTCCAGAATTTATCGTCTTCTGACATGCTGCCAACATCTCTACAGAGCAACTTCCTACACTTGTCTAAAGAAAACGGGGTGAGATGACCTGCAAACCACTGTGGTATCATACACCAAACCCCGATCATCACTGCCACTGATTTTGTTGTATTAAAAAAACACACAGACATTATGCACCTGTATTTTAAAAAAGACAGTGTCATAAAATTGGACTAGATCAATTATATTGGACACTCTGAGAGAAACATTAAGTTGATTCTTTACCACTTTACCTAGCTGAAATTTGTCCACAATGTTATTTATTCTTAATGTCTCAGTAGCTCCTACAAATGCTGGACAGTCTCATATCCAAGCGGAAGTACAGTCCCTGCCTGGAGCAGCCCTGTGTGAACTAATTTAAGACAAAGGGCACCAAGAAGACCCAGTAACTTTTTTTAGGGAACTGGGAAGGTAGGAGCAGTGATATCATGCACATGTCTGCATGTGCAACCTGATAGTCCCAAACCACCCAGAGGTATTTTTAATGGTAAATAAGTACAGCTGACAGCCTTTCCCACCTCAGCATTTTTATTTAGTACTCCATGTTCTGAGGAAGATTTTCTGGAAATATATATGGCACATTTAAGCAATTCATCCCCACTAAGGGAAGGAAAAGTTCCCCCTACCTCCATGCCCCAAGGGAAACATCAAAAATGAGGTTCCCTAAAACTGTACAGAAACAGGAGGGCGTGAATCAGCACAGGAGCTTATCCTGCCATGGGGTGGAGGTGAGCACACCTACACCGAGTAACTGTCCCAGGGCAAGCAACCCCATGGGTCTGCATGCAGGGGACAGCAGAGAATCCCAAAATCCTCTGTCCTATGCACGGTTCCCTGAGGGTAACCAGGCCTCTGGTGCGGGCTTTTGCGAGTGGAGTTGTGGTGGGGCCCCAGGCAAGCATTTTGGAAGGTGTCGAAATCTACAGCATGAACCTCTAGGAAAGTGCCACCACTGTAATGCGAAAGCAAACCCCATCTCCTCTCCCTCTTTCAGAACCTCACCCTCGAGGGCGCTCACATCGTGGCTGGCGACATCGCATCCACAAATGGGATCATACACGTTATTGATAAGGTATACAGCCACACAGGGAGGATTTGTTCCACTGCACCACAAGCAGTGGAAAATAATCAACAGCTTTGGGGAAAAAAAAAAAAAAAAAAAAGTATTATTTTCACAAAATAGCATTTTGTCCTGCATCTGATCCCTGCAGGTACAACAACAGCATGTGCACACACACTGACATGGGATATCTGCTCCCTTTTCAGGTTCTGACCCCGCTCCGCAGCACTGTCATGCCAAGGCTGCTGGCCCGCCTGAAGCAAATGCCTGATTACTCCATTTTCAGGGGATACCTTATTGTGAGCTTTCACATCGTTTTAAGAATAGAAGCAATTCCCTGCTTTCTTTACATTTCGACTGGTATCAGACTACTAGTGGTCATTCTGATTCGTTTTTATGTGTTTCACAACAGCAATACAGCCTGACAAATGAAATAGAAGCTGCGAATACATATACAGTCTTTGCCCCAAATAATGATGCCATAGAAAATTACCTCAGGGATAAAAAGTCTGCTACTCTGGTACGTATTGCTCACAAGACTTGTCTTAACAACTCAGTATCTCATCTCAGTTTCAAGTGGGTAGATTGAGAGGACACAGAAATAAGAAAAGGGATTTGCTTTCCAGAAATGCATTAAGTTTGGTTTTGTTTTTAACAACAGAGACGGTGAGGAGGGATGGATCCACCTATGTTTTTCTGGCTTGTCAGAAGAGCATAGCTGTTTGTTCTGGGGTTTGTCTTTCTCTAGATTAAAACCATGCTGATAATATCAGACATTTCATCAATATAATGCTTTGGGGGATTTTTTTCAAAGAAGATTAGTGCAGAAATGACCAGGAATAACACTGAAATGAGTTTCTTAAGTGAACATGTCCAGAGCCTCTGTCATCACTGGCAACCCCATCATTAATAATGCCACAAAAATATTCCAACTCTTTCTTAAAACTATCAAGATGCTTGCCCTGTCACTCCTGCAGGAAAGCTATTGCCCAGCCACTTTCTGCAGGCCATTTCTAATCCCAGTTTACAAGCATCATTGGCCAGTCCCAGGGCTCAGAAAAATTTCCTAAATTTTCCTGGCTAGAAAAATTTCCTCAGGCAACCCCCGTTGCTGTTGCCCAGTCCCAGGAGCCCCACACCAGGCTCATGCCTGACTTGGCCACCAGCTCCTACCCCAGCACAGACATGTCCATCCCTTCGCTGCCAACCTCAGTCCTTATGCTCAGAGTTAGTTTATGTTATTTTGTCAGCACACCTCTGGCCAGTTTAGATCCCTTGATTCTAACACCAGGAGTATGCTTTAGCTGGAACAACTTTCTCTCTCTGACATTTGGGCCCTGACATATTTACAAGGCCAAACAGCCTTCTCAAGCCTATTAGTTTCCTCCCATGATAAACTATCTGTTTCCTGCATCATCGCAGCGCTTTTCTTTGCATTTGATCCAGTTTGAAACAGCTTTATCAAGCATGCGTATCGAGAGCCACATCTTGCAGAGGAAGCTTTACCCATGACTTGCTCAATTACATTAATACTTCCCTGTCTCTCCCATAAATATTTACCCTGATGCACTCTGTCCCTACTTTCATGGTCTCCATTTATAGCCAGGAAGCTGAGGAGCATGGGGTTCAAATGACACATCTCAAAACATTTACCACCAACTAGCAGACCCACAGCAAAAGTCCTGCTTGCTGCCTCACCAGAAGAATTCACATATGATCAAGCTTCATCTCCTCAAATGACTTTTGAATGCTATTTCAGTTGTTTCATGACACATTTCTGTAAGAAGCATTTATAGCAAATTTTGAGACACACCTAAGACATCATTCCCATTGGATAGGGGTTGCACACACACAAAAATCCTTTTATATTTCCACTATTTACTGATGTTTCTTTTGTCTTTTTTCCATCCTCCCAACCTTGACTGGTGTGGCAATCTGACAAAGAAAATCAGAAAACAACCGTAAGGTTAGGCCTGCCTAAGCCTTATCCTCTTCATGAAACACGTTGGGCAAAACTGCCACAGAGGGAAAAGCTCAGCACAGGGAAGAAACCCCACTTCTTGGCCTCGATGAAGCAAGGTGTTGTTCTCACTCTGCTGGTGATTAAATTAAGATGGAGGAGAGTTAGCTTTTTCTCCAAATCACCCAAGTCAGGAGGATTAAATAGGGTTGGACACTGATGGAGATTAGCTCTATCGTAATTCCCACCTTCTTGCCTGCAAATATTTCTTTGTCAAATCTGTGGATATCAAAATTGAATAGGTCCCACACTAAGAGATGTAAAGACCACAATTTCACCCTGGGGGCAAAGCCAGGCAACATGACAAATCTTGCAGCCTGGGGTTGCTTCATGCTTTCACACACTTTTGAAGGAATGAAAGAGCAAGGAGCAGGTTGAACGTTCAGAGCAAGGGGACAGCAGGTAACAGGATTTCCCACAAGCACCTTTTATTACAAAGACATAGAGCTGCAGCAGCAGCACTATATCTGTTGGCTAAGCAGCTCCTAAACCCTCCAAATGTCCCATCTTCTCTCACAAACACATCCTGGTTCTGCTTCCTCCTCCACATCAGGGAGAGCTCTGGGAGTCCCCTGCTTCAAAACAAGATGCAGAGACCTTGGGAAGCCTTCACAAAATTTTGATGTACGGAGAATAATTTCACCACATCAATGAAAAATGAATGCATTCCAGCAATGAGGCATACAAAACTTTCCAATTAACAGGTGTGGCTCTAACACTTCATTGACTGAAGATTACCTTAAAGATTTAAACAAAAAAAAAAAAAAAACAAAAAAAAACCACACTATAAACTACTGTAAATATTCATCTATAGGTGATTCAAGGATTACCAAAGGAAGAAGGAATGAGTACAGGCAAGTTTATAAAATCAGTCATGAATACGCAACTTTTGATGTCAAATGAACTCATTAAGTTCAGAGCCCTAAAAAAGCCATCTGGCTAATTTTTCCCTGAATCTGTCAGCCTGTCCTATATACAGAAAGAGACACTGCCAGGCTCAATTAAAAACCATGGTCCCACTAGTTCAGTAGCCTTTCATCCTCCATGGTCCATAAAAGTTTATTCATAACAGGAATGCAGGCTCTCCACTGTAGAAAATATGAAATAATCTGATGGCTGGCAAAGCTTCTGCTTAAATTCAGGCAATCTATGTTCAGCTTACACCCTTTGGGAAAAGCTATCCTTAATAACTTTTCATGCTTTGTTACATAACTCTGAATGTAATTGTGCATTTGCAGGATGAAGGCCAAATCCGCTATCACGTTGTGCTGGATGAGAAGCTCCTGAAGAACAACCTGCACAATGGCATGCACAGGGAGACCATGCTAGGGTTCTCCTACCAGGTTGGGTTCTTCCTCCACAATGGCCAGGTACTGCCGTCTGCACTTGCTTGGAAAAACACATTTCCTGCTTTTTATAAATCCATCTTCAACTTTAAACTAACACGCAGCCAAAAGGAGATGTGCAGCCCCCATTAACTTCTGGGACATAATAGCACAGAAGTTGTCACACTCGGGCTTGCTTAATTCAAAGTCACCCATGAAGAGATCTTTGATTTAATTTGATTTCAGTTTTGCTGTTCACATTTAGCAGTGCATTTTCAAAGCTATTGTGGTGGACATTTTTCTCTAGCAGCCACGAGTCTGCAGTACAAAGCAGTCATTAATCTGACTTCCAAGAGCTATTAGAAACCTACCTTCATTTATAAAACATTAATTCTATATTCTGTGGATTTATTCCACTTACAATCCTAAGAGCTCGAAGCACTGGGCAACAAATATGAATTGCCTTTCAACACCACTCACAGGAAAATCAGGCACAACAAGATTAAACAACACACCCAGTTTTGTGGCACAGCCAGGAAAGGAACTTGGTCCTCCTTCTTCTCTGTCCCAGAGCTGCCTCTGGGAAATGGCAAAGGAGGACAGAAAGTTTCTCACCAAAGCAGTTTCAGCTCTGCTGTTTGCTCTGCCCATGACAGACCCTTGGAAAAGTATCTGCTCATGGAGCTGTTGGTGGTGAGGGCACAATGAGAGTGTGGGGTAGCAGTGAGATGATGAAAGTCCTCCTTGAAGAAGCAGCTGGGAGGGCTTTCCTGAAGCCTCTCATCCCCCATAGCCAGCAGACCCAGCTCTTGGCTTGCTTTAGGCTCCTTCTTCAAACCCTTTACCTTTACATCCCACGGTGGAAAAAGCTGCTCTGCCCAATCCTGTTGCTAAGGAAGTTCAGCAGGCTGCAAGTCATCTCATGCCCTCCAGGCCAGTGGAGCTCTTAAATGCAACTGAAATGTGAGCAAGTATTTGAAGTTAACTACATTGGTAGGTTTTCCTGAAGTGAGACTTGCACACTGATCCTCCTTTCATCTCCTACTGTTCTCGTTACCGTATAGCTAGAAAGCAGCAGAGCTGTTTGGTAACTGATGGCTTTTCTTTTGCAGCTATTCATAAATGATGCACCTATAATCTATACAAACGTTGCAACAGACAAAGGAATAATTCATGGCTTGGGAAAGGTCCTAGAAATCCAGAAGAACAGATGTGACATCAATGATACTGTGATCATTGTAAGTGGTTCTCTTCATATAGATGGCTTAAAGGCCCATCAGATAGATCTATAGCCAAATAGCTCAAATGTACAGGAAAAGTGACACTATTTCTCAGTAAGGAATGTACACATTTTCCACAACAGATATTCCTGCCAGAGTTTTAGCATCTATTAAAACAGCTTTGATCCTGCAGACAGTGTACTGACAGCTTAGATAAAATATAATCAGAGTAGCACAGGAATAAGCAATTCCTGAGCTTTAATTTTCAGAAAATAATTGTAATGCAGTATTCTAATACATCTTCTTAGCCAGGTCGCTTGTTTATAAAGTAAACAAGTGGAAAAAAAAAATGAAAATAAAATACTTTATTATGGAAAAATTTTTCATCCCAAGTGTAAATTACTACTGCACATACACACGAACTCCTCATACCCTCTGAGTATTCTCCCTCTTGTGTTCCTTTTATATATGAAATATAAAGAGGTTTACATTACTCAATTTCCTCAAACCAGTAGAGAAACATTTTCTTTATCTTTTCTCCTGAGTGAGTCAAATAGGGCAGCAAACAGGTAGTTTACCTCCCTTTTTACGGAACATTCAACAAACTAGACAAGGAAGAAAGAGTGAGACTTGTGCTTCAGTTAAAGAAAATTTAACAGGTGTGACCTTTTGCAGCCTAATTCTTTTCCTGGGGATATAGTCCTGTATTTGAGTATATTTCACTCAATGCTTTTCCCTAGCTTTACTCTCAGGTCATTTGCACATAGTCCTTTGTTTTCCCATGGAAAATTATTTTCCCTGATATGTTGAAATGCAGCAATATACTTAAACATTTATTTAAGCCTTGCTAAAATAAGGTCATAGTTAGCTAAACAGGAATAATACTAAACATCGTGTACTAGGTACAACGTGTATCTAAGCATTTTTCAGAAACTGACCTTACGTGTGCAAATGATTCACACGCACATATAGAGTAGGACATAGAAATGGAAAACTCATACCAGGTATAATCTGCCCATGCACCACAGGCAATGTGTGTGCAAGCTCAGGATTTACCTCTTATTGTGCTTTCAATGGGGAGGCCTTTGGGAAGCATTGCTTTAGAAGAGCAAAGAGAAATATCCAAAAGAGCTTTCTTTCTTCTTCCCCTTGGAAGAAGGCTTCACATGGGGTGTCCCTACAGACCTGCTGGTGGGGATGTTCTTCCTTACTGAGCAGTCCATCTACGCTCACCACCTTTACAGAGGGGTTATCCTGACTATGCACCCTGAGGGCTAGACTTAGAAACACAACTGGAAATTATGCATTTTCTATTAAGTAACCTGTCTTCAGCTCTTTACAACCTGTTAACTACCTCCCATCTGTGTTGCTTAAGGAAAAGTGCAGAAGCTGTTCACAGACATCAAGTTGTCCTCCAGGAACAAAAGAAATAGTAAGTATTTTATCATTAATGCCTTTTTTTTTTTTTTTTAATCAAAACTGAGTAGAGATGCATTCAATCTTGGTTTTAATATAATTGCCTCCATTTCAACAAGAGTTATCATAGTTAGTTCAGCCTGCTACATACATTACTTACAGTCAATAGACTCAATCTACCCTGAGAACAAGGGAGTAGAATCAAGAGTAGCTTGAAGGTAGTTTTATCCTGAAAGACCAGTTTCTAGTATACACTGGGACAACCGAAGCCTCCTCTAACTGCAAATGTTACCTCTACCATGCAAAACTGAGGGAGTTGAGCATGGTCTGAAGTATCCTTGCTACAGGAGGAATTATAGAAGCAACTTTTAGCCCTTTGAATCAGAGATGTACAGAAGGGCAAACCCAGCCTGGACCCAACAATACGCTGTGAGTTCTGGTCACCAGGACACTTGGAGAATAGAGACTTAGGATGTCCAGGTCCAAGACATGAGAACTGCAGATATTTTGCAGGTCCTTGCCAACCACAATAAGACCTATAGTTTCCTGGCACCTGAATTTCTCTGAGAAAGCCCCTCCGTTGGGCTTATAGAAGCACAGCATACATTAATGTCCCATTTTTTAAAACATTTGAAACTAGCTGATTGATATTACTCAGAAGTGCAGCTGCTTCTCCAATTTCTGTTCAGGCAGGAGTGAAGAAATACTGCATCCTCTCAGAAAACAACATGAGAATGTACACCATCCAGATTGGGTGCCAGATAAAGTGTGCAAAAACTGTCATTGTGAGTACACTGTTTCTGTCTCAGTAAAAGCCAGGAACCCCTATCCCTGAACTTCACCCTCCTCATAATCCCCACTAAACACACGAAGCACATCAAGGTGGTCCCTGACAATATATTTATAGGCCTTTTATTCTGGATGCAGCAGAGGTTGGAATGTTAAAGTTTGCTGATGGCCGCAGCATAGGAAGGGCTGGTAGTCAATGTGGTGCAGAGGGAGCACAGGATTGGGAAAGATAACCCCATGCTTGTCCCTAGCAATCTCATCCACATTTCCTTGGGGTGGCTGAGGGCACCTGGTCCTACCAAGGACTTGGGGTGGCAGCCTGAGCTCCAGCACAGTAAGGACCATGGCCAGAGACCAGCAGGGATGTTCTGCTAAAGATCCAGATCTATAGTTCACCTCCACCCGACAGCAGTCCCAAGACCCAATACCCAGCAGCCGCATGCTTGCCGCCATGCTTGCTACCCTGACCCTCAGCACGGCATTTCTGGGTTTCCAGACGAGGGAGTGCTGCGCAGGTTTCTTCGGGCAGCAGTGCCAGCCCTGCCCAGGGAAAGCAGGCAATGCCTGCTTTGGAAATGGCGTCTGCCTGGATGGCATCAACGGCACGGGCGTCTGCGAGTGTGGAGAGGGGTTTGTTGGTACAGCCTGCGAAAGCTGCATCAAAGGCAAATATGGCCTCAACTGTGATCAAGGTACTGAGCATCCCCCACCCACACAGGCACCTCCACTAGTCTTGTCAGATGTCAAAACCTTCCCCTTTGATCTTCTAACCATGTCTATTCTAGATCCTGGAAAGGTACATCACTTTCAGGGTAATAGGCCAGTCTTAAAAACATGTTTTGACCCCCATAAGCCCCTTTTCTTTCCCCATTATGTTGGTTTCCCTCTAATCCCTTTTTTGGAGATGGTGCCTTCTACTCTGGCATGCTACAGGCTTAGAACAGCACCCAGTGAGAATAATCCTCTTTAGCACTGATTTTTCACCAATACTTATCCACTAAAATACAGTTTGCAGTCCCTGTTGTTGGGAATAGAGGAAAGATAAGCTTATTTTGAATTTAGATATGTTCTGTAGGTAGCAGCCAATAGGCACAAGCCAAAGCATTTGATGACATGGCCTAGAGCAGAAGGTGCCATCAGCAGAAGGCATCTGGGCCATCGTTCCCCGCGCTGCCTTGCTGTGCACACTGCTACCCTGCCCAGGGGTTCTCTCCCATCTCTCCCCACAGAGTGCACTTGTGTCCACGGGAAGTGCAGCAGCGGGATTGACGGGGACGGGTCCTGTGAATGTGACGTTGGCTGGAGAGGGGTGGCATGCGAGACCGGTAAGTGCTGCTTCTTTTTTCTTCAAACCCCAGTGCACTACCAGATACCCAGCAGCTTCCCACATGCAGTGAAATACGGGTGACACTCCTGTGCTATGACAATTAATTACCTTATTAATAGAAAGCCAGCTGAGATACCTCTCACAAGACTTCAGTGCCTTACTCAGCTAATTCTCTATCTGTGTCACTCTGTACCTGTCCCAAAAGAACGTCCCGTTTGATAAGGCTATATATTTTCCAGAGTGGAGATACTTAACACACCCTCAGATCAAAAACCTCTCAAGTGCTTCAATAAGTTGATTTAGTTATACAGTACTGGATATTAAATTATGTTCTTGCTAATACAATAAAAATTAATTAACAAATAAATCATTTTGTGTTTAATATATTTATATTTTATATTTATATTAATATATTTATAATATAAAATTATATTTTAGTTAGACATAATTAAAATGTATTCAATGACTATTTCAAAACTCTACCTATAATAGTATAAAATAAATGGTATAAGCACGTTAATAATAGCATTCTATATCAGTTTTAAATTTGCTCAGGAAAAAATAGTAATGAAATTAACTTTATAGTTAGAGTTGCTATATTTGCTATATTTGAGCAATTTCAATTCCTTTAGAAAACCTACACTGATATAATTAAACTAACAATGTACAAAACTCACCAGACTAAATACAGATAAATGACAACAGGTGAAATGTTTTCCTGGAAATATGTTGACAAACCTTTTCCGTACAACTGAACTGAAATGGTAGCCACTGATCTACAGATAGAGAGTCTCTGTACAGACTGAGAGTGCAGTTGCCTGGTGCAGAACTCAACAGACTCCAGCTCTGTGTGGTGGGACCAAAAGACTAGGAAACTAGAAGGTTGTTGACCCAAAAGGTTCTGATCCCTGTTTCTTTTTTTTTTTTTTTTTCTCTCTTGCAGAAATCAAAGATGACGCATGTAATGCCTCATGCCATACTAGTGCTAAGTATGTACAAAATCCACTGCTTTGGAGGACAGGGGAGAAAAAGGGGATCTCTTGCAAGACGAAAAGCATAGTCTATCTTGCTCTTTATGAAGCAAGCAGATAATAACACCCGTGTTTTCCACCACAGAGATAAGGACCAATGTTAAATTAACATATTTGATGCTGACAACAAAAAGCTCAAAATGTGCTGCATGTTAAAACAGGAAACAAATAGGATGGGGGGGAGGAGGGGGGGGGCACAGCACAGCAGTGAGGGAAGAGAGAGAGGGGAAAAAAAAAAAATCAAAACAGAAAAATAATCCATGAGACATCCTACCATGCAGCACACAAAGGAATGGAGCCTAGACCACTAAAAAGTACAGGATGCCAGCTGGGTTTCTGAGGTGGGCTTTGTCTGCTCCTCCTATTTGCCCCATCCACCACCACCCACAACTGAGAAATGCCAGAAACAGCTCTCCTCTTCACATCAAAATATAAAGAAAAAAAAAGTGCTCTCAGCAGTCCAGCACTAATACTGGGACACTAATTAGTTTTCAAAGGAGCAAGTCACCCCCATTGAGTCATTTACCCAAGTGCACCTGCCCCCCACCAGACAGCAAGATTTACATTACCCAAGACATTTAAAAAACAAGGTGGCCAGCAAGACTCCTCATTTTCAGCCACAATTCTTCTGTATGAGCAGAGAAACCAGAGGGTCAACCCCCTTTTTCACAGATGTAGATCATTCTCTCCCCCGTGTGTTTGTGAACTGCAGTTCACAGCAGCAGTACCATACCAGGCTTTTTTGACAAAACTCCACTCAAATTTGCTCAGGGGGATCCCACACATGCTGGCATCAAGACTGTGTTTCTGACAGGAGAAGCAGACTGTTCTTCTCTGGAGCCATATCCATCCACTGCCTACCCTGGGGGTACAAGGATAGGTGCAGGCATGGCAGCAGTGGGGGGAAGGACAGGATTATCCAGTCTGTGTTGTGACATTTTCCCTTGGTAACACCAGGGAGCAATCCCTGTATTATACAGGGCTCAGGGGGCAGTAAACTCACACTTGCATATAGAAGGTCAAACTGTCAAAAAACCCCAGACTTGAACTCAGAGGACTCAGATGCCTGGCTCCTACCCCTGCTCATCAGTTCTGCTGCATCCTTCAATAAATTGTGTGCACACAAACAAAAAATTTGTGCACAGTTTTTGCATGAGCAGACATGCAACTTCTGGAGTTCCACATGAGAAAATAGGACACTTGACCAAAGCATGCATTTTTAATACATAAAATAATACATCCAAAATGCACTTGTAAATCTCAGTCCAAGTAGACTCATTTTTATGATTATAGCTACATCGTACTGTATGCTTAAATTTCTATATGACGTTACCTTTGGAACAATGCACAAAAACAAGGGCTATATGGAAGACCTCACTGCTTTTTTTTTGTTTTGTTTTGTTTTGGTTTTTTTAAATGTTGTCTCCCTCCTTTTACTTCTTTAGCTGCCTTCTCCTACCAAATGGCACTGCCTATTGCAAGTGTGCAGCTGGGTTTGAGGGGAACGGGACATTCTGCCCAGGCAAGTGGACTTTGTTTCTTCCCTTTTGAAAAAAAAAAAAAAAAAAAAATGGTGCTTGAAACACTCTGTGATCACAGTGGAGCTGATGAGAGATGAGCACTTCCTTATGCAGCAGTTAAAAAACAGGAATCACTGCCAGTTTGCTCAAAATGAGTAGGAGCCCAACAGGTGCAGATTCACAGCAAACAAAGGGCTCAAAATCTCCAAGCTGTGAGGCATTGTGCTAAGGGAGACCAGAGAAAAGGGAACATGACGTGCACAACCCAGACCCCATTGTTTGCAGAGCAATGAAACCTGGATTATGACTTTTACTCTTTTTTCCCAACAAAGCCCAACAGAGAGGTCAATTCAGGGTACAATAACACTTCCAGCTATTGGTAGCTGTATAGCCCTACCATTTCCTCGGCTTTCTGAATTTGCACAGATTTCTAGGGTGGTAAAATCAACTGCTTTAGACGAGAGAGATATGAGACACCATCAGAAAGGGTCAATAGCAGCTTAACCCAGGTATCCCTCTAAGAGTCTGGGATATCCAGACTAAATAGACTGCTTCCGGCTACAGTGATTGTAATTAATCTTACAGTTGTTTTACTTAATCCTTAACTGATTCAAATACTAATGCTTTGGGGAACAGAAGCATATTTGTCTACTCACAATGGCTGGCAGGGTCCTAATCCAAGATTTTAGCACTCTTATTCCAGCTGCTTTCATTTTCTCTTCTGGCACAAATCAACCAAATCCATTTTAATCTACTGGTGGGGAAATCCCCTGTGCGCAGGAAGAGCTGGGTGACACAGGTCATCCGTAGAGGCTTTGCACTCACGCTTATTCCCCTGTACAAGATTCCTGGGCAAAACCAGTTACAGGACAAGTCACCTCCCCAGTCTGTTACAGCTGCTGAAACAGCAATTTGGGGTCATTTGAGGCAAAAATTTAATCAACATTTGAAAACCAGCAAAGGCTCCCTCCTTTATCTCAGAGTAACCCAAGAAAACTCAATTTGTGAGTCTCTGACTCATCCAGAGTTGGAGAAACAGCACGAGTATCTGAATAACAACCAGGGCTTTTTGTCACAGGAGTGCTGGGTGGTATTACACTCTAGACCTCCTGTAGAGAAGGCATATGATCTGTGTGCAGAAAAGGGCAAGCTAAGGGAAAACTTCAAATGTCCATTTAATCTAGAGAAGAACATGCAGGTCCCTTTTTCAGTGCTTGGTTGGAATGGGCAGAATGAGAAGACAGGAAGTGACTGAAAGTCAGTCCTGGATGAATTCTTATCTTCCAGACTAGAAGCATCTTCCCAGCTTTCCCTCTTGTAATCAATAAGATATATTAAATATCTGGCACTAATGAAGTCTATGGCCTCTTAAATCAGAAAAATTCTATGTTCAGAAAATGTTAACAAATCCTTTTAAAACATAGAGACAGTTTAACCTGAAAGGCAAAAAACTGTTTAAACACATTAATTTAATCTGGATCATTGTCTCTGTTCAGCTATTAATGCTTGCAAGACCAACAACGGTGGCTGTTCTGCTAAGGCAGAGTGCAGAAGAACAACGCCTGGCAATAGAGTGTGCATCTGCAATGCTGGGTACACTGGAGATGGAATAGTCTGCATAGGTAAGCATTTGCAATGTCTTATATCACACAGAGGGAAATTACAGAAGTGAGTTTTCCTGTAGATGGAAGATCCTTCTTCCACTATGACCCAGAAGTGCATTTTCCTGATACAATAGCCCCTGATGCCTAAGGCATCTCTACCTGGCACATGGTTGATACTACTTGGCAAACCATGCAACTACAGCAGTGTTGCGTGACACCAAAGTTTATTAAAAAAATATAATTAAAAAAAAAAATCAACCTCTCAACAAGGATGAACCCATCTTCAGGAGCTTGATAAACTCATGCTCCTCTGAGCACTGAAAAATTAAAGACTTTTAGACACTGTTGTTTCATACCTCCCCAGGTATAGTTTTAGAAATGCTGATGGCAGTTTTAGCCTTCACCAAGACAACTGCAAGACCTAGACTGAGGTATTAAATAGCTAAGGGAATGAGTTTCATTGACTAACAGTTGTCATAAATCTGCATTCCTCGTATGCTTTACTTAAAATTCTCCTTTCTTGGGTTTTCAGAAGTCACTCTGTTTTTTTCATTATATGACTTCTGTTTTTATAAAGAAATCAACCCTTGTCTGGAGAACAACGGTGGATGCGATAAAAATGCAGAATGCACGCAGACCGGACCCAATCAAGTGAGTACTTTGTCAGTGCAGATAAATAAGACTGGCCAACTGTTTACAGTTGAGTAAAGAAAGATTTTCCCATCTCAACTTTGTTTTTAAATGGAAAAGTGGATTTCGTAACAGGAATTCTGAAAAGTATATGCTTCCCTCAAAAAGGTATTTGGGGGGGAGCGTGGACAAACATGAAAAAATGAATTTCAGAAAAAGAAATCCAAAACTGCAGAAGAAAGCAGTGTTTTGCTGTTTCAAGACATTGTTTTTCTCCTTTGGGAGGTTTTGGTATGAAAACCTGTCAGTTTGAGAGTATTGCCAGATAATGTTTTTTTCATTGTTGTAGAAACTGTCCATGGGAAAATTCCATTTCAGACTAGCCCTTCTCCCAGCATAGCTCAAAGGTAGTCACAAGGAAACAAAACTGCCTGAATCATAGTTCTTGTATAGGGCTTACAGCACCCCGGCATCCACTCACTCCTCCCCTCTTCTGTGTCTCCCATGCAGAAATACCACATACCTTCCAAATAAAAAGTAGCATACAAGAACAGTGGAGGAAAGGAGAAACAAACTGGCCCAGGCAATCAAGCAACACAGATTAGTGTTTCTATTTTTATAACAGATTCAGAAGAAACCAAACACCCTGATTGCAGCACTTCTTATCATCCCCCTGTAGTTTCATACCAGCTCCAGGCAGGACTGTCACCCTCCTGCGAGCACTGCACAGCAGTATTTCTTCAGGAACAATGCATGAAACAGTGACCAGGAGTCAGAGGCCACCTCCAGCCTTCCAGTTGTCCAGGGACAGGAGGGACAGTAACCCCCATCAACACTTTTTGCCAGCACCGATAAATTATCCCTTTGCCTTGACTATCATTTGCAAGTCAGTACATTTCTGGTGGGAGCACAGAGCCACTGAACTCCTTCCCCATCCCTCTAGAGAAGACAGTTGATGGCTATTTTCTTCCGTACACACTTCACCAGAGACAGAAGTAGTAGCTACAACATGATTATTTATACTTCCTTATCCATGGGAATATAATTAACATCAGAGCAATAACCTCCACTACAAAATCCCAGTGCTGCAGAGCCAGACTTATAGGACAGAAATGCATCTGCTTTCTGTAGGGCTTTCAGTCATCCAGGTGCATAAAAAAAACCTATTATACTGCCTAGCAGTTTTATTTATTGCAGAAAACTCCTTGAATTTTCAATCTCCTACATATTAAATGTGAATTCTAAATTGAGAACCATTAAACAGTGAATTGGAGAGCATGAGAAGTCATTTCATTGCAACCATGTTAATTTTTCTTATTTGTGATAACTGCAAGTACAAAACAGAGTAACAGTGACGCAAGTGTCAGATGCATTACCACTGCATGGGAAGCTGTTGGTAACATCAGGACACAATTCTAACTGTTTTTTGAAGATTTGTTCCATCACTTAAAACAAGGAAGTGGAAGAGAGGGGGAATACCAACCTATACAAATAAAATGAGGGAAATGAATTACAGGTTTGGTCTGTTTTTTCCAGCAAGATGACCATGTGCAGATGTCAAAGAGGTCATTTCAAATGACCAGGACAGCAGAGGAGAGCCAAGAGATGGATAGGCAGAGGAAAGGCAGATAGAGCCTCTTGGAAATTGTTATTCCTCAATCTCAGTCTATGGTTGCTCATGCTGGCTAGGAAACTGCTGCTGGAGATATGATGTACCTTTAGCTTAATAAATTGTACACCATATCACTATGAAACACTCTGGCAAAAAAGTAAATTAAATACAAGTCTGCTGAAAAAAAATCAGACATCTTTCCATGTATCCATATTTTCTGGTTTTGCTTTGTAGGCAGTGTGTAATTGCTTGAAGGGATACTCTGGAGATGGTAAAAGATGCACATATATCAGTCTGTGTTCACAAGTAAGTATCCATTTACGGGGAGTATTTGAGGTCTTGTTATCATCATTACACTTTTTGAGTTTGCATGCCTTCAAAACTAAGTCAGATATGCCCAGAATCTACTTGTGTCAACTTAGTTGATTTTTAAATGTGCTTGGGTCTGGTTCAGTACATGCTTTAGTGTTGTCGCTATTTTAGAAACCAAGTATGCAGTAAGGGCTGGACCATAGCCTGCACATAACAAGTGAGGGCCTGGACTCATCACCAAGTCTTAAAAAAAAAAAAAAAACAAAAAAAACCACACTTCAAATAAGATCTAGAGAAATAAACCCTAGTCTGTAGTGGTAAAATGTAAGTCATATCTTCTCAGCAAAGTTTCTGTCATTGCTAGAATTCATATAAAAAGCCTCTATCTAAATTTGAGTTTGGGACACAGAGGGCTTACCAACATTTCAATTACTATATTAAAAAAAAAAAAAAAATGCAGTTTCTGGTCAAGGCAATTAGAGGGCTTGGTTCAAATGATAAGGAAGTGTGGTCTACTACATGTTACCTGTAACGACCAGAAAAAAAAAAAATCTACAGTGTAAGTCATTGATGCTCAGAGGCCAGTTCGAACTGTTGTAGGAGCCAGGTGATTGGGAACCAGAGAGAGTAGTCTACAGTAGATCAGAATGCCTACTTATTTTTAATAGTCTCCTGTCATTAAGTTCTCTGGTGTGATTAGGGACCATATCCATGCAGCCTGAACAAGGGAAACAATCAAGTGTGAGCATACACATCCTCTTCTCAGTCTGAAATTTTTCCGGCTTAATCAGAATATCAAGTCCTCACATTGCTGCATCATTACCAGTGAAATCTATGTTGGGGCAAAGAGGTGCTCAAGGGCCTGGGCTCCCTGTAGTAGATGTTTCCATCAGAGTTCCCATGGGGCAAGTCAAAGAGCAGAGCCCCATAGCCCCTACAGCCGTGCATAGGCTGCATCCTGAACACATCCCTGGGATGCATAATACAGGATATCAATGCTAAAAGCTGCAGCAGAGGTGGCTGAGTGAATAGTGAAGCAGAGGAAGTGAAGTGACGAGTGGCAGAATCGAAGCCCTTCCTGATGGGAAGGTTAAAAGAAAAAAATAAAAGCATTCTCTACACCAACCATTTCCCTTCTTTCCCTCCCCAACATGCAGTGTAGGGTTTCCCATGGCATTCATTTTGTCCCTCACTTCTCGCATTTATTTTGCACAAGCTAGCTCACATACTGCAAGCCACGTACTTGCACGAGCCGCATGGCTCTGCTTCTTGGCAAGCTGCAGCAGGGACATATCCACTCTCCCGTGCACATTAATCTTTTGTGCTCTGAACACAGTGACAATAATTCTCACCCTCCCAGCTGGGCCTGTCAGCAGAGTTTCTCTAACCTTGAAAGGTTGCAGAGATGAAAGAGCAAGGACAGAAACAGAAGCTGGAGGAAAGGGAGCTTGAAGTTATGATCTACTGCTTCCTATGATTTTGTATGCTTTTGCCTTTTCCTACGCCTTGTTCCAGCAATTTTCCTCTCAAATGGCTAATGATGCCAGCCTAATTATATATATATTTTTTAAAAAAGTCTTGAGAAGTGGTACTGTCAGACCAGAAGCTAATCTGGCTTCACTTTGGCAAACCTCCATGCAGCAGAGCTTTGTGGGAAGCTATGATGAACCCAAGATTGCCAAAAGCCCACCTAAAGCTAGCCAAATAAATAGCAAGTGCACCTAAGCCCACTACTTGCACCCAGAACTCACTATGGCCTGTCAAGGCAGGCCCCATTGGTAGCTCCCAAAGGAGCTTCTGTCCCCACTCCTGGCCCAGGGGAAAGGAATCCCGAGATGACCGGCAACAGAAAGCGCACAGTGAAACAAGCACAAGGAAAGAAATAAAGATGGCTTCTCAATTTTTCCTGATTTGCTCTCAAGTCCAGGACAGAAACTTATTTGCAAACTGAGGTGCTAGCTGGGAAGAACCCACTGGGCAGAGTTCTGAACCCCAGCATGCTGCTCCTGGATGAGGAACATCTCCCCTTCGCCCAGAGAGCTTCCTGGCAGCCGATGCCTGGGTGAGGCGCATCATTGCTGTTCCAAGCCTTAGGTCACACTGGGGGTACACCCAGAGGTAGACAGAAGATGTTTTAGAGGAGAGGACATGTGGCAGGTTCCCTTTCCAGCTGGCCTGGGCCATCAGAAAGGCGAAGAACAATAGACAGTCCTATGCTAATGCTCCTCCAGAAATCCAGGCTCCTAGCACCATAAAATTGATTTACAGCTGTAAATAGCTCCCTTCAGCATAAGTCAACGCTGCCTCAGCAAAACAGCTAAAACTCATCCCCAAAGTCCAGAACAAAACCTGTCTGAAAACCCTTTGGATCCTTATAACACCATGAACTGAAGATATAAGGGGAATCAAAACTACATCCTCTGCATAAAAGGAGAGTTTTCTTATGAACCTTAAATGTTCTTTATTGTCTGCAAGAAATGATATACTGTTAGATGTTCCAGTAAAATCTGGTTTCAAAAAACTGCTAGGATTAAGTCCTTCCAAGTTATTATGGGGAAAAAGTGGTAAACTAGAATTGCTCTGTATACCTGGCAATGAAAGAATTAAATATTTTACATTTTGATCTTACAAGAATAATGGAGGCTGCAGTGAACTTGCCATCTGTAATGACACCGAGCTGACAGAAAGGACCTGCACCTGCAAGCATAACTACGTTGGAGATGGATTTAAGTGCCGAGGCAACATCTTCCAGGTAAAGTGCTGTACATGTTTGTTGTCCCTTATTTTACTTCAGATAGTTATTTAATACAATGGTTGTCTCTTGAAACATGCCAATTTCTTTCTTGAACAACTGGTAAATCTGCTCCAGAATTTGAAATAATCCCAATCCAAGATATCAAGAATAGGAACAGGATGCTGCAAGATAACCCTACCTGAATAAAAAAAAAAAAAAAGGAAACAACTGATGGACAATGCTGATGACTGCAGTACCAGGGAGTTAATACAGGTACTTTTAGGTTTCAAATAAGCCATTCTTTGATAAAGCAAGGTAAGAAAAGAACAGGAGTGATGCAGATGGGCAGTGTTCATTCCAAGCCAGAAGTTCTCTTTCTTTTCCAAGGCTGCATTTGTTTGTACTCCACAGATGTTTCCCACATTTGCAGCACTGTTACAAAGTCTTGCTCTTGATTGCAGGAACTTCTCAGGAACTCCAACACATCTAGGTTTTATTTCCACTTAGAGGTAAGAAAAGGTCAAGTTTTTTGTTTTTTTTTTTTTTGAGGGAGTTGGGGGAGGAAGGGGATTGTTGTGGGAGACATTTCCCTCTCTTTTGCCTCGAGAAGGAGGTGGAGAGCAGGCATGAATCTGACACGCACCAACATACTTCAACTTCACTGGAACTAGATTTGGATCACCAGCCACTAATATTGGAGAAATTTAAACTATTAATGGTCATTAAAACCTGTAGAGATTTAATAGTAAAGACTAAAATACCAGGGGAAAAGGGCCCCCAGACCAGGCCTAAAACTGAAGCTTTCACCCATTCACATTCTGAGATCTTCCAGCACATCTCTCACGGATTCTGATATGAGCAAATATGACTCTTCTAGCCCTGCTGCATTTCCAACCTGAGATGCTGTTTTCAGTTGCCCCTCAGAAACATTGCAGGATGCTGCCATGTGCTGCTAAACAGCCAACGTGCACCACCAGTTCTCATTGCTTTTTGGAGACTGGCAGCAGTAAATCTTCATTTACCCTGAGCGTCAAGGCAGCACAAATCTGTATACTGGCCTGCTAGTCTAAAGACTGATATTCTAGCTTTGATTATGTTACCATTGTAAACTAATTGCTGCTTCTCGCTTTAGCAGAGCTCTCTTCTTATTTTGGTTTGTCAGTGGTCATTGCAAAGTGCCTGCAAAACCTCAAGTCCATTTGTCCACCTAATAGTAATTAATCTACTCCTAGATACAAGAAACCACGTATCAGTTAAATGCACGTACAAGCACATGCATATATCCACTCTTGACTATCTCAAGATGAAAGGGTTCATTCATCTTCCCTTGCCCAGGAGGAAATAGCCCTCCTCCACCCTCCCTACGCTTGGTGTTGGCTGAGAGCTTTCCCTCTTCTTCTCCTGTTTGTTATTGCAAAGGAAACAGAGACTTGGCCACAAGCCAAAATCTTCCATTTGCTAGCCATGGGCAGCGGTGGCAGATGGGGCTGGGAAGGAAAGTCTTCACCGTACAGTAGTTTCTCTAATCCTTGCATCGCAGGGAAGGGAACCCAATGTACAGCAGCAACAGGGCTGCAGGGCACCACTTCCCACTGAGCAGGGCTGTCCCCATCGCCGCGTGACGTTATGTGCATTAACAACTCATTACGACTTTGTCCTCTTAAATTTGGCAGGCCTTGTCTATCAGAGATATTGCAAGCCCTGGCCCTTTCACTCTCTTTGTACCTCACACAGATGTACTAAACAGCGACCCACGAGTAAGTAAGGCAGCCAGAAGTTTCTGATAAGCTGGCCCTGTTTTTGGATTCTGATGCCTTGCTCAACTGCTTCTCAACTACTCCTCTCTCTGCTGCAGGTCAAGGACTGGCTTGCCAAAGGAGTGATGGCTCAGGTTCTCCGGTACCATATGGTCGGTTGTGCCAGTCTGTTGTACAGCGACCTGACAACAATCACAAACATCACCTCTCTCCAAGGAGACCCAATACACATCAGCTACTCTCAGGTAACAGAGCTTGAAGAGGCAGGGGACAGAGTACTAACACAGTCTGCCCTCATTCCACTTTTTTTAAAACCCGAATGATTCCCTTTCCTCCTCTGATGCACAAAAATAACTAGCATTAAAAGAAGGTTGTCCATTCAGTTGAAGTGTTCAACACTTATCTGCCTTGCAAAGAGGGGATTTGTACAACCCTTGCTTTGACACAAGTTATTTAACCTCAAACTCCAGCTTTATGAGCATGATGAGAGTTTGAAAAAAACAAAGTGCAATTTATTAAAACTGAAGCTACTGTTTGCTGCAAAGAAAGGATGGTGTGGGCTTGCTGTACCAAAGAAATTTGGCATCAGCCTCACTCTCCCACAAGGTTCCACAGAAAACATGTTTTGTTGCCTTTCCAGAACTCACTGGTTTTGAACAACAAAGCTGAAATTATACTCAGCGATGCTGTGGGCACAAATGGCGTGATCCATGTCATAAACCAAATTCTGGTTCCAACATATATGCAGGACTTTCCCCTTAAGAAGGTATGTGCAGGTCATTGCCATTCTCAATGTGGGGGCTTTTCCACAGTTACTGTTAGATATATAAATCATCTAGGTCCCAGAAACCAAACAGTGATACTAAGAAAACCTTATACAAACATTGTTTGACCCTGCTGGATAAGTTAAATGTTATATTTAAAATTAATTCAGGGGTTACTGTTGTACTAAGAACAGTATAAGAGGACTTCTGCACAGGGCTTTTACAGTGGCATTGATTGCATAACAAAAAGTGACTTACAGTGGAAAGCAAGCTGATATCTGCTTTTTAAATACCCACAAAGTGTATTTATTAGATAAATTACTGAAATTCCTTTCTTTGTAGGAAAGCCTTAAAATGGTTGCAGCCAAACATGGATACATCCTATTCAGTAGTTTGCTAGAGGTAAGGACACAAGAGGCAGCAGCCATTGAGCAAAGGTTTTAAACACTTGTCGTCTTTAACAAAAAAAAAGACAAAAGCACAAACATGGCACATGGCATTACTGGCAGGGTGGTGTTTAGTGGAGCCAAAGGGTTCACAACACAGTACACTACAACCCTGGTTACCACATGGTCCCCCTCCCACAGAGGTGGGGGGAAGTCAACCATATGTGGTATTACATGACCAAGGTCTGACACGAGTATGATTTGTTGAGCTGGCTGCCTGGTTTTCAGTGGGCATCCCTGGGTGTTAAAGGAATTCTGAGAATTTGGTCTCAAGACTCCTCAACTTGGGCAGCTCAACTCAGGCATCTGGTTTCTAAAGTCAGGGTGTTTATATGCTGGTGACCAGGCAGCCCACAGGCCTCTGCATCCCACTTACATTAGACATTCACCCCACAGAGTCAATGTCATTTTAAATGGAGCATTAATCCCCTGCCCCAATTTTTGGTATGTTGCAGAAAAACAACTTGCTTGGGCTGATCAACGACCCTATTCACAAACCCGTCACGCTCTTCTGGCCCACAGACACAGCTATCCGCAATCTGCCTCCGGAGCAGCAGGACTTCCTCTTCAAGAAGTCCAACGCTGACAAGCTGGTGCAGTACCTCAAATTCCACATTGTCCGTGATGCTGCGGTAAGCCCTTGCTTTTTAGGAGCATTGCCAAGGCCAAGACATGCAAACAGGCCCAGACACATGCATTTCCCCTGTTTCCTTACCAGGTGTTGGCCTACCAGCTCTCCAGCTCCACCTCACTGAAGACCCTGCAGGGCTCCAACCTCAGCATTAGCTGTGGAGATAACAGGGATATTGTAAGTGTTCACTCCGCCAGCACATTTACCCCTTGCCCGTGCCACAGGATCCACTCATGCAGACCCCACTGTGCCTGCGCATAGCCCCCAGAAAGGGCCAGGGGCACCAAAATTCAGTTGATCAGCTTCAGTCCATGCCAACAGCCACAGAACCAGGGCAGCCACCCCAACAGATTCAGGGAACCAGACTGTTTGCAAAACTCTTTGGAGCTGTCATTTTCTCTGTTATAAGATTCTATTTGCTCAAAACAGCTCTTAGTTACCTCAAAACTGAAACACTAGCACCTTTTAACTTCTTCTACAATGAAATGCACAGTGGGAAACTATTAAGGTGAACTTGGTTTTGGCAGAAGCCCCATGAATATAGCTTCTGCATGCAAACTCTGGTTTGTAAGCACTTACAAGCTAAGATGGCAGGCATACATGCAGCCTGATAAGCCAGAACAACAGCACATATTTCTTTGCAAATGTATCAGATTACACCTGGCAAGCATCTGCCTCTGAAAATGTGATGAAGCCTCAATATGTATAAGGTAAAACTGCAGGCACAGGGCTGGCATACTCTGTCCCTTCAGGAAAGGCAAAAAATCTGCCCACCTGTGGTGTTATAGCATTCAGCTGTAGGTCCCCAGATTGGAGGGGAATCTCTGAAAGAGCAGAGGAAGGATTATCCCTAACACCCACGCAGGACCTGAATTCAGCCCAGCCCCACAGAAGACTGATGTATGACTTGTCATGCCCCCCTCTCCCCATCCCATCTCTCAGGGCGCCCTTTTCCTGAACGACAGACAGTGTAAGATAGTGCAGCGGCAGCTGGAGTTTGATGGAGGCATGGCCTACGGCATTGACTGCCTGCTGACAGACCCCAGCCTGGGAGGACGTTGTGACAGTTTCTTCACTGTGGATTTCACGGTCAGTTCCCTTTTTTTGGTCCCCCACCCTGGCAAAAACACAGCCCAAGGGCCAAACCCTGTCCTCACAAGCATAACACTCACAACAGCAACTTGCAGGAACTTTGACACTTCTGAGATTAAGTCCAGCCATTTCAGGCTGGCTTCATCTATCACACTGGTTAGACATAAGGTTAAGAAGCACAGCACAACACCTGAAAGGTACATAACAGAAACCCCATATCTACTCTAAGCAACACACAGGACAAGCAATTTCAGCTAAGATCAGCTGAATCTTGCAGCCCTGTTTTCAGTAAGAACAGTACCTTACAAGTGCAAGCATAAATTTGAGCCAGGACACATCTTCCTAGCATGCTTTTAAATTAATACAAATTCACACTGTGAATGGTCATAGAGATTGAATTTACGAAGTTCCCAGTTACAAAGGAACAACGTTGCTGTCCCAGCTGCACAGGGTATTAAGGACACAAGATAGAGAACTGCCTAGTCTGTTAGCCAGGCTCTCTGTCTCCCACATTCCTTGCTTTCACAGAAATATCCTTTAGCACACCTGAACAGGAACTGTTAGCATGGAGGAGGTTTCCTCTGTGAACTTTGATGCATCCCACAAACAGGAAGTTTTGAAACCTGTTTTGAAATTGCTTCAAGACCAAATTTACTTCAGTTTAATTTGAATGTAGGAGAAAATTACCTACATAAGTTTTGTAGTTTATGTAAAATAAATTTCATGTAATCAGTCTTTTAAAAATCTTATTGGAATTTATATTTCAATTATAAAACCAACATTTGTGTGCACTCCATCTGTTCAAGTTACCTTTTGTTTCATGATTTTATTAATAGATGTAATTTCTTCAGATCTGTTCAGCTCTTCCCAAGAGGTAACCATTTACCTCTACTCCTAATTAGACATCCAGAACTGATGTAGCCCATGTCAATATTTGTTTGAAGAATATCCACCTTATTTTCCCTGTTTGTTTATATCCAGAGCAAAATTTCTTCTTCTAGAACTTACATTCTGTTATCAAAACTAATTTCTTGCTTTTCACAGCACTAAAGTCATGCAACTATTTTGATGTCATTTTCCTCTCTTCTTTCTCCAGAGTTCTTATCTGTGTCAAGCATTATAAGCCTACAGTCTGCTTGTTATTTGCTGCTCTTATGAAACAGACTTTTTGTCCATTTCAAATAGGCTTTTGTTGCCATCATTTTAATATACTTTTTTTTTTCTTTTCCATTTTGTACAACAGGGGCACTGTGTTAGCTGTTTCAGTAATTCTAAATGCCCTCCAGGGACAAAACCAAAGGTAATACATTGAAATCTTGCATTTAAACAGCACAACCTGCTCTTCTCTGTACTTCACACAAGCAAACGAGAATAAGTTGCTTTGAAAAAGTAAGAGAACCCTCAACGGTGAGACCACACTGTTAAGTGATGCCGTAAGGCCTTGGGGACGAATCTGTCCCCAGGCAAACACCCAGGTGGTGGGGGACACTTGTCGGTCTCACACAGCATCCACTGTAGCGAGTACTTCGGCTGACTTTGGAGCAGCCCCCCCAGCCTAATTAATGGTGCTTAGAAAGTCAGGAATCAAAGATGAGGTGAGGGCCTCACACCTGCACTCTTCACACATCTAATTTTGAGTCAATGTACATCAGAAACTGTTAATTGAAGAGAAAAAGCCCCCAAACCTCCACATAGCACTCATCTCCTTGTGGTTTCCCCCCTCTCTGCACGGGCGTGTGTGATGCCCAGGAAGGGATCCAAAGGTGCACGTTCGAGTCCTACGGGCTGCAGAGGGATGGCTGCCGAAGGAACTGCTCCATGGTCATCCAGACAGCCAAGTGCTGCAAGGGTTACTTCGGGCCAGACTGCCAAGGTAAGACTCCCCCCTCCCCGAGCCCAGCTGGCTGAGCTGGGTGGGGGGTATGAGGAGTCACCAGCTGCATGGTGGGGGAACTCTGTTGCGACAGCCGAAGAAAACAGCATTATTCTTTTTCCACTCCAAATAATCTCACATTTACAGCAAGTTTTATACTCCATGCTAAAGGTAAACTAAGTGAAGGCTGCAGAGTGTTAATACTGCTCTGCTGTAACCAAAGCTAGCAAGTCTTAATCGGTCATCAGCTGAAAGTCCTTTCAACACAAAAACGGACACCAAGTTCATGGCAGTGGTACCAGGACACACCAGAGACATGGTATATGAGTCCTCAGCCACCTACAAGCACACACACCACTGGCGTAAGCTCAGAAATTGTATCTTTAATTGTATCTCAAACTCTTGATAGTTTGAGAAGCTTTATCTCCAGCTGTTCGTTAGCAGATACTAATGAACTGTGTGCTCCTTCACCTGCCAACCCCACGGGGAACAGTATTGACACGCTCACCGGGGCACAGAGGGTCAGGGTTAGGATCTCTGCTGACAGACGAGTCCAGGAACACATCCAGATTTCACAAACAGACACATGGGGGTCCCCGAGCAATTCTGGCCAGCCCAGCCTGAGCTGCCCTTTGGGCTCAGCCCAGCAGCACCCAGGCACATGTGGGTGTACAAGCAAGGCTGGATTTGGGCAGAGGCTGGGCAGCGGCACTCACCGATGGGTCTGAATGAGCAAGCACCCAGGTAACAGCACCCAGACCCAGGGCTGGAAGAGTCCACAACACATTTCTGACAGGAGTTGTAAAAGTGTGTCAAAGAACAGCTGCTTTTACATACCCTAACAAAGAGAGATGCCCTGTTCAAGGATTTTTACAGAACAATAAGTAACAAACAGTGACATTGAATAAACATGCACTGGAGCTAAACAGCCACTTTTTTGTTTTGTTTTGTTTTTTTTTAAACCATTCAGCTTGCCCAGGGGGCCCAGAGACCCCATGCAATAACCACGGCTCCTGCAACGACGGGTACACAGGGACAGGAGAGTGCCACTGCAACAGCGGCTTCAACGGGACTTCATGTGAGCTGTGTTTGCCAGGCAGATACGGCTCCAACTGCAGATGTACGTTTAAGCTTCCTTTCCATGCTGTTGCCCATGTCATACCTAAACTATTTTGTCAGCGACGGGTTAAATGAATCAAGAAATGCTTCCTGCTTTCAACACCAACATTTTTCCCCAAGTGCCTTCTCACATGGAGGGACAGCACAAAGTCTCAGAAGGGAGTATGGGAAGGTGGTGGAACAAAGGCTTACTCAACTTTCTCTGCAAGGCTCCTCTTATTTTTATATGATACCTAAGTAACAGGGAACAGAGACAGAGCCTCTGTCAAGAAATGTTTTCAACTACAGCACAGCCTTCTCCCCCATCCCCATAGAGGGAACTGCAGGAGGCCAAGGCCATGCACTACTTTTGCAGAAGAGAAGAAAAAGGACACCAAGTTGAAAGCAGTTTGTGAAGGAGGACAGCAGCCAAGAAACTACTCACATAATCCATTTTATTGCGGTTTTAAGTGTAAACTAGGTAGAATCAGGATCAATATCACCCTTTAAACTTAAATCTTTTCCCAACATAAAGCCTTTAGACTGGAAACTACATAATTAACCCTTCCATCCTAACTGTGTGCACCTGGAGCGCTCATGATGCATATATGGCAGGATTTATAAGCTAGATATCCTTAGGGTGGAGGCAAGACACTAGGCTTGGATACCAATGCTCAAGATATGCTTACCTGCGCTCTATCAGTTTTATAGCACAACACAAAATAAACTGTGCGAGTTGGTAGTCTGACCTAGACTGCGATATCTAACAGAAAAAGTGTTTTATAGCCCCTTCTCTTTAATATATCTTTATATCAGCCAAAAATTAGATAACCAGAGTGTGAAGCTCCTTTTCAGCAGGACCAGGTCTTCAGAGAATCAGTTTCTCCAATGCCACATCATTTTCCTATTTAAACAACAATATTTCAGGAAGAGGAATAAGGCAAGAGAGGATGCTACTTCATTACATTATAAAACAGAGAGCCACCAATAACTCCTTAAGAAGGACTCAGTATGTAAATTACTGCAGGGCCCAAAGAGCGGAGAAAAAAACATCACCTATAGATTAAATCAGTCCCTCATGATTCAGTTCACAGGACATAAGCAGTAACACTCCATGGATAAAAGGAAATCAGAAGCTTTTAGTCATAAAGGTATCTAAAACCTTAAAAAAAAAAAAAAAAAAAAAAAAAAAATTACTGCTATTTTACAGAAAGGTCCCTAACCTCATATTTGGTTTCTTTCACTCAGACAGACCTTCTCCCAAGCAGCAACCACTCTCTCCCTGCACACCTTTTTTCTGGCTAAAAGGTTTCCCCATGACCAGCAGCTGCTGCACATTGGGACAGGATGAGGCTGGGTCTTCATCTCAGCCCTTAACTCCTTCCTGCCATAGTTCTTTGTGAAGTTTGCTACTCTACTGTAATACAAATCAAAACTTATTTTCATTTTCAGAGGTACATTGAATGAATGCCAGGTATAAAAGCAGAGGGTCACAGGATAATTCAGGTTGCAAGGGACCTCAGGAGGTCTCTAGTCTAACCTCTGTTCAAAACAGGGTCAGTTCTGAGCTCAAACCAGGTTGATCAGGGTCTATCCTGTCAGGGCTTGAAAACCTCCAAGGATAGAAACTGACCAAACACTCTGGACAGTCTGGCCCACCACTTCACTGGCCTCATGGTAAAAAACCACGAGGCTGCATTTATCTAAATAATTGCTAAATAATACTGCATCTAAACTGACAGTCTAGGTGGTGTTTCCCTAGAAAACGGTTTTCCCCTTTCCCAAGGGCAGATCTGTAAGTGATCCCTCTGTGTTCCTTTTGCAGCCTGCGAATGCAAGACCAATGGGCAGTGTGACGAGGGATATTCAGGAACAGGACGATGCTTCTGTGAAACAGGATGGACTGGCCGGCTGTGTGAAACCAAGCTAGGTCTCTGCCTCCTCTCACCAGACTCCGCTGCGTGGAGCCATGTGTTGATAGCACTTGCAATTCAACAAAGGGTTTGCGTAGAGAAAAGAGAGAAAGGGCTAACAAAGTGAGAAGCCTCTGTTCTGGGCTCTGAACATGTCCCTTCACTCCCCGTCTGCTCCTTTGTGAAATGGGAATATAAGTGTTCACCTCCCCTGAGGAGCAGCTTTGGGCTATATGGGGAAGGTATCACCCAAGAGCTAAGCACTCAAAAAAAAACAAAAACAAAAAAAAAAAAATTATTCTTGCAGGTTTTCCAGTTAGCAAGACTAGCACAAGGGCTTTTCTTTCTACATAAGGGTACTGCAATATAAAGAGCATCTTCATCCCAGCTGTTCTGCCTTCTCCACAGCTCTTCAGCCAGTGTGTTCCCCGAGCTGCTCCGCCAACGCTGTCTGCATGGAGAACAACACGTGTCAGTGCAAGCCGTTTTACAATGGGGATGGGATCACATGCACAGGTGAGCTCTCCCCTGCACAGCCTGCTGCAAGCGAGCACATTGTCCCCTCTTGCACTTGCATGCAGTTACTGTCCAGTATGAAACGCTGGCTATCAAATCTAAAAACTTCCACAGCGCAGCAAGCGAAACAAGTTTAGGATATATACAGATCCATCTTTTTCCAAAGCAAGTCGCTGGCTTCACTAGGCTTTACCGAGCAGGACATGTGCTTCAGTCAGGTTCTGGAGACAGCAGGGATTTCGTCAAACATTTCATCACTGATGGATGTTCTTTGATGACCTTAGGCAAGGCAGGAACACTGATGCAGAAAAGTCATTTTTTTCTGAGCCAGGTGTCTTGCATCCTCTAAAGTTGCACAGGCCAAAGCAGAGTCCCCAAAAAAGCAGCTCTCTGGCCACCAAAAGGTGAAGCAGAATCTCTGGAGAGTGGTGTCATGTCTCTTAAATCAAGGATATCCCAACCAAGGCTTCAGAGCCCTAAAAGACAGACGTTGAGCAAGTTCAGGGATGCCTCAGGCAACTCAACTTTTTTCCCCAAACAAGTGTTCTAGTATTTTTAGTGTGCCTTAAAAACATGGAGGTGGTTTGCCTTTGTGAAGAACACCTTCTTTAAAAGCAAACTTTACTCACCTGTTTTCTTTTCCCCCTTGCAGCTGCAGACCTTTGCAAACAAAACAACGGCGGGTGCCACAAGGCAGCCGAATGCACACAGCTCGGGGTGAAAGTCTTCTGTAACTGCCAGAAAGGATACAAAGGCGATGGCTTTACCTGCCTTCCAATAAATCCTTGCGCCGATGGGTTCAACGGAGGCTGCCATGAGCATGCCATTTGCACTGTCACAGGACCTGTAAGTTGAAAGGTTTCCGTCACCAGCAGGGAAGTCTGAGGCATTTCTTCCCGGTGCCAACAGAAGTCTTTTCTCTGGCTGGACCACACCCCATACCTCAAAAAGTCCCTCTTTTCCGAAACAACCTTTACATAGCCCCAGCCTACTTTCCACATCAGTTTGGTATCCTTTCAGCTGAGGGGTGAGAAGCAGTTTGACATCTTTGCTCTAGGGAAAGGGGTACTACAACAAGTGGGATATTTTGCATGTGTAATCTTTCTGTCCTCTTCTTAGCTCTCCCTAACTGGATATCCTTATTTGCAATAGGACTTCGTTGGATTGAAACTGAATGTATTTTGGTAGATAAACTTAGGGACAGCTGGGAGAATAGTGTCACTTGTTGGCTGGCCGGACTCAGCTTAAAAAGCTCTTCAGACACATGGTACAAATTCCTGGCCCGCATGGTCCACATTCCTCAACGTTGTTGAGGAAAACTTGTGCTGGTGACTTGATCCAATACTAGTCCTGCTGCTTTCGGGATCACCTGTCCATTCCATTTTGGTGGCTTTCCTGATGTGTCTTCCAGGAGCTATCTAGAAAAGCCTTGCCGCTAATCCATTCCATCTGCCGACCATCGCAATCTCTGGATGTCACCAACTCCTGTTTGGTTTATAGTTCTCAATTTATTACTATCCGTGGGCTGCTAAATTCCTTCCATGCTCCCGTGCCCAGTCATTTAAATATAATTTTGATAGGTTTGCCATTCGTTTTTGTTAATTATGTGTCATATAATTCTCCAATGCATGTTATTAGCTTTGTGGATGGAATTATGCTTTGGTATTAATTCAGCAAAGCACCCAAGTGCATGTGTAAATGTTTTGCTTAGAAGAATAAATGTCAGCGTCAGAGTTTGTGGTCTGTTGAATCACAGTTGTTAGTAGCAACTTTCCTGTTTGGCCATTCCTGGCTATATCAAGTAAAATTTTTCCAACAGTTCAGAATGTTGCGTGAAATACCGCTTTTATGTCAGCTAAGTATTTGGCTTGGCCCTTTTTATTCTCTGTCTGACCAGGACAAACGCAAATGTGAATGTAAAAATAACTACATCGGTGATGGGCTGAACTGCTCAGTGATGCAGCTTCCTCTCAACCGCTGCTTGCAAGACAACGGGCAGTGCCACCCCGACGCTGACTGTGCTGATCTCCACTTCCAAGGTGAGGATGTCACACCGTGCATGCCACAGGACAGGGACATCCTCGTCCCTGTGCCACTGCACTGAAACCGATGTCCCCGATCCTCGTGTCTGTAAGCTCACGCAGTCCTCTCCCTATGTTCCCTTGAAACAATTAGAAGATCGAAGTTAGAGCATGTGCTTACATACTTTGTGATACTAGGTTTATGAAGCAACAGATGCGGGCATTCCAGGTAGGAATGTTACCCGTAAAGGTTCAATATGTCCTAACTACACTTCACAAAATTCACGGGTATTTGTATGGCACAGTTGACTGCAGCCAGCCATGGAAACCCCTTCAGGAAGAACTGGTTCCTCTCTCTCTTTGCAGATACCACGGTTGGGGTTTTCCACTTGAGGTCCCCACAAGGGCAGTACAAAATGACTTATGAGAAGGCAAAGGAGGCCTGTGCCAATGAGTCAGCCACCATTGCGACGTATAACCAGCTGCTGTATGCACAGAAGGTAAGGTAGCCTCACTGCAGGAGGAGTTGACCCAGCCACAGTGTAAAAGGGGAGGGAGAAGCCAGGGGGCTGCTCTGTGCTAATAAGCTTCATTTTCCCTCCTTTTCTTCCCCCATGCCCCAGGGTATATTTGGCTGGGAGCAGTCTTCAGACTGTTCATTGGTTTCATGCTTGCTCATACAGCACTGAAACCAGTTGCAAAGTTCTTGTTTCCAGTGATACTGGGGTAAGATGGTACAGTCAGACTTAAAAAGTGTTTTCATGTGGGTTTTAATTATTAGCACTTCTTGAAGAAATGTACACTTTTGAATTATGCTTAATGTTTTTTAATGTACTGCTTCAGGAACCTTTTCCCCAAATGCTGTTAAGTTAGCAGACCCTTTTCCATATTCTTTTCCTTGAGTGTGTTATAGACAATACGTGGATGACATCGGTGGGATGAGCATCACACCCTAGGTTTGTAAAACTTGTTTTAGAAGAGTGGGTCAAGCCTGACTTCCTGTCTGCTTCCCATCTGTGGAAGGAAGAAAGACGCTCATCTTTTAGAGACACCTTTAGCAAAATGTGAGGGTGGACCACAGCCAGCACGTAAACCTCCTTCTGCTGCCTGAGGGGATTCAGTTTGCAGCCAGAGCTGCATGTCCCCTGTGCCCCGTAGTCTAAATATTTCCCTTGAATCAGCAAAGTCGACAGTGGGACTGGCTCCAGCACTCTTAGGGACTTATTTTCTGTGTTGAGTTGGTTTGTCAGCCCTTCCCACGCTGACAAAAGGTGGGCTGGCACACAATGGCGTTGCACATCCCCTTTGGCTTTCACACCCACCTGCCATCCTGCCGGCTTGGGGAAGCTTTTCCCAGAAAAGGCTCCTTCGATCCGTGCAGGGAGCCACTGACTTTTCAGAGGGGCTCCTGTCTCTGCATCCCCTTGGCACAGAGCTCAGCCCAGGGCAGGCCGCAGGATGGACGGATGCACAGAGCACCCCTCAGACCCTGAGAAAGCATGCTGGCAGGTTGGGTGCCGCCTGAGTGCCCCAGGGGGGTTGTTCATTTCCTCCACAGAGCCCCAGCCCCACCACCCAGCTCTTCCCCCTCTGTTTTCTCCCGTAACGCCTGTGCCGGCTGCAGGCAAGGTACCACCTGTGTGCTGCCGGCTGGCTAGACAGCGCAAGAGTGGGCTACCCAACCGCCTTCTCCTCCCCAAACTGCGGCTCCGGCTACGTCGGCATTGTGGACTACGGGAGAAGAGTCAACCTCAGTGAAACCTGGGATGTTTTCTGCTACAGGGAGAAAGGTAAGAGGGTCCTTTGCTGCATCCCTCTGTGCAAAGGGGAGCAGCAGCCTGATTTTGGTTCCTTTGGTCAGCCACAGGCTGCTAGATAACACTGCAAGAGACTCTGCCTCTTTTTAACTTTAAAAAAAAAAATAAAAATTGTTGCCTGCAAGTTGTTTTTCAGGTGCAGGACAGCCTAAAGCCTTCTAGCAGAGGACGTTTGCCCACGTGGCTCTCTGTGTTTTGTACCTTCCAGAGGTGAACTGCACCTGCAAGCCAGGCTACGTGGGGGACGGCTTCTCCTGCAGCGGGAACTTGCTGCAAGTGCTGATGTCCTCCCCAACGCTGACAAACTTCTTGACGGTACGGCCCACAGCCGGCACACTGCTTGGCCGGGTGAGCGGAGCAAAGCAGGCTCTGCCACCAGGTTCTGTCGCAGTGTTTGCTTTACTAGCGGGTAACCCCGGCACACCAGCAAAGCAAGGTGGAGTGGTCCAAATTCTGTACCGTCAAAATCAGAACGTAGTCGCTATTTTTTTAATTACTTGCTGCAAAGAGATTTGGGGTTTTTTAAAACTCGTTTGGGGATGAAAGGCTACTGCAGCTTTAGCTTAATGAGGAGTCTGTGCACAACTACTCCTGGCTTTCTGAGCATCACAAGGAGCGCGGTGCATTTTGGTAATTTTATTGAATTGCTGCTGGGGAAAAAGGCAAAGTATTAAAAGGGTCCCTTTCTTGACACTGTTCAGAAAGGCACTATATGTGTAAGGAGCCCCACAGACAGCAAGGGCCCAACTCCTGCAGGTCACAGCAGCAGCTAAAGCTGGGTTTTGAATACAAACTTATTCTGCAATATCACTCCAGACTTGCTTTGTGGCTATTAATAGAAAGCTTCTTTGTCATTATTTATACAGTCTCATCTTTCCAGCTCCTCCCACAGGAGCATAGAATTGCTCTTTAGTAAAACTGGATTTTGTTTCTGCCTAGGACATCATGGCTTACTCCAACAGCTCTAGGAAGGGGAGAGAGTTCGTGCGATATCTCACAGACCTGTCAGTGCATGCCACTCTCTTTGCTCCAGACGATAGTGGGTTAAGGGAAAATGAGGTCAGGTTTTTTTTCTTTTTTTCTTCCTCATTTTAATAACACTTTTTAAACAGCCATTATGGATTTCTGTATTCCAGTGAAATTTAAGGTTTTAAAAAAATAATAATCTTAGTATGACTTGACTTCTGTGTAACCCCACATAGTTTAAACTGTGCTTCTGAAAGAGGCAAGTTCATTGTGTCCATTTCTCTTCCATAGTTAGGAGTGTAAGGTTATCAAGTGTTCAAGTCACTACAGAGACTTTCCCATCACAGATTTAGTTACTCAGTTCCTTCCTTCCTTCCTTCTTCCCTTCCCTCAAACAATTCACATGGATTTATGTCCTGGCTTGCATCTTCAAGCTGTTTCAAATATCTCTGAAGCTCATCACTACAGGTCATCATACAAAAGCGTAAAACCCATTGTCCCACCTGAATCAAGGTGCTGCCTGCTGCAGAGGCCAGCAGAGACAGAAGACCCTGCTGTTTGCATCTAGATTTCCCAATAGCCTCTACCCCATCTTGCACTTGCTGCAGCATTAATAGCAAAGAGGGGAAAAAAGTCACAGGCACTTAGCCTACTGGTAAATTCAGAGGACGAATGAGCTCAGTTAACATTCCTTGTGCTTTGCTCTCATTTGCAGACACTTTCTGGGCGAGACATCGAGTATCATTTGTCTAATGCCAGCATAATGTTTTATGAGGACTTGACCAATGGAACCACTCTTCTAACTCGTCTAGGGGAAAAACTTCTCATTACAAACCCCACAAGCCAGGCACATCAAGCCCCCACTGCTAAACAGGTACCTTTTTAATAAATCTCCCTTCTTCATGCTTTTTTCACCCCTGTAATCGAGTGACACATGGATCCAGATAACAATTTGGTAGGGTTACAGTGGGCAGCAATGAGAGGCTGACTTCAGAAGGCTCTTTCCTGGATAGCAGCTGACAAACCACAAATTTACAAGTTTGCAAACGGCCAAGCTCTGACCCACAAAACTTAAAGGAAACTGTTCAGGTGGCCTGTAGGAATGGCAGGATGGGGATATGGGCTTGATTCAACCCTTCTCTCAGACTGGCAGGATTATAAGAGATGGCATTGCAATGGGAGGAGAGATGAGAAAAGCAGCTTATCATTAAAGAAAGGTGTTGGCATTTGTAAAGTTTCTTGGTAAATTTCTGGGAGAGGCAGGAGATGCCAGCACAGTCTTGCTCAGAGCAAAAGCAGACAAAACAGTGGTTTGCATATTTTTGTTACTGCTCCACCATTTTTTAAATGCAAAAATTTATATTCTTTTTGCAAATGGAAAGTATCCTTTGCAAACACCCCCAACTTCTAATTTTTTATCAAAAAAACCCTCACTACCTGAGCATTTCAAATGACCTCCATGGCAGTAACCCCTTGAGACGAAGATTGGGGCTCTGCTGTGGGTGACTCTGTATAGCTGAATATGAAAGTAAGAAAACCTGTGTCTGTGGGCTTGTAGTTTAGCTGTGCTCTAGAGAATGATGCTGGACCCAAGGAAAATGGAGTGCCCCGCATGGTGCTGTGGGAGTGGATTTTCATGGACACCAACAAGCAGGAAATAGATGCTGCAGGAAGAGGTGCACAAAAGACTCATCTGTTGCCTTTGCTCCCTTCCTCCTTTTTCAGGAGAAATTCCTTTGGCATGAGAATTACCACATATATATTTTTAAAGCTATCCTATACTGCAAACCCAGTAATTGCCTTAATAAAGTATACCCTCATGAGACATTGGGTGTACCAGCGTAAGACTTACTTGTATCACTCATTAGCTAGCATGTCAAAGCTCTTTTGGATCGCTTTGATCTGATATTTGAATTAGAAGACATTCTCCTTTAAAAAATCCTCCTTCCTTCTAAAGCTGCCAAGGGGAGGCTCTGTGCCCCTTAACACCAATCTTGCTCCTGCCTTTCAAAGCGGGTTGGGAATTTGTAGCTTTTTTTCCTCCCTGGAAGACCTGAGCAAGCCCTCTGTCCCTGCAGCTGCAGTAAAGCTCAGCAGGGTGTCAGAGGGGGAAGGAGAAGCAGCAGCCACTTTCATGGAACACTTTCCACGCGTGTTCCATGCAGCCAAGCATCCCCCTGCCCCAGCACACCGGGTCGGAGCCCACCAGCTTTCCCCAGCACGGCGGCAGGGCAGCAGGACACCGGGCGACCCCCAAATTGCTCCACAGTGCCACAGCAGCCGAGCCCCTTCCTCCCTGGGCACAGAATGTCGGCGTGTGCTCCAGCAGCAGCATACAGCCTTGTGCCAGGAGCAGCAGCTCCTGGTTCTGCTCGCTGAAGAGACCCCTGTGGTAGGATGCAATTTAAAGCAGAGTTTGCAATGGTGCTCTGGACGCATATGAACCTGCCCTCCCAAAACACAGACACAGGCTGGAGATAGACTCAGGACCAGCCCAAAGCAGTCAAGGACTCCCATTATCAGCAGATTTTTAGGGAAGTGTTGGGGTGGCAACGACTGGTCCCATCCCTCTCCCTTCCTGATAAGCTGCCAAACGCGACCACTTTCCAGCTCACGGACACGAGGCCACCAAATAAACTGCGGGCAGTGGCTCCCCATCAGCGTCGAGCCGGCTGTCTCCAGCCAGCAAACTCGGTGCAAGTGGCACCCTCAGCCCAGCAAGCAGCTGTAACGGAGGCAGGCTGCAGGCTGCCTGGCAGGCGGGAGTAACAGCACTCCGAGGCAGAGCTTGGCAATTGCACAAACATCACAAAACCCTCTTTTAAAAAAAAAAAAATAAATGCCTGAAGGCAATATGCAGGTAACAATGATGGCTCCTTCGTGCACAGGAGAGCTGACCGGCCTGATGTCCAGAGAGGCCATGGTGTGAGCCCCCCATGTGATTTTTCTCTATGTGTCAGTAACTGAGGAGGGGAAATAGTCTCAAGGCTTATTTCAGTCCAAAGGGAGGAGGGTCAAAGCTCAGCTCTCACTGCTTTCTCCTGGCAGACCGAGATCAGATACGTGGACAGAAGTGCTATTGTTGAGTGGGATATAATCGCTTCCAATGGGATAATCCATGTTATTTCAGAGCCTCTAAAGGCTCCACCAGCTCCTGTAAGTACATAGTGATTATTTTTTTTTTTTTTAGTGAGGTGGCTGTGGCTTCTATCATCCCAAACTCATTGCTGACATTCATATGTTCCCAATTTCCCTCCCATACATGCAGGTTCAGTTTAAAAGGTTATTTTGAAAGAAAGTTAAAAGTTGAAAACAAGGTGCCAGTGAGGCTTGTTCAAAATGTTTCTCTCTGAACAAGTTCTTCCCCCATTTATTTTATATAAATAAAAGCTACATTTTATAATGGAGCTCATTTTTCTGATGGAGGTTTTATAAAGTTCCATTTCAGTTCCTCCAGAAAGACATTTCAAGATTCTGAGGAAAATTTTTTCACTCTTTACTTTTAATTCATTCCTATCCAAAACAACAAAGTGTTTTGAAAATAGATAGTTTTTGCCTGCACGAATTTCTGCAATGGTCCCACTTATCCAATTATCTCTCCCATTAGAAAAACCAAACCAGACTGTTCATGGCAAAACAGCACAGTTTAGAAAGGGGTGCCGTCCTTTCCGAGGAGGGAAGTCGAGTTAGCAGCTGCACTGCTTCAAGCTGGAATCAAAATGGTACCAGGCACAGAAGCAGACAGGCAGGAACATCGTTCTGGTTTTGAACAGGGAAAAAAACAAACAAACAAACAAACAAAACAAAACACCAAACCACAGAAACCACCAGCAAAGTTTACTGCTTTGTATGAAAGGCACAAAACCCATTTTATTCACCAGCAGTACCACAGGGATGTTTCACAAAAGTGATCCCTGCTGCCCCTGGGAGAGGTGTGCAGTGAGCACCCTTTTTTTCAGCACAGAATATTTTCCTTAAAGATGTCAGTGTTCAGATGGGCAGCATTAGTGCTCCCAAGCTCTGCTCCACGCAGGGTACTCTGCGACAGCCCAGCGCAGGCTCAAGATGACCTTGCAAGAAGACACACCACTTATTTAATCTGAAGAACTTCCCTTCCATCATGGTAAACTCATTCTGATCATTCTCTCTCCATGGCTGGAGGAGCCTCACTCACATTCACAACCCATCCATCCCAGCTCTGATTTCAGAAGTGGCTAACCAGCTGCCTCCTCAGTCCACAAGATTAATCCTATTGATACCCTATTTCTCGCCTTCATTTTGTTCTGAGCAGCCCTTTTCTCCTTTGCAAATCAGCCTTCTTCTTCCTACAAGCTCAGTAATATCCCTGCACAGTCTCGGTTCACAAAAGTCCCTTTCAGCCTACAATCCTCAGAAGTAGGAGGAGATGACACACTTGGGTAAAGGCATAAATTACTGCCTGAAAATGATTCAAGATAATAGGCAATTTCTATCAGTCTACAGCAGCATGATATTACAGTCTTTCTAATACCTTTTACATGCTAGAGGGCAACTAAATATTTTCTAATATTTAGATGTACAGCTGCACCATGTAAATTAGTTTGTTTTCTAAAAAATAAATGAAGAGAGCATATCTATTAAGACAACATGATTATTTTTGTCAGACCAAGTTTAATAATTAGTTTTCTAGGGGGGAGGCCACAGAGCTAAGGCAGTACATGGAGAAGCAAGAGTAACAGCGTACAAATCTCCTACCCATTTCCAGACACCTCCTCAGCTCCTGGATTTCCAGAAAAGAGCACAGTGGCTGGGGGAGACTGCAGCCTGAGTGGCTTTGTGCCCTGGGATCCCTCAAACTTGTCACTACCCCAAAAGTGCTGGTCACCTTCACGTTATCAATCTATCAGGCCACAGAGCTGCAAAAGGCAAATCGAAGTCAGAGTGTGGAGGCGTTTCTCCTCATTAGATTAAATCCAGATCACATGCGAATTTCTTTCCATCCTTCACCTACATATTTATTAAAATATTTATAAAATATCATATATAGTTCCTTGGATTGGCACTTTACCTGCTTGGCCAAAGAAGGATTTCAGGTTAATGGCATTGCGTGTTTTGGGGTAAAACAACCTACAGAAGGCAGGTGTTGGGCCACCGGCAGACCCCAGGCCTGCGCACCCTCTGCCCAGGCTGGCAGTCCCTCTAACCAGCAATGAGGTGGGCCCCGTCTCAGACGTGGTTTGGTTTGAGCCCCAGTAAAGCAGGGCTCAGAGGATGGTATGGCTGCCAGTAGCTGGCAATAACCAACACCTCCCCAGTGCACAAAGCAGCGGGGAATAAGCCTGAACCCATGCAAAGCCCTCCAGGGCTTGTAGCACACATTTCCAAAGCTGCTTAGTGGAAATATATACCTGTTTCTCCTCAGGACAGTGAGGTTTCCGTCTCATTATAGCTTCAATTGCTTCTCTGAAAAAAAAAACTGACCAGAAAAGATCACTTAGGCATGCTCTGTAACTTCAGAAACATAAACAAGAAGTACTACAGGCAATGTCCAGCACCCTCAAAAAATTCCTCAGGCACTTGAAGGTGACCAGCACCCACTCGTAGCTCACTTACCCTCTTTCTTACTTCCAGGCTCCTCTTCATGTCATTACCAGGACAGGAATATTCTTTGGCGTCTGCCTGGTTATTGGAATCGTGGCTTTGATCGGATATTCTTACCTCAGGTTCAGGAAGAGAAACACGGGCTTCCAGCACTTCAAGGTAGGCAGCAAAGAGCTCGAAGCAGGGGGGCAGCACTTCCCCAGGCCCACCACACCTCCCAGAATCACAGCTTCCAGTTCCTCCTTGCGTTTCAGTAAGCTAGAAACATCCCTGATCGCTTATCACTTGAACTGTTCAGACTAAGACACAGAGAGAAAGCTCACACACTTGTCTTGGGCACAAGCTTACGTTTGCCTCCTGCTCCCCCAGACTGTGCCCAGCGGGCTCCTGCTCTCACAGACACTTCCCACACCAAGGACTGGCCAAAAGCTTATTTAAGCACAGAGCAGCAGTGCAGCAGCCTTTGCCTCACCAGAAAGCTCACCCTGAGGGAAGCAGGTAATTACACCCACTGAAAGGGCACATCTTTTCTTCCCCCTCCTCTGTGGCATTGGTAATAATTTTGCTGCTCTGGAGGTCGAAACTTTGGATAGGAAAAAGGTCAGATTCAGAAGACAAGCAAATTGAAATGATTGCAGGATTGAGAAGTGCAAATGTTTAATACTAATGCACTCTCATGCTTGCTTTCTCTTAACTAACTTTGCTAACCTTGTGTAGTATCATCACGATGCAAAACCAGCCAGCAACAGCCAAGCTACTCAGAGACGAGGGATGACAAACAAAAACATTACAAAACACACAAGAATCAATCCAAAAGAAAGTCTACCCTGAAGTAACCAGAAATCCCTTCCTATTTTAGCCCCTGCGTGTAACGTGAATCGTCTTCTAGAAACCAAAAACAGGAGCCACGAACAAGGGGAAACACTTGTATTTTTATATAGTTGCAATGATAGCACTCGGGACCAACCAGGTACCTTTTATCCCAGGCACAATGTCACAGCAACACTTCTTCTCCAGATCTTTGCTGGCACTTAAAAATAATAAAGGGAGAGAAAAAAAAGATACCAGTGTTGGGTGGCCTGAGGTAATACATCAACCCAGAACACAGTTCATGCCCGGAGACACTAATTTATATGATAAAGCCAGTTCAGTCACAACACTACACCAGTTGGTAGTGAGGCTTAAGTGCCCCGCTTAATGCACGGTAGGAGGAGGATGGATCTTAAGCAGGTCTGTGTGATTTTGTATAGTCAAAAGATGACACTGACGTAACGCCACTGGACAGGTTACAGCCTTCAAATATCACCAACCCCTCATATGAAAGTTCTTCTGCACTGACTCCACCAGAGCCTACTTACAATCTTTTCTCAGTAAGTGTTCATTTTGATTTGACACACAACTAAAATAATGGTAAGAGGGAAAGACTTAAGGAAAGGAAAATGTCTATTTGGAAAAAAAGAAAAATTAATTTGGGAAAACACTATTCATTCAAGTTCCTGGCTTTCCTGTCTCACCATTGCTAAAAACTGGGTGGCCTCACTTGTAGCAAAATTGAGCCTGTGGTCTACAGCTGTATCTCAAGTCTGCCTTCAAAGAAAGATTAATTAAATTGGACTTCAAATGCTGCTGGATGCCAGTGACGTGTATATACAAACTTAAAAAGCCTTCTGATTTTGTCTTCCCTTCTTGCTGCAAACGCAGCTGAGTGCCATGCCAGCACTCCAAAGAACCTGAAACACGATGGGAAGGGGGCTGGGAACCAACAGAAGGAAAGATTGGGTAGAGCCAGGATATCTGAATAGTTTCAAGGGTCTAATTTAGCAAGACCCTCATGTACGTGCAGAGTCTAAAATCAAAATAAACCTTTTTGCATCCTGTAAAAAGACTTGTTTGGTGCAAAAGTGTCAAGTGCAACCTCTTCCATCTGTATGGACAAATTGGCCAAAAAGTGACTTTCCTTTCTTAACACAATACTCATGTCTGATTTTCTTCTTCTTCTGTTTTATAGGATTCAGATGACCAGCAGCTTGTGATGAGTGGTCCTCATGATCAGAACTGAAGACCGAATTTGGCATTAGTTCAATTAAGAAACACATTTCTATTTACACTTACTGTGAAAAAAAAAACAGCACCTACACGTTTCAGGGAATAAAATCTCGTTACAAATTAAATACCAAAAGCACACAGCTTTGTTTAAGATGCAGTCTATGGAGTTCACAGAATTAACAACCCCAGAAATGTCAGCTGTATCTGAGTAATACCAACTGTGAGTGCCAAATGCAAAACTGAGTCCCAACTAACCTACCCAGAAGCAGACACCTCTCCGTGAAAAGCAGATTTTCACTAGCCTGCTATTTAACTGCTTCTATTCTTTTCCACAGATTTAAAATGGCCTCAAACACACAGGGCTGCTGACTTGGCAAGTATCCTAAATTTGCTAGTACTCCAGCTCTACACATTCGTTTTGGCTCAGTTACAACTACAACTGGCAAGTGTGAAGCAGAACACGTGTTAAACCTGTATTTTTAAACTGAGGAGACTTTTTGCTAGGATACCTTCTTGTAAGGATTTCAGCAGCAGGAAATACAACCTTCCTGTTTGCCTCGCTTGTCTCCTCCAGCTTTTCTGTCTTTCCTCAAACCCGTACAAAGGGAAATCACTGTACAAAGGGAAATAGTAACTGTGGCAGCTTTAGTAAGAAATACAGGTGATATGAGAGCATTCAAACAGTAATCAAATTTTACTTGAGCCATTTTTATGAAATGCGGACAAAGATGAGCATAACCTTGCCATGTCATGTCCACATTCAGTTTTTTGGCTCCGAGAAGCGCAGGAGCTACCTGCTTGCTTGCACACCATCTCATTACCAAGCACATTAACACTGCCTTTCAGCTGAGGCACAGCAGTAACACTTGAGATTTTCACAATACTATTAGAAGTGAATCAAGCTTGATTTTGATTCGCTGTCACGTCCTTCCCTCAAAATATTACTATCATAGCAAATTGTGAGAATGCTATAGAAACCAGAAAACAGCAAGAAAATGAAGATAGCAATAAGACAGTATGAAGACAGCAGCAGTAACATTCCCTTATGGAATGCTCCCCGCAGCAGAAGGGAAGGTGTCACTCCAGGAACGCGTTAGTTACCCCTGAGAGCAACCCCGGGGTGCCTCCCCCATCAGAACAAGGCATGCAGGCAAATCCGGGGTTGTTGCCACAGCTATCAAGCACGACCCAGGGAATCTGATGCGTAAATAAGCCTGGATGAAAGAGGCGGGCTGAAGGAATTGCCCTAACTCCTTCCCTTGCCCCCTTGTAGGGCACTCAGCTGCTTGTCTTTACCTGTAAAATATTTACAAAGTTTAGAACACAAACACATTTAAACACACACACGTATTTAGGGGGCTTAGCTCCACAAAGTTCTGTGATTAATACAACTCACATTCTTTCATTCTCCCCAATCACCAAAAATACTAAGGTTCACAGGGACCAGAAGATAAAGTCCAAGCATTTATTTTTGTAATAATAATTAAATATTTTTATCACAAAAAAGTTCCACAATTCATTAAACTCTTCTTTTACTGACAAACCATTCTCCTCCGTGTTTTTGACAGAACAGAATGAAAATTTCTTCTTATTTGGTGTTCAAATGAACTCCCAGTATAGACATTGCCCTTTAAACATTCTCAAAGATCTCTCTGAAGTCAGTAACATAGCAAGGTTAAATAAATAATGCAGTAAATAAGAAATGCAGAGAGTGACAAGATGAAATCATTAACTTTTGGAAATGTCTTGCATTTTTGTTAAGAGAAGCATTCTAGCACTGAAAAATAAACAACACACTTTAAAAATCTCACTTAAATTCATATTATACATTATTGGGTTGTTTTAAAGGAACATAATCCTCCCATAGTATTTTTTTTCATGCAATGGTGTTTATTTCAAGAAGTCATGCAAAATAAACAAGATTTTACTTCAGCTGGCCATTGTAACGTAGCTTTGTACAGAAGTTCGATTTGTAAGTTAAGAGAAAGGAAAGGGGAGAGGAGAAAATCATCTTGAAACAAAATGTGTATTGTGTAGATAACATCATCCAACCCAACTGTTCCTGTTTAACACAGGAAAATTAGGCAAACAAAACTGACTCCTAGCCAGCTTTAAAAGAATAAACATCACCAAGATATAACCAACATAACATTATCAAATTCAATAACGCAGAACTGAGTAACACAGTATTATTATTTGCTGGTGGTAAGATGGAAAATGTACAGTGGTTTGGCGTTATGTTTTTTTTTTCACAGTACATTGAAATCTCTGGAGCACGAGAGGTGCTACGCGCACCTAACACCAAGTTCAGTTCTAGCTGAGCATTAGGATAAAGAACCAAAGGCAAATCGGGGATATTTCAATCCCCACGTTTCATTATCAAGTTATGCTAAGTATTTCCCACACAGCCCCACCAACAAGTCTCCTGATAAAGCCAAACTAATTTCCTGCAAAGCTTTTTCTTCCAGCAAAACAGCAGGACTGGCAGATGAACTGACTCCTTTCAAGTATGTTCACCCCTTTAAATACACACACACACACTTCAGGGGTGTTGCACATCAAGTTTGAAACAGGAGAACAAGAAAACCATTAACATAAAATCTTTAACCACCTCGGATGACTTCAGACTGATTTCAAGCATAAAGGAAAACTACTTAGGAAATTGTGCAGGCTAGATTAGAATACATTCTTTACTTTGAAAACATGATTTTAAAAATATGAAAGATACGGCATATGAAATTCAATTCAATTCAGGTACTTGCACATAATATAGACAGGTTAAAAAAAAAAAAAAAACAAACAAACAACTTTTGGTCACCAAAAGTTTGTTTACCTTACAATCATGGTAGAAAGCAAGTGATATCCCAAAATGAAGAATATCAAATGCTATATGTTTTGTTAATTGCATGCTTTTAAAAATGGAGCCTTTAGTAACTAAAATTTGAAAAGCACTAATCATATTATGCCTTCTAAAATGACAGGGGTGGGAAGCACCAGTTAAAAAAAAAAGCAACAAAAAAACCCCACACACGTTTCATTTGGATGCAGAGAAAGGAAAGCATCCTTATTTAAAAACAACTATATAACAGTTCCATAAAGTGCCTGTTTGAGGAAACACATCAACAGATGTTTTCCTTGTGCAAAAATCTGACATTTTTAAGCTCAAATCTTTGGAACATATTTTGTGTCATGCAACCTGCAATTTCAGTAATTCAATAGAACTTCTAAATTTGCACCTCCAAAATTATTTTGCTTGATGCAAAACTGTCCACCACCCCCAATTCAACCTTCGGGACTTGAGCTTAAATATCGTTATCAGAAAACTCTGATTTTCATTTTCTCATTTCTTAGTTTTTAACTCATTTGCCCATTGTGTGTGTTTGACTGTAAAAGTCCATTACTGAAGGCTGTATGAAATACATTCCCTCCTAGGGAACAGCAAAACCACATTGCCTACCACTGTAAGACACTTAAAATTCTTAAAAGCAGCACTTAGGATCAATCTAAAGATTGACAGAGATCCATCTCCACTTTGAAATGCAAAATGCAAAACGTCTTGAAATGGCTTTATTATCGGAGAGCGGCTATTTAAAGTGTTTTGAAACTTAAAAAGAAAGATGCTGAAAAGTTAACAAAAGGAAGCTGAGGCAGCCCAAGTTACTGCCGCTTTCAGTTTTAGGCTCAGGCCCACCTACAGCCAAGCACAGACATTACAAGAACAGACACAGCATGGACAGGAGGAAAAGCCCATCAGGCTGAGGCAGCCAGTACTGCAAACACTGCACTGCACTAGAGAGGTCGGTGCAGTCACAGGTAAGGCTCCAGCTGTGGCAGGAAGGAAAGGTAAGACACGTATACCATGACTCTCAGTCTCACTGTAAACCAGCTTCTAACGGCCTATTGCTGAATTACTAATACTGGATTTAGGCTTTTCAGTGCCAAGATCCATTCCAGGCTCCAGCTGGGGAGCTGAACAGGGCCAGAACAGAGAGTACAGGTGCTTCTTTGTAAACCGTAAGGCTGCGGATTGAAATTTCCAATGAACAAAACAACCACCCCAGAACACCACCAAACCTTCCCCTCAAATGTGCCCTCCCTCCCTCCCAGCCCACAACTATTTTGGCAGTCCATCATCTCTTCTGTAAGTTTTCAGATCTCCGAGCAGGAGAGGAGAAAACAGGTACAACACTTGTGAGAACAAGGGTGACTTACATCTAAATCAAGATTTAAGTGACTTAAATTAAATACATGTATATTAACAAAAAAAAAAAAAAAAAATTGCCCATTTTAGAGAGAAGCCACCAAGTGTTTATTTGATCTGAACTGTCTCTTGTAGGAAAGGTATTCTGAATGTACCAGTGCACAGCTGGTCTGACCAGCCAGGGAGTTCATGCTGCAAAGGAGTCCTTCTTGGATAAAACGTGTAATCAGGCTCATAGTTCAAGAGACAGCTCAATGATGCCATGTAGATGTCCGCAAATCTAGAGAGACGTCTTAGGAAATAAGTTGGATTCTCATCAGTTCTGAATAAGCTTCCAAACTGTGCGTTGAAGAAATTCCTGTTCATCTCCCTGTCCCCGGAAAGAAGAAAACAAAGAGAATGAAGTGAACATACCTGCATGCCTCTCTACCAGCTAGTATCCAGAACCTGAAGCAAGCAGCTTCTATAATCTGTTCTATGCATTATTCTCTTGCCATTGATCATCAAAACACTTAAATGCACCCCATAAGAAACTTTTACACCTCTTGCACATATGTAGCCCAGATCTAGCAATCACAATAGGGAACAGAAGAGCTTTACGCTCCTCCCACTAAAATCAGTGATGGTGCTTCCGACTTCAGAAACATGACATCTCAAGCTTTCCTTTCTAAAGACCATGAAAGACTTTTGCCTTCACCTAAATCCTAATGACAGTCACTTGCCCCAAAGATAAGAGACTTTAAAAAAAAACAAACAAACAAACAAACAAAAAAAAACACAACTAAGATTTAGCTTCATGTACACAAAAAAATCTTCATAAGGTTCGTAAGGAAAGGGTCAGAGAGGAGAAGAGCTGCCCAAAAGACAGGTAGAATATTGCTTTACACAGACATTTTTAGAAAGTCTGTAACTACCAGGGAATATACATCAGGGATGGAGGAATTCTGAAGAAACCTATGGAAGACATCACACAGAACACTTAGCTACCATGAAGCATATTGAAAATTCACCTCCCATGTCTTACCTCATTTCCTTTCTTTCTTTCTTCCACTCTTCTAAAATCATTTGTGAATCAGGATCACGGTGAACCTAGAATGTAAAGTATGAATAACAGGTAACTAAGGATGGCCTTGTAAATGAGCCTTTCCACTACCAAACCCTTATCAGCTAAGAGGACGAGAGCAGTGCTTCAGAGATCAGTATACCGGAGGTATCCACACGCATCTTAAACACCCGAAAGCAGGAATCAATCCAGGCTAACCAGTGGAGGAGGGAGACAAGATTTTAAGAAAACTCTTATTAACTAGCCACACAAATAATTGCGTTTATTTATCTACAGTCAAACTTGTGAACTTTAATGAGACAGAAAACACTAGCAATGACAATGTCCAGCATTTAGAAACTTGGCTGGATCCCTTCTGCTATACAGAGCTGATTACACACACACACACAGAGAACAAACCTGCATGTGTTCCAGTAATCCTGTCAAGGTTTGCAGCCAGGTCATAGTTTGAATGTACTTCTCTGCATTCATTATTTTAATCTCTGTTCGTAACTCTGGAATAATTGCACCAGTGCGCCAGCCATGCTTCAGGGTCAAGTCCTATTTACCAAAGATTACAAAATACAAGTATTAATCTTAGCAAGAACTACTTAAATGAACTGAAGAATCTGGTCACTGTTTATCCCAAGGGGGCACTAATTTAATTGCTTCTTATGTATAAGCAGAAATATTAGACAATGGGACTAAACTGTGCCAATAGGCAACAGAACTTAATTTCCGAGTAAGCTTCAAATCCCACATTTTTAAAGACAGAGAGACAAAAAACACATAAGCACTTGCAGATATGCACCAATTCGTTACATTTAAAACAAATAGTAGGAAATTCCTCTTGTGGAAGAGACCTCTGCTGCTGTCAGAAGTATCTCAAGGAAACTGTGCGTTGGGTTTGTGGTATTTACCCATATGCTCAGCTGACAGAAGGGTCCTATTGGGACCCCCAGCTATCCAGGCTCCTTCTGACAGGTAGAGGAGGAGGCAGCTACCACCCATGCTCTCTCCTCCACTGGGCCGGAGAAGAACAGAGCTGCGTCCACCTTCCTTTGGCTCTCAGCCTCCTGAAGCACCCAAACTGACTTTTCTTCTTAAAAGCAGACTGAGGCAAAAATGTTAATATCTGCTGCTGCTGAAACATGTTACCGGAGTTCGCCAGTGGAAAGTCATATCCAGGCATTCATACACAACTAATTACAAACGGGTTAAGAGGTGGTCACTTACTCTAAACTAACAGTCAGCAGGACATTTGTTTGTAAGATAGTAAAAAAGGGCCTGGATAGTGGGGCGACAACCCATAGCAAGATCTCAGGAAGAAAGGTGACAAGAAGATTGGTTCCTGCATTCAAAGCCGAAGTTCATTCAGCTCTTATTACATTTGGTAGTAAATGTCATCCAAATCAGCCACATCCTGTACGTTTGGGTATCTGTGTTAACTCTCTGGGGCATCTGACAAAATCAGTATCTGGATCAAAACACAAACTCACATATTCCTAAGCACAGTTTGTAAACAAGTTAAATGCTACGAGTCATGTGGAAAATATGGTCAGCCTTTTACAGCATCAATTTTCTTCATGGCAAGAAAAGCACTATGGCTTAACTACCGATTCAAATGTTGTTGTATTCAGGAATCTGAAATGAAAGTGCATTATATTGAATAACTGGGAAGGAAGAGAGGAAAACTAAGAGAAAGCCTCATCTTTTATCCTATTTTGTGAAAGTAAATTACTTACTGCCAAGTCACTGTAAATGTGATCGCCAAAGTAGAGAACCTTAGAGCCTCTCCAGCCAGTAAGCTTCAGAAATTCGTACAAGTTACCCTGCAGAAACAACAACACAAACATTGTACCAGCATGCAACCTGCAAAGCATGAAAAAGGGATTAAGTACACCCCTAAAAACATTTTCATATCAAGAATCTTGTCCTCATTCTATATATTATGAATCTCAAATTTTACAGGCAATTTCAGTAATACTATCACTTCAAGAGGCAAGTAAACTGCAGACATACAATACCAACAATGAATTTGTACCACTTCAGTCATCAAAACAACTCTCTTAAAGAACATATCTCCTTTTTAGAAGCCTCTGTGATATCTAAAGAAGCTTGGGATTCTAGGGAATACATATTAAATTTGAACTGACAGAGTTTATTGAAAGCATACCTGTTTGTAAATCTGACCTTTCTGCAGCTTGTGAATTTTGTCCCAAAGCAACACTCCCCTTTCATTCACCTTCCGAAATGGTCTAGAATAGAATTATACAATTGTTACATTGCTGTAGAAATTCTGTCACTCTTTAGGAGGAGATTAAAATTTCAATATTAAAAATACTTGTCTTTCAAAAGGAAAACATGGTCTCTAGCATCTGGGCATTTTGTAATAGACAGATAAGCAAAGCTCCAAAACTTCCACTTTAGCCAGTGAAATGCAATACATCTATCCAGCCTACCTATGATGTTTGCAACAGAGAAGTAAGACAAGGATCCCAGACAGAGGGGAAGAAACAGAGAACACTGTCTGTCAGTAAGAAGGAAAGAACACAAGAAAAAGTGAAGATGTGTAAAAATCTTGCCCAATTCCTCATTTTGTACAACTGAAGAAAGGGGCAGAAGACAGGGGGCAAGACATAACAGCAGAGCTCTTCTTAAAATTAAATTTTAAAAGGGGAAAAAAAAAAAATCCCACTTCCTTCTCACTTTCAAATCATAAGTACATGTAAAGGGATAGGTCTTTTTCAAGCATAAGAGTAGTGCATATGCATTACAAATGTGTTTACTGAATTGAACAACTAGTCCAAATGCTCCAGTCTGTCAGGCAGTCTGCCCTTTAAATATCATGTGTGACTAAAAAAAAAAACCAAAAGCAATGAAAAATATTTCCAGATAACAAGCTGATTCTGAAAGGCACCAAAATTTCTCAGGAAAGTTCCTAGGAAAGGAATACACTACAGCTTACAAGCTAAGATGTTAACAACCAGCTTCTGCGACCCTAACTCAGTGCAGTAGACCCGTGATAGCCACTGGAACTTTCTTAGATAAAAAATGGTAAACACTTGGACTTCAGAACTGGGTGTTGCTGTATTCTGTAATGATCTTAAACAGGATGTCATCAAATAGGATTTCATTTTACACTGCATCCAAATTAAAATATTTCGTAACATGCTCTATAGCGTTATATGGAATAAGATGCTTGAATCATTCTTTACCGATTAAATACCCACCTGCGCTTATCATTGAAAAAGTTTGGCTTATCAGCCTGTACAATGACCACATCAAAGAGATCCCTCCAGTCCTTGCCAACTATGAACTTCATGCCTTTGTCTCTAAAAAGGACAGAGGGATGTTAACAGTGAAGCATAGCAGAAGTCCAGTTCTGCGCAATATAACGAATTACATTCGAGAACCTCATTCTCTCCCTCCTTTAAAAATGTATAGTTGAATAGCAAGCAACTGTTCACTTACACAAAGCTGCTGGGACTGTTTGTGATGAGAAACATCTTCTTGCCATGATCAGCCAGCTTTGCTAACACTGCACGAGTTTGCTCAGCATAGCAGATGTATTTCTCTGTGAGGATTGGGGAAAATGCAATATTAATTGAAAAAGTTTTCATGAGAATTTTCTCTACATTCAACCAAGGGTTCAGAACATGAGGTTACACTTAACAAAGGTACCTTAGACAAGTGGAAATAACTCTCTCAGGCTTTAAAATTTAGAATTTATAATTTAAATAAGGAAGCCAGAAAAATTATTATACAAGTGAAAAAAGCACTGACAGATGATCTCATTAGTACTTACCAATATCTGCTTCAATTGCTCTGTACATTATTCCTTTGATGTGGACATCCCTGATTGAGTCCTGTCAGGAAAGCAACACAGAACTAAAGAACTGAAAAATCTTTTCAAGTATAAAAACCATGCTCACTGCATAGCAGTAGTAATTTGCTTTTAAACTAATTCCTTTTTCTGAATTACACCTTCAACTTTACAGAAATGGCATGTGATGTTCATTATATATATGTCGCCACTAGACAA